ATTTGTAGACTTTCGGAGTTTGTAGACGTCTGAAGTTTCTCCTTTACAGCAGTTAATACATTTGTAAGGAGTAATTATAAAGATAAGGGCTTGGTAGATCATTCGTTGAAACCAGCAATGTATCTTGCTATGTAAGGATTTTTATGAAGTTAAGGAATCCAGTTCAGTTAAAGGACTTGGACACAGATTTGAAGTTAATATTTTCTCTATAATATTACAACTTATATATTTTAATAGCATTTCACACAAAAATTAATTAAAATATTTCTCATTAATACACATCAGATTTGCCACTTTTCCTAAGGATTAAGAATAAAGTTAAAATTTGTGAAAGTGCAAAAATGTGTAATTAAATGCCAAAAAATTTAAAGTTTTAATGACTTTTAAATGAAATAAGATTTTTAATCAATTTTTGTATGAAATGCTATTAAAATATATAGTTCGTGATATTATACAGAAAAAATGAGAAAATATTAACTTCAAATCTGTGTCCAAGTACCTTTAATAGCATGTTTCAAACTCACTTTGGTTGGTTGGTATGTTAAAAATCATTCTCCTTTAATGACTTGAACTTCAATATAGGAGCTGTGGCACGCATAGTTTCAGAACTTCTCTAAACTCTCTATGATAAAGGCCTGATACCGTTAACTCAAATCAGGCAAAAATTGGTGTTACATGATCAAACTCAAATACAAATTTAAGAAAGACAATAAAATAGTTGACCATAATTGTTCATTTGGAATTAGCAAAATTATTCAATAATAACTTTCATGGTTGCTATGGTAACACAGTGTAACCATGTGCTAAGATTGGGTGATATACATGTACATGTACGTAATAATAAAAATCTCTTATCAGGCAATAATTACGCTTCCTTATGATGAAATTGATTTATCTATTTGTTCTTGAGTATATAATGAAAATATATTAATTTATTATATCCAACACAAATCCGGAAATAAAAACAATTCGCTGACATACCATATAATACCCCTATTTATGATATACCTTCTATCATGTATCGTATCCAAAGGGGAAAAGATAAAATTTGTTTTTTTGCAATTATAAAAGAAGGACATTATATCAGTTATCGTCTAAATTGATCTATGAAAAATATCTTTTGACATTTTCATAAGAGCGAATGACGAAAACTTTGACAGGACTTAATAACAGAAAATCCCCATAAATCCTATAGGAGACTTAAACAGCCATGAATGACAGCCAGCTAAAGATGGTCAAAATAGGATAAATATCAAAGGTCCATTAGCATAAACAACAAAATCATAACGTGACAGAATTTGTAGATGCGCAATTCATACTGTCCTTTTAAGTGAGCAAAATATTTAGCCATAGTTAAACTTTCCTGTGAAAACCATTTTTAAACCATGGAGTGTACAAAATATTACACCATGACAATTTTACTATATTAATTTGGAATTTGAGAATATATTATAAGCAAAGGATAAATTAGAATTCTTTATAATTAAGGAATCACTGTCTAGTTAGGAGAGTATTATTGCCATAGAACCCAGGGTAAATGTAAGTTTAACAGCTCTTTAGTAAATGTTAATGGGTAAAAATTACAAAAGTTAGAAATACAATGTGTAAGTTCATTGTACGAGTAGTTTTGCAAAACAATAGTTTTAACTTCGATTCTTCCGATTCTATTTACATGGCAGATGATCTTTTGAATGTATTTGTTGATCATCATTTTGTAAAATAATTACAATTCTTTTCAACTTGTTATCGATCTATTGAATACCTCAATAAACCAGCACTGAGAAACCGGAATCCTTACCTACCCACAATAGACATGTGGTTGGTGATATTGCTGGTCATGTCTTAAATCAACATAAAACATATTTCCGTACTAGGGTAAATTTATTTAATTTTTTTGTCGAAATACCAAGGTTTCGATTAGTTTGAATTAGGTAGGTAAACAATGAAATGCATGGAGATAACAGTATTCGAGCCCAAAAGTCCGTTAAATAATATAAAATTAGAGCATAACAAACATCAAACTCCCTGGGATCAGGTGAAATGGAGGAGTAAGCATCCCCTGCCGACCGGTAGCCCGTCGTATGCTCCTTGTCTGATCGGGAAATAACAGAAAAATCCGTCTTAAGTTCAGTGTGTAAATAATGGCCCAACAATCATTATGAAAACCGTCAGTCAGCATTTGATAAATTATATTTGCTGACATTAAGGTCATTGTTTCGACCACAACTTATGAAATGATGACTTTAAACGATAATGCTGATATTCTTGTTTCAGAAACCTGTTTGTCAATAATTTTCCTCGTTTTAGAAATTATACATACGTAGAGTATGCTCTTGCGTATCAAATCAACTGAGAGATATAAACTCCGTATGTAGGTGATGAAGGTATGTTACTAGATACTAGTAAGTAAGGGAAGTCGATGTCATCACGTTTATCATTAAGCTTGGTTGTTAGATAAACATTAATGTCTTTTTCAAATAAATATCAAAATTTGAGACGGAGATGTTGGATTCTGTGGTATCTTTTATTTCAAGCTCACCGGCATATATCATATCTACATAAGAACGGAAATAAACATTGTTAATTGACAAAATTTTACGTCGTAGATTTATCTAATGAATGTCGCACTGAAGTCCACGGCAAGCGTTTTCCTCTTCTCATGTAAAAGATTTCGACAACATTCTGCTTCATATTACGGAAGCCCATTTAGACTTGTTTTGCTTCAATTCCCAAAAAATATTTTTGAATTCGTTATAACGATTTTAGAATTCAAGAATTTGGTTATAACGAATTCAACAAATCTGTAATAACATTAAATTCGTTATAACGAATTCAATAAATCTGTAATAACAAATTAAATTCGTTATAACGAATTCAATAAATCTGTTATAACAAATTAAATTCATTATAACGAATTCAATAAATCTGTTATAACAAATGAAATTCGTTATAACGAATTCAATAAATTTGTTTTAACAAATTAAATTCGTTATAACGAATTCTAAAAATCTGTAATAACAAATTAAATTCGTTATAACGAATTCAATAAATCTGTTATAACAAATTAAATTCATTATAACGAATTCAATAAATCTGTTATAACAAATGAAATTCGTTATAACGAATTCAATAAATTTGTTTTAACAAATTAAATTCGTTATAACGAATTCTAAAAATCTGTTCTAACAAATTAAATTCGTTATAACGAATTCTAAAAATCGTTATAACAAATTCAAAAATATTTTTGATAGGTCCTAAATGGGCTTCCGTATCATATGGATACAAAAATACGTCTGCTAATAACGGAGAGCAATTGGTACCCTGCAAAATCCAGTACATTGTTGGAAGACCAGGTCTCCAAAAACCTCATCGATTGTCAATCAGAAACTCAAGCATCTTTTTAATATCAACTTCAGAGTACTCGTATGTACCATCAGAATGTTTTAAACAAAATAATTTTGCAAATGGCCAATGACAAGGTATGCAAATTTACGAGTTCCATTTTCATTGAAAAAGCAGTTGTAAATGATATCAAACATTTGTATACCGTATAAGTAGAATTTTTAGCGAGGATTTAATTTTGGCATTTTTAGCGAGGGTGCTGGGCTAAAAATAAAATTTCAAAAGGCTCTTTGGTGAACATATTAAAATCGCTAAAATTGCATCTCGCTAAAAATAAAATACCAGTTTTTAAGCACAAATCGCTAAATTTGCGTCTCGCTAAGATTTCCACTTATACGGTATAAAGTTGAAAAGTCGTAATATTTAATGTGTTGATTTTGGTCAAATTTGTGATTCCAAATTTTCTTAAGTATCCACATCTGATTTACACCAATTCTCGAATATATTATTTCACAATACTCAGGTGAAGTTTCTCCTTCATTACTGTTAATATTTTAGTGGGGAGTAAAGAAAGAGGCCTGATAGAACATTTTATGGAATTACTGAATGATATATAATTTGTCACTATATCTATTTGAAGAAATAAACAAACATATCTATTGAAAATAGCCTAAAATTTTGCGCCATAATTAAGAATTGTACACGGTTAGGAGAGAGTCGGGTAGAGAATTTGCGTCTTTTACGGCACCAAATGTTTCAGTTAGAAACTTGTGGATTTTTTTTTAGCAAATCATAAACAGAAAAAAGTTGAAAGATATAGAACATTTATCAATCTCGTAAATATTTTCGAGAATTCGATTTATGTATGTGGCAAAACTTTGTTAACCCCCTGAAAACTCGAGAGGGGGATCAGGTGCCTTTGAGAATTAAGCATCCTCCATCGACCATTGATCACACCCCTATCTTGAGCCCTCTGTATTGTTCTGTTATACCTTTCCAATCTCGCTAGTTAATATTCCGTGGTCTTATCTGCCCGTAACTGGATTTAGTGAGGGAAAAAGGGAAGAGAAATCGCTTTAATTTTTCGAAGCATTCTAAAACACCTTTTACAGTTTGTCAACTATGATGAAGAACCTTTTAAGTTTGGAACAAGCATCATAACCTAGAAATCACCAGAAATCTTAAAACACAAGGAATAAATATATCATTGCAAGGAAACCGTTCTACCGGGTTATCTACTTTTACCAAGATCTTGGCAATGTAAACCCTTCTTTCAATCATAAAAGAACATTCTGATTTTGATTGACAATTCGCTAGCATTTTATTGTTCAATTATGCCTTCGAACGGCAGTTGTGTTAAAGCCATGTCAGGTCGTAACTAGTTTTGAGCTTCAATTTGTCTGGTAATGGGAATTCATCGTTTGTCGTAAAATTAGTGCCTTAGTTATTATGAACTGAGCTCGTAAACTGTAGAGATATCTCGCGTCAATGATAATCCTTTGAAAAAATATGTCTGATTTGTATTGAAAGTGGGAATTTAAAGTAGGAATCTGATAGTCTAAGTGTTGGTTCAACTGAAAAACATGACCATTAATTTGAATATTGAATTATATTTTTGTTACAAAAACTAAGGAGAGTTTAGCAGAATACAGTCATAATTATTTTAAGAGATTTTATTTGTTTCATAAAGTTCAGATTTTAACAAAACAGAGATAATGGCGTCATTTTCGTAGCTTAACCAGCAATAATCCTCGGTTAAATGTTTGCACAAATGTTACATAAATAATAAAGTACACCAAACATTACGTGTATGTTCGTGTTAACAATGAATATAAATTAAGTCTTACTCAGATTGCGTAGGTTATTGCGAAAAATAAAACTTAATAAGAGAAACAAAAACATATTTGTAAAAGTTCACATGGTTTAACGACAAGAGTTCATTGAATACAATCATTCTCTCTTTAACGATTTTTAAGTATTTCAATACCTGAAGCAAAAAAGAAAATAATAAGTAAATATTTCCCATTATTAACAATAACAATATATAACTGAAGATATATTATTCGATAATTAAACGATTTCTTGGACCTTTTCAATAGTTCCCCGAGGGGTAGACACAAGGTACAATCGTTTTCCACTAGGGATACTGGGAAGTTTCGTCCTGTGTCCAAACACCGGGGAGTCGGGCTGTAAGCTTGGAATGTAATTATTAGCGGTCACTTGAATGTCTCGTCCAGCTATGGGTTTCAGAGGACGACGAAGGGCGCGGGGAGACTCTGCCCAATCTGTCTGTTGTCTCCTCGTATTTGGAGTCAGTGGCTCCCGGATCTTCGGTCCCACTGATCCCCTTCCACTTTCATCATCATCCAATAAACGATTCATATCGCGATCAAATGTGGACTCCCTCCTGAAGCTGTTAGATATTGGAGTGCTTGGTCTTCGTATTTGAAGAGAAGGAACGTCCACTGTCATTTTCATATTTGCGTTGCTTAATTTTGTGTCTCTGTCTAGTAATATATGAAGTCCCTTTTGATCGCGCACAGAACCAATTTTAACATTTCCCTCTTTCAACAAACACTTACAAAATTCGGGCATTTGAAGCTTTACAGCCAACTCAAGCGCATTCAAACTATGAGCATTGCGAATTTTGAGATCAACATCTTGTTTAGTTGAGAGATCAACAAGCATGCGCAATGCCAAAAGATTAGATGAATTTATGGAATGCATCACTGCAGTAAAACCATCATTGTCTTGGATGTTAAAATCACATTTTTTATTTCTTGATATCAATCGCACAATATCACTTCTTTCACATTCCATGCAAGCAAACATGAGAGCTGTCTGTCCATTCATATCTTGCGCGTTTACATCAGCACCGTGTCGTAATAAAATGCGTACTACGTGTGTGCGTACTTCGTCATTCGTGCAGCACACTGCGTACATTAAAGGTGTTTTGCTGTCTGCATCTCGGATATTGATGTCGTCTAATTGTCCCAAAAGTCTGTCTATTTGCCGAACTTTTCCATTAGCGATGGCAAGAAATAGTTTGGCAGTTTCTTTAGCATCCTCCATAGCGAGGGAACTAATGTTTCTTTGGAATTTCACATAACTTGAGTTTCCATTCTGCATCTGGATAGAGATAAAAAATATGATTGTAAATTAAAGATTATTATATTTATAAAGCTTTATTCAGCAAAGCGTATTGTGTGAGGAGGTTTCAGCTACGTGAGTGTTCGTGTCTTCTAATAATCTTATCGAGATGACTGGTCATAATATACATGTACTAGTATTGAACACAGATTTCGTGTTACAAGAAAGGATATCTATAAAAAAAACTAGCGAGCTTTACAAATGAAGTAAATCAACCCTCTTTTGTGTAGCTTTTGTTTAAATTAGTCCTGGGATTGAATTGCATTCCGTACCTCTAGTACTCCAACTTTTTTTAAAATGCTTACGATATTTTCAAATTAAATATCTATTTTGTTACTGAAAAAAATATCTCTGGTAAATGATTAAAAGAAATTGATGTTTTAAGTAGAAAAGACTGCCCTTTCTTTTCAATACAGATTTCTTCCTCAATGCAATATGAGCTGCATTTTAATAATTTTATTTCGCTAAGATGTGATTATGATAAAACTCTTTGTACATTGTAATACATGTACATGTATAAATCTTTTTGATCATTTAGACAAAAACAAATAATTAATTTTTTTCAGGGGTAAGATTTCTGAACAAAGTAATGTTAAGTATTACTAGTATATGAGAAATTAATATTGTATAGGATGGCAATATGTAATTTTACTTCAATTAAAGCTTATAAATAGTTTTTGCCATCACAATTATGAACAACAGAAGTTTATCAATGTTATTTTTTCTTTCAATGAAACAGTTAATGATAATTCTGCAATAAATAATTGCGACTTCGAATTTGCAGCTCCCATTGCTTTAAATCTTAACTATTTCACTTATCCAAAAATGAAGCTTATCAACCAGAGGCAGTCCCGTAGGCATATTGTTGTATAATGCATAATAATCTTATCCACTCCTTGCAGGAAAAAATCGAAAAAAAAATATAAATGAAGTTTTTTTGTCGATGGAATCCGATAATTTTCTTTAAAAATTAGGATTGTATATATGTAATTCGATATATTTCGCTGCTTTCCTGAAATTTCAAGTAAGAAGACTCCCTGTATAAAAACTGCAGAAAATATGCTTGCTCTGAGGGGAACTGGATTCTTGCTAAATCCCTTAATGATATACTTTAAAATGTAAAATATACAAACGGGCCTTTTCGTAGTAATAGTTCTAATTATGAGATCTTTTATGAATGTTTCATAAATTAATCTTGCTTTCTGGAAAATAAGATAAAAATTCTCAGGACATCTCCAGAAAGAAACAATGATTAATTAAATCAGAGAAATATGTCTCCGTTAGGTCTTATCCTCAAAATGAATAGTGGGCTCGGCGATCTGTCGTTTGGAGGTTAATTATAAGATTCTGTCAAAGCAGTATTCAGTTCCTTGATACGTCAGTAGCCTAAGTATTCTAGGTCCGTAATCAGGTCTCATTTGGTACAGTACGTGTATGTCTGCTGTGTATCTCAGGAGATGTATTGACGCGGGAAGAATAGACAGCCGCATTATTTATTAAAGAAAGGAAAAGTTTTGCCACTGATGCCGGGGTCTTTCACACAGTGAATATAGTGTTTTACGGGTTTCCAAAGACAGATAAGATACATGTAAAAAAAACCATTACTGGAAGGTAATATTAGTATAAAGAGAAAAAAATATTTCGATTGGATGTGTTGTTAGATATAAAATTCCTCAGATATTTTTTTAAGTTTTAAGGACAGATGATACAAACAATTTTTTTCTTTGAAAAAGATTTAATACCATGTCACAAGTTTAAAAAAAGTGGATGGTTCTTAGAATTTTTTCTCTGAAGAAGTGGAAAATGAAATAGACTTGGAAAATATTAGTAATATATCAATAAAAAAAAACAAATGTAGACAAATCACATTCAGTAAAGGTTTACAGGTGAAAACAAATTTCAGAATATGTTAAGTGTAATATAAACTTAAGAAAATTATACCAAGCCAGGTGAATTTTTTTTTAGGAAAAGCTAAATGGTAAAAATCAGCTTATGTGATATTGCTATAATTTTTTGTCATTTTGATCTTCCTCTTAAAATTCACCTGGCTTGGTATATTTTTCTTAAGTTTATATTACACTTTTAGCACCATGGTAACATATTCTGAAAATTGTTTTCACCTGTAAACCTTTACTGAATGTAATTTGTCTATATTTGTTTTTTTCAATGAAATATTATTAATATTTTCCAAGATTTTTTCATATTCAAGCTCTTAGGAGAAAAAATTCTAAGAACCATCCCCTTTTCTAAACTTTTGACATGATATTAAATCTTTTTCAAAGAAAAAAATTGTTTTTATCACCTGTCCTTAAAACATTATTTAAATTGTATCAAGCAAAGAATAAAACTATGCCATACAGTTAAATGAAAGGGTGACTGAAAGTGTACCGAAAGGTTACTGAAATGCAGAGTTCTGCCGTAAAGCCACCATTCCAGTCACCATTCATTTAACTGAGAGACGTAGTTTTATGCTGTAAAAAGAATGAGAGAAAATCGTTAAAAGTGCGTTATATTCATTAAACATGTCTTTATTTCCTAAATTACTTATGATCTATTTAATTTTATACATTTTCTCAATATATTGATATAACGCAAAGGCTTAATCAAAATGGTTTATTTCACAATGTAATTATTGCTCAGAACTAATTTTAAACTCATTCATGAAGTTGAAAATGTATTCAGAATACATTCTTTTACATAAAGGTACAATCCCAATGCTTGGTCAGGTTCCTTTATACAAGCAGTCATTGCAATTTGTTCATGTACATTTACGATGAGAAAACGAACGATCTAACTATCGAATACTTTTTTTTTTAAAGAGAAACGATTTTTTTTACATTTACAAAAGTTTTTTTAAGCATTCTACTTGAAAATACATTTTCTATCTCATTTTATACCATGATTTATTTTTCACGTCAGTAATTTAGTACTTACACTATTATCATCGACATTAGTTTCTTCATCCATTTTGGTGCATTTCACAGCCGTGCACAAATGTAAGCAGATATTAACAGTATTTTTTTCATCTACCAGCTGTACTTGTATAAGTAAGTATACATATAAATTACAGTTGTGGTATTCCAAATAAAGGTCTACAGGTCCAGTGACCTTGTACGGTTCTTATTCATCAATATTTCATTGTCTGTTGTGTATACTGGTACTAACAATCACGTAACTAAGTCATAATTACCAGTATCCTGATTATAAATTTTGAGATGAGCACATACATTTATGTTTTGATGCAATCAGAAAAATGCATTTATTTAGCCGATTGGTATAGACTTTCCCTGGGCCAAGTAAACAAGTACCCGTGCCAATTAGCTATCAAGTAACGAATGAAGAGGTACTACATATGTATGTTATTCAAAGAATTCTCATAGCCAGCAACCTAGACATTTGTAATAAAATTTTTATATAAAAAATATAATTATGAATAAAATAGTTTTAACGTATTATAGCCAGTGCTTAAAACCCCCTGAAACCTACCTATTTTCACCATATTCTCTTTGTGCTAATCCACGATCCAACAGAAAAACTATTTCCAAATCCTGTATGCAACAATATTGACTCCTGCCAATAGGACCTAAAATAAAAAAATTTAGACTTCAAATTAACAATCCCTGGAGTTAGTTCTAACATTTCAGAGAGTCAGTTTATATTTTATATCCAATAAGTTATTAGCGATATTGAACGGGTTTTGTGTTACATGGTTAGCTCGATATTTAAAATACACAACCGGTCCGAGGTATTGTCCGGTTTTTTAAAAAAAGGTTCTCTTGTTTGCTTACCATACATCTGATCCTGTACATCGGACTTTTAAGCTATATTTATTAGATTTACATTCAGATATCCCTGTTTTGTTTGTTCTTTTAGAAGATTGGGTTGTATCCCAAATGCATTGGCAAAGGTCACTCTGACGTCATAGCAATTGTTGATTTTTTTCGCTCGCGTCTTTAAAGCCATAATTATAGAAGAATTTCAATCACAAAAAGTCTGTATTAGATTGCTATCTCTTCTGTTCGATGACATGAAGTCTTCTGTGATGAAATCTTCAACATATATAATTTAATTTTCAATTCTTAAAATGAATATATTTTTAAAGTATAAAAATAGCCTACTTTAAGATTGACAATCTTTCAAGCAGTGTACTCATCACCTTATTCTAATTGCTAGATTTAAATGTATTTCAGAGTTAATTTCTCTCCCCAGGAGGGTATTTTATTTGATTGAATGCCAATTTCATATCAATTTCGGGTAGATTTTCAAATTAAAGCCATATGGAATTGACAGAGACGAAAATTGGCCAGATCCGATAAACAAATATTAGCTGAATAAATTACACAAAATAAATCATGGTTTAATCGCCTAAAAGATAAAAAATTACGTAAATACTGATTTTCAGAATTAAATATAATGCAAACTTTTGACACCCTCCAACCCTATTTAATATCCCGTTTTCTTTTATCTTTTAATAAAATCAAAAATAATTTTTTTAAAAATTAAAATAAAAAACAAAGATACAGTAAGGATGAAAATACATGTATATTTATTTTGCGACAACTTTCAGCAACTTTCACCTTACCAACTTCCTTATCTCAATTACTGGACCTCGACAAGGTTTACATGCATTTTAGTTGTAGTATACATGTACGTATATTTGATATCTGCTTTTTACAAGAACTATGAAAAAATACAGACAGTTAATTATGCAGTTTTGGAGCTAAGTCTCAAACTCGAAAAAGACGGAAACTATGAAATTTAGACATTTTCTATCATCAGCCGAAAGAATCCTAAGCACAAAAAGCTACATGCAAATAATGATTGGAAGCTGAAAAGTTCTCAATACATACTGATTAAGGGGTACATATAAAATGTTTACAGATGACCCACCGCAATTAAGCTCAAACGTCCATTGAAGCAATACAAATCTGGAATAAAGCAAACACGGACCTCTAAAAACATCATAGATAAGATCAGGTGCCTAGGAGGAGAAAGCGTTCCCTGTCAGTCGGTCACATCCGCTGTGTACTCCTTTACATGATTTTTAAAAAAAATGAAAAGCCGGTTGACTATTCAGTTTGTAAATAAAATTGCCTAAAATATCTGTCAGCATTTGACTTAATGAAAGATTGATTTGCTGACAATATTTGTGTTGACCAAAGAACTTGAGTTGACTCTAATCGAGACTGTTCTTATTTTTTCATCAACTTGTTTTGTCAATAGCTCTTGCGTAACGAATCAACTGAGTGATATAGACCCTATATGCAGAGAATTTATTGTTACATAAGTGAATAAAAGTTGATGATGGATACGTGTACATGTTATTTAGTTCTCTTCGGAAAAAAAAACCATTCACTATACTCACATGCATGACAAATTTTATTTTTATGATGACTTTGATGCTATTTTTTGCACTGCTATAAAATTATGCTGATTGATATCTGCATGGGTTATAATTAAATCTTCGACCTTGAATCTTTAATTTCAGGTAAAAACAGCAGAATTTGAGTGATAGCTTCCTGTAAAGGTTATACATTATGAATCAGTTTAAGCGGTACAAATCAATAGAGGAATTTCCTTAGCAGCATGTGTACTAAATGTACTAGGCATTACAACTTAATAATTTCATTCATTCAGCGGTTAAATTCTTTAACGATGATTGGTGAGTCTAAATTCTAATATTTTCCCCTTTTTTAGATAAAAAAAAAATTGAGCAAGCTCATTTTTTGTTAATCAGTATTGACCAAAACCTCTATTTCCGTGTTGAATGCATCAAATCAGAGTCGGATGAGCAAAGCCTAGACTATCTGAATTAAAGATCCACAGAGATACATGTACAGATATGCTCAGATTCATATCGGACCGGGTGCAATAAATGTTGCTTTTACCCCTCAGGCAAATGATTTTATTTTCACATTATCTCTAATTTGGAAAAGCATTACAAAGAAAATATATAAATGTTGAAAAATTCCGGGCACTGAACTGCAATGGTTTATGTTTTATTCATAATAAAACTGGTTTCCTGACAAGAATTTTGTATAATTCTTAAGGATTTGCACTTGACGCCAAGGATAAAAGTATCAAGGATCATATGACATTTTTTCAGAACGAGGAGATTGTTAACAATTGTGACAATGATAAAAACATTATATGTGTGTCTTTCTTTTTTCAGAATCTCATTCGACAACTTCATCGTTGACTTACTAGTATCTGCAACCTAGTAATACAGTGCCATATGCAAACTAAAACTACACTTTTTTGTCTAAAATACTAGTACGAGTATTCAAATTTTGATGTCCATTGATAAGTGATAAGGCAGCAGATAAGGTTAATACAGTTTACAATGCTAGTATTATCGTGTCTATTTTCAGGAATTTGGAAATGCAGACAGCAGATTTGTTGCTGTGAATCAATGAGTTTGGGTTTTTTTTTTGTTTCTGTTTGTTTGTATTTTTTGCTTTTTTCAAAACAGTTAAACAATTCCTCCTCCATAACTTAAATCAGTCTGTAAATTATTCTATATAACAAATTTGTTAGTACAGGATTAATGTTTGTCAATAATTTACCTCGTTTTAGAAATTGTTCATACGTAGAGCATGCTGTTGCGTATCGAATCAACTGAGATATATAAACTCCGTATACAGGTGATGAAGGTATATTGCTGCATAAGTAAGGGAAGTTGACAATTGTAAAGTTAAAGTCATCACGTTTGTCATAAAGCTTGGTTGTTAGATTAGCATTAATGTCTTTTTCAAGTTTTACATCCAAATGTGAAACAGATGTGTCAGAGTCTGTGGTATCTTTTATCTCAAGCTCACCAGGATATATCATATCGACATAAGAATGGAAATAATCATATTAGTAAATTGACAATACGTCGTCCATATATATAAATGTCGAGTTGAAGGCCACAGCAAGTGTTTTCTTCTTTTCACGCATAAGATTTTGGACAAAATCTGCTTCATATGATTACAAAAATAGGTCTGCTAATAACGGGGCGCAATTGGTTCCCATGGGAATTCCAATAGATTGTTGGAAAACCTAGTTTCCAAAAACCACATAGATATTGTCAATCAGAAACTCAAGCATCTTTTTGATATTAACTTCAGAGTACAATCAGTGTACAATCAGAATGTTTTTAACAAAATAATTTTTCAAATGACCAATGACATGGTAAGTAAATTTACGAGTTCTATTTTTATTAAAAACGCTGTCAGTAATATTAAAAAGCCTGGACTTTAATTTATCGTAGGAAATGGTTGTATATAAAGTTGAAAAGTCGTAAGTTTTTAAGCTGTTGATTTCGGCAAAATGTTGTGATTTCAAATTGTCCAAAAGTTCTTGGAATTTTTAAGTATCTACATCTGATTTACACCACTTCTTGAATATATTGTTGCACGATACTCTTGAAATTTCTCCTTCACTACTGCTAATATCTTAGTGAGGAGTAAAGAAAGAAGCTTGGTAAACCGCTATATATCTTTGTTTGTAAGGATTGTTATGAAGTTTTGGAATCCAATACTAGTATATTTATGGTAGTTCAAATTCATTTTGGTTCATTGGGATATTAAAAATATTCAAAACTGACATATGATTTTAAAGAATTTCTTCCTTAGAAAGGGAACTATGAGTATAAGTTGGATTATCACTTGTAGAATTAAATCCAAGTTCTTCTAAAATACAATTTATATAATGAGCCTTATATAAACGAAGACAATGTTGTTATCTGCTTTGTCAGCAGGGACTAGTACGTACTGGTCATGTAATATATCTGATTCTTTTTTTCACTTCTGTTTATTGAATACAGAAGGATAGATTGTTTTTCAAATTGCCCCTCAATAATGAGCCTTACAACAAAGACAGAATGTTATTTTTTTCCTGCAAGTGCTGCAACATTCATACTAACATACAAGAAAAAATGTTTTATTATAAATAAATTTTCAGGGGTTGTAAATATATACATGTTTTAATTCATTTAAGTTTCATGCATTAATTAAGTATTTCAGATATTGCAATATTGCAAAAGGAAGATGTACAAAATTTTTAATGCACACAGTTGTATCAGGTAAAAGTATGAGATGCAAACATTGGTTATGGTATTATATATTACACGTATGTAAGGGGAGTTAAGAAAGTTCGTTCCACATTTTTCTTTTATTTTCGAATATACGATGAGAAGATATTTACAGTTTGTGATACTTCATAATTACAGAGTCCATTCTTGCTACTGATAAGGTTTTAGCGGTATTTTGTTGAATCAATAAGGGGAGGGCAGGTATTAAAACAGATGATGTCTGTTCAGAAAAATTAGTGATGATGCATATTTGTGACATACATTAAGCACACAGGTCAAAACATCCTTTCAAATACTATGCAAAAATTATCAAATCTGTGAAAAATTCCGAAATGGCAAACCTATTCTTTTGAAAAGTGATTTATTGTTCTTATACCTACGCTCCTCAGCTTGTGTGATGCAAGACAAGCTATGAAGAAACAAAAGTAAATTATCCTTTATTTTCACTCATAATGACCAGCATTTCTATCATTCGAGTGATATATACAGACTGTATATATATTTTCATATGGAGGAAAAATCATATAATTTCCTGCTAAAAATGAATTGCTATAAATCTTAAGCACATTCTTGTGATTTTGTCAGACTTGAAAATCCATCGCTTTACTTGAGCACTACTTTATTTATATAATAATAATAATATTATAATTTATATAATATACAATATTTCATCATGGAACGAACTTTCTTAACACCACTTACAACTATATATCCCTAGTTCTAACATACATGTACATGTAGGACTTCTTAAATAAACCACAGGGAACAATTAGACTTGAATGAAGGTTCAGACATTATATTTTCCCGTCGTTACAACTCCTTGTTTATTATTTATGGCTAGTTAATAAATTGTAAAACTCAAACAAAACAATTCAAACATAACCAATTTCTTATTTCAACTTTAACGTCAGATCAGAAGTTCCCCAGACCGACACACTACAAAGAGAAGTAACTGCTATTTCGTTTTTGACAGTTCTACATCAGCGTTTAGTTCCTCTTAAGGATATTTTTGTATAGATATGGTTTTTCCAATTGATTTATTCAAATGCTGGAAAATATTTGTAGTATTAAATGTTGGTACTTTGACACTTACAGGCATGAAAGCAAAATTGTAAAATAGAACTAGTTTAAAATGTAATCTTTGTAAAGTCTATGTGTAATTCACGAAATACATGTACACTGTATTTAAACAACCTTGCTATTTCCATAGAAAACTAAACATTTCATACTTTGAATATAAAATTCTTTTATTATGTTTTAAGCAGTAAGCTACCGCTTAAATTTCTTCATTGAACATAATTATGTTATTTTGTACATCACTTTACAACACAATAGGCAAGAAATGCATACATATAATATTACATTTTCTCAACAGCAATCATACCATGTACCCTAGTACTTGAGTGAACATTTTCAACAACAAAGTTTATTATGCAAAAAAACTTTAAAATTCACAAAACAGTCACTCCCGAATTTCTGCTTTTAATCTGTATGGTTGAGCAAATGTTGTTATTCCAACAATGCCTTCAAAATTCAACACGTCCGACTCTAATACTTTGGAGAAGCGGAACTTTTGAATGAGATTAGAAAAGACTATAAACATTTCGGTTCTGGCTAAAGATTCTCCCGGGCATATTCTTGGACCTACAAAAGAAATATTATCAGTAACAATTGAACAAGTAGCTATTTTTTACGCGAAAAAGGGTAATTCTAAATAGCTGATGCAAGACTGTCTGCTTTATTGGCGCTCGGATTTCTATTTCGATAACTAACCTATTGAGAAAGGAATGAGATGATCTTTGTTTGATATTTTTCCAGTGGCTTCATCAATAAATCTCTCTGGACAGAATTCGTGAGGTCGGGAAAAGTTTTCCGGATCTAAATGTGACGATGTGAGGAAACCCATAACTATAGAGTTCTTTGGAATCACGTGACCAGCGATCACAACATCCTCTGTCGCCGTGTGCGGTAGAGATGAGTTTGCTTTAAAGGTAAAAAAAAATAATCAAAATTACATCAAACATTCTTAAAATTTTACAAAAAAATGATAATAAACAATGTTTTGAACATAATTTCTAATTAATCTCATATAAGAACATCAGAAAGTCAGTTCCCATATACGCAAAAACACTGTATTGCTGTTTCTGAACAGGTCTATGTGTATGATCTCAAACAAATCTTGTCTTGTTAATTATAATTATAAAATTATTGTTAAGTTTTTGTATGAAAATTGCATTTTTTAAAAATATTTTGTACATACCTATATTTGCTATTCTTTGTACTTCCATGAGTGTGGCTTCAATATATGGCAACTGTGACTTGTCTGATAAACGAACTTCTCTATCAACTCCGACATTCTGTTCACAGATTTAAAAAAGGAATAGAAATAATACTCTCCAGGAACCTTGGGCTTTTTAAACTGAGCAAACTTATTTTACCTAACATACTAAGTATGTAAATTCTTGTAATTTCATAATTTGATTTACATGTTTTAAAATATTTATGTATTCACCTTTTTTATTTCTTCGTAACATTTCTCTTGAATTTTCGGATGACTTATCATGTACAGAAAGGCCCAATCTAGAGAGGTTCCGGTGGTCTCTGTTCCAGCCGAAAATAACTCTAGGATAACTCGGAACAAGTGATTAACTATAACAGAAAAAAACAATACATTTTGCTTTAACTATTATAGATTAAAGATATATTTGAACCTGTTATCTATTTTTTTATTGTAGAAATAGTATTTTTGATTTTGCAATTAATTTTTGTTTAAATTTCTTCCTTAGCACGTCGTAATAAACTTTAAGTTCCATGTCAAACTGTCTTACCTTTCATTTCGCCATCTTGTCTCTGTGACTGAATATATAGATCTACGAAATCTCTGATGTTATTTTCATCATATGTTTTCTCGTGCTCTTCTATTTGATCTTTTACGTAAAGGAGTAGGACTTCATGTGCTTTCTTCCTATCCTTCTTTGAAATTCCCTTTTGTTCAAAGTATGACACCACCGTTAACCACAAAAACATCATATATACATGTAATTTGATTATTAAAAGTTCGATTTCACTTATTTAAATCATTAATTAAACCTCCTCTTACAGATGATAAATGATTTTTATTGCATGGTCTTTCATTCAAAGACCTAAATAGTTTTTTTTAAGTGACTTGCCAATTTCTTCCCTTTCCAGCAAAAGTAAATGCAATTATGAAATTTCATAGAATTTTCTAAAGGAAATATTAGAACTTTACAAATACTCTTACCATTCTAAATTGCAGTATACTTGGAAGTGATGCTATGATGGCCCCCGGCCCTTTAAACAAGGTGTCCAGGGCCTCGATCAATTCCAAAAACTTCTTATCATCATGAGGATACCTAGAGAATCAAAATTGAACTTTAGTGCAACTGAAGTTCATTTTCGTCAGATTTATTTAAAAAATATCCCGTTTTAAAGAGTCTACATGTACATCTACATGTATTGTATATGGAGAATACTGTTACATAACTGAAGAGTAAAATGTATTGAATTTAGCTCACCTAAATCCAAATACAACATGGTGAATAACGTTGCTAATTGATGTCGTCATCATGCGTTTTACGTCAGAGATCGGTTGTCCTTCCTTGGAGGCGAAAATGGCGCTCAGGGTTTTAGCCTCGTCTTGGATAACTTCCTCGAGAGATTTCTTTCCGACGCCAAAATCGCGCATACTTTGCAGAGCAAATCGTCGTACTTTCTTCCAGCTCTCTCCATTTGCCCAAACAATTCCTGAAACAAAGAATAATTCATATACAGACACTGTTTTTAAAAAGGCTCTAGACCTGTTAGTATTTCCCTAATAAATGTAAAGTACAGGTGTATTCGTTTGATATACATGAAAGAAATATAAGGAAATCAAAGATTGCATTATATATTATTTAATCAATATTTGCTTACATTTTCTTTACATTTTTATTTTAACCCTACTGTTTTCTTAGGTAATGGGAAGGAAGTCTTATAATTATGTATTATAGCCCAACGCAAAAGCGGTCGTGCAGATAGGTTAGAGGGTTAGTCCCTTCAGTATTAAACTGAATGTCCACTGTGTTTCATAATTTTTCCGTAAACATGTTTATCTATTAACAACATATTCCAAAGTATCATATTTTAATGAAATTAACTAGCAGTTTAAATTATTCCAATATATATTTAATTGAAATAACAAGACGTTTTATTGTGATCAACAGATCATAACCTTTCAAGACGTTTTTAAACAGAAACATAGTTTGTTTTTCTGGATAGCTATTATTGAACATAGCTAATATTGAACATTCTTTGAAAGCGGATTTTGTGCAATCTTGATGGGTAAAAATAATTTCTTTTTAAAGTTAAAAGGAAATGTTTTTAAAGGTGATAATTTTAAAGATGTTTGATAAGTTCACAATTATATAAATTTACTGGTTAACAAGATGTACAACATTGTCTTACCAAATCCACTATTTGTCCTTCTCTGTATCTCAGGTAACCAGTTTGGGCGGTCGCTGAATTGGGCTGCATGTTTAACAAAAGCATCATGAATATTGTCATACCCACTGATGACCACCATCTGATACGGACCGACATACAGACGAAATACGTCGCCGTACTTCTTCCGCAGAGCCAACAGTCCAACGTGTCGTTTTCTACCCATACGGAGGAATTGGATGAGATTTCCGATGAAGGGAAGCGCGAATGGCCCGGGAATGGATGTAGACGGTCTGCCCATCACAAAGGCAAGAGCCAAGAACACAAGAGTGAAAACCAAGATTGTTGTCAGATCTAGAAAACTGAACACAGAAACAGGAGACACTTTAACCCAAGAAGCCGGGTCAATTGTGGATCCCAAAACTTGATTGTAAGGCATTCTGATAACTTTGAACGTTTAGCTGTGAATGGTTCCGAGATTGTTACTCTGCTTCTTTTAAATATATCCCAGGCCAAGCAGAAGTCAGAAAGTAGACCGCTTGTATACAAGGTGAGACATTCGTTCCGGTTCAGATAATATCCTACAGGTGATATTAAAAAATTGGTCTAGATGTCATACGTTTATCGTTATATAAGGCTAGTAAACAAGGTGGTGTTATTTTAGATTAGACTATGCATTAAACGTCAATATACCTTCTCAGTTAAGTTAATTCAGCAATAAACAACGATCAATGAGAGAGGCCCGTTTTTTGACTTTTTCTGGTCGGTCACAAACTAAGGCTCCTATGACGTAGCGCGTTATATTTCCTGAACTGTTGCTTAGACTTGGAGACGTAAGTATTTACTACCGGTCCGGGGAGTTCAATAATCTCGTATGTATAGGATATTAGCATCTACTATACATGTACATGATGTATGGCTATTAATTGTTACTAATCAAAAATTTGCTAAAGTTTAAAATTCTCTGATTTTTTTTTTTCTGATTTACAAAGAGAAAAAGCATTAAAAGAATTATCTATGATTTTTTTTTCAGATATATTATCAAAAATATATCGCGAAATTTAAAACTGCACGGTTCCAAATGAAAAATGATTTGCAGAAGAAATAAAAACCAAATACTAGTAAAATATTTTTTAAATGTACTCGCACGGTAAGTTAACTGATAATTTTGTGTTCAAATTTTCAGAAAGTTCCTTGTGTTGTAATTTTAAGCATCCGCAACTGATTAACACCAATGTATTGTTGTTCATAACTCCTGAAGTTCCTCCTTCGTTGCTGTTAATATTTTAGGGAGGAAGTAAAGAAAGAGGCTAAGTAGAACATTAACTGGAACCTCTTAATTTATCGTTGAAGGGGTTTTTGTGTTAATTGTTTGGGAATCCAGCTAGTGGAGGCATGATAATTAAAATTACAATTTGATTGTTCGGAATATTAATATATGATTAAAACCGAAAGACATGACTGTATGGTTTTAAAGAAATTCTTCCTTAGAGAGGATTACATATGAGTAAGTTTGGTTATCATTTGCAGAACTAAATCCAAGTGAAAAAACAATTAAAATCACGCCCATTACAAACAAAGACAATGTTGTGACTTGCTTTGCTATCTGCAGCTAAATCAAATTTATCGTGTAATCTTCCTATGTCTTTTTTTCCACATCTAAATTATTAAAGGCAGAGGGATAGGTTATTTTCATTTTGCCCTCTAATTGTTTCATTTAAAAAAATCAACATCAATCTGATAATTTTAATCCATTCTGACAAAGTTTTAAATTCTTTTTCAAGTTTGGCCTATCGCCTGGCATAATCCTCCACGGAATTCATATCACAGTGTGTATGAAATTTTGACGCCAGTTGAAAGATCGGGGCTCTCTAAATTCACATCTTTTAAAAAAATAATTTTAAAGTCCTCATGATTAACTATATTTACGGCCTAAGTATTGTCATGTCCCACAACTATATTTGAAGAAAAAAGAAATGTCTGGCGTAATCTTCCGCAGAATTCATAATACATTTTGTATTTACGAAATTTTGACGCCAGTTGAAAGGTCGGGACTCACTAGATTTAAATTCTTTTAAGGGGGGACCTATGTCCGAAAAGTCTTTGTGTAAAATTTTCAAAAATTTTCAAAATTTTGACATTTCTTTCCTGACCACTTGCTCTTTATTTTTAGGTATTAAAAACAATACCTTTATATGCTTATTTTTACATAGGAGCACGTGCAAAAACAGTGTAAAATGCTAAAAATAAATTATTTTCAGATATATCAAAAATATCTACTCCAAATATGCGTTAAAAAGAACCAAAAATGTAAAATCACATTCGAAATCAACATGTATTCAATTTATATGACTTGTACCTTTAAAATTAAGGCAAATTCATTGAAATTTATTTCGCATGAAAAATCATAAAGGCGCACAATATAAGTATCACCCCGTTTTTCTTGTCGTATTTTTAACAATTCCGACTATATATATATATATATATATATATATATATATATATATATACATATATATATATATATATATAAGTCTTTGTGTGAAAATGTCGTAATTCATATTGTTTGAAAGAAACGACACATCTCTTTATTTTAACAAAGAAAAAAGTATACCTTTATGATAAAATAAACAAGAAATATGACGTTTTCTTTTATTTTCGTACTCTTGTGTCATAAATTTTGACCTTTTTGCACTAAAATAAAGGTAATAAAGGTAAGTAAGCACTGACAAACATCTCAAAATAAAACTAATTTGCGAAAAACGAGTATTTTGTTTTGATTTAGAAACCATCTAAACAGATTAATTCTTTTCTTCTTCATTCTACCCATTTTGCCCCCCCCCCCCCCCCCCCATTTCCCCGTCAACAATGAACACCTATTAGAACCTAGGAATGACTTTATAAAATAAAATCTACATGTACTACAAATCAATAAGCAAATATACGTACAAGCACATTTCTAATTGTTTTCTTAGTTTTATCCAGAAAATAAAATTAAACATATTTCCCTGATTTAAGCCGCTTTCTTTGCTGAATTTTATCTTAAATCTTTGTGCAGTTATATATCAGCATATCATCGAGGTATTTCTTCACAACTTAAATTATTATGAATTATCTACCAAAGGAAGAGAATACTAATATTTACAAACTCCATACTTCAAATAAGACTGTCATTAATAATGAATAAATTTTCTTTTTGTAAACTGTGTACGTTATTGATTAATAACAATGTTATGTCTATATCACTACTGCAAAAGTCAACAGGTAAAAAACAAACGTCGCTATTGTGACGTCACATAACGTGTGTTTGACGTAAATTTTGAGGCCAGTTGAAAGGTTGGGACTCTCTAGATTTAAATTCTTTTAAAATACATAGTTAATTAAAGTCCTCATTATTATTTATATTTACGTCCCAAGTATTGTCATGTCCAACAGGACTATAGTTGGAAAAATAGTCGATTGATATTTTTAAGAATTACAAAGTGTGGAGTTTAACTTGTAATATAATGAAAAAAAATGTACAAGACTGGACCCTTTTGAGATTAAGAGTATTACTGAAACATGTTCTTACTGAACTTTGACTTGTATCTGAATGTGTATTTCCTTTCAAATGAAATACTGGAAATAACATTCAAATCATTTCTTGAAAAGTTTCGATTTTTAAATAAAGATGTTCTGAGAAAAAATTAATTGCACCAGTGCGATGTGTATTGTGCAAATTATGATTTGTTAAATTTTTAGATCTTATATGGACTTAACTTTGATCTACAAATGTTTTTTTTTCAAAATAATTTCATTTTTAATTCATTATTTTTAAGAAATATTAATTGTAGCACTATACAGTATTGGAATATTAGATTTAATACATAATATCGATTTCAAAATAGGTTTTCTCAACAGTAATTAACTATAATATCTGAAGTTTCAATCAAATGTATATGTTTCATTTAAAGCTTTGGTGATATATTTACTGTAGCATTGTGATGTTAGGAGTGCAAAATGTGTGCTGTTCAGCTGTTGTGTTGTAGAATTACTAAATTCAATGTTTTTTTATTTATATGTAAATTAAATGTATTTCATGTACAGGAAGTCAGTGTATTTGTTTTTCTTCCCTCCTTGTACATTCCAGTCTTTTTCTGTAACTCTCATTTTCTTTATTTTAACTTTCTTATCTTATTAAAAAAAATTGTCCATTCTAAATTTAAAAAACGAAAGAGAGAATTTCGAACACTATTATGGGTTTCATAAGAAATTGTTTAAGCTATAACATAGACAATATAAGCATAAAGTTAACGTCATAACGATCGTGTTTTAATCTTTCCAAGTAAACAGCTCTTTGGGTGGCATGATTAAACACAATCACAAGAATGTGACCAGATTCTGATGAAAACAACAGTTTTCACAGGATTATACGAGAGTTTATAAATAATATATGACAAATACAAAGAACTATGAATTGTATGCCACATATTTACTGACAGCAAACTCTTACGAGAAGCTTGCATCCCTAGAAGCTTTATAAACCGTTTCTTAATTGAATTTAAACGTATTTTCCAATTGAATATATTCGCACTAACAATATAATTAGGTAGATACTATATACCTTTGCTTGTCTTACAAATGAAAAAAAAATATATTGGAACTCAATACCAATTTTCTTGGAGGACAATTTTTTTGTGAAATTTTGAAATAAACTTACATGTTTTTGTCAATCTCATAACTTCTGACTAATACATGTTTGTGCTTACATTTTTATGTAGTTCTGCAGGTTGTTTATTGATAATTCATATCTACAAAAATGTGAAATAATAACTAATGACTGGGAACATTAGCATGAGAATCACTACTCATAACTTAGGAATAATGAATTTTGACACACAGCTGTTGTGTACGCTGTATTTTCCCTATTTATTAACGTTTGTCCGGTGTTTTGACATTCCTAGGCAAAGCCAAAATATAAACAATGATATTGTTTACATCAGATGCCGCACAAACAATGCGTAAACATGACCCCTCATGTTTTTAATAATCCTCTTCGTATACAGAAAAGAAACCAAAACGTATATTTTTTTATTTATGAAGAGAAATATAAAAACCGAGTTGCCTGTGACAAAATATATTTACTTTCAATTTACAAAATTTTATTGTTGCATGGAAGTCCTATTTTAAGACTAGAATGGAACATAAAGATCTCTGTAGCTGCTCATAATAACGAACAGTATTCAAGTTTTAAAGTCTGTTAAACAATACAAACCAGGAGCAGAGAAAACACAGACCCTTAAACATCAGAGAGGGAATCAGGTGGCCTGGAGGAGTGGGCAGCCCCTGTTGCCCTGTCATACCCGCCGTGTGCTCCTTGTCATGATTGGAAAAATAACGGGAAAATGTCGATAATTCAGTTTGTAAATAATAGCCCAACACTGAACATCTGACTTCATGATAAGGCGACATTTTTTTTAATTTCTTGGTTTACGGATCCGCCGACTTTTTTTTTGAGGAATTAGAAAAAAAAAATAAAATGGAAATTTGAGATTTTTTTTAAAGTCTCCCGACTTTATTAAAGAAGAAAACCCAAAAATGAAAATAAAATATGTTAATGTTACAAATGATCTTAATAGATTATTAACATGGAATATCTATCTTTGAGCTATAAAAATAAAAGATGCAATACATCTGGGGGAAATGAATTCCAGTATTTTGTAATTAGTTATTAAGTTTACTTTCATGCATTTAAGACACTGTAGTTGATTATAAAATCAATAACAGTTATCATGACATTTGGTAATGAACTTATCTGTCCATCTTCGCATTACCATGATTACGGATGTTTACATTCAGGGTTTGATTGATTGATTGATTGATTATATGCTGTTTAACGTCCCTCTCCAGAATATTTCACTGATATGGAGACGTCACCATTGCCGGTGAAGGGCTGCAAATTTAGGCCTATGCTCGGCACTTACGGCCTTTGAGCAGGGAGGGATCTTTATCGTGCCACACCTACTGTGACACGGGGCCTCGGTTTATACGGTCTCATCCGAAGGACCGCCGCATTTAGTCGCCTTTTACGACAAGCAAGGGGTACTGAGGACCTATTCTAACCCGGATCCCCACGGGGCTTCAGGGTTTGAATAATACCCCCAAAACACGTAAATTCCATATCATTCATCTTTTCCGTTTTCTCAATTTAAATAATCATGAAAAGTTTTTATTTTCACATATAATAAAGTAGTCTTATAAATGTACAAAATGATACAAAAACAAAAAGTTTTGATCGTTTACTAAGAGAGAAAAAATACTTTTTATAATTTTTGGGCTCAAATCTGCACTTTGAAAGGAAGCGTTTAAAAGCTAACAAAGTTCTAGTTTGTTTGGAAAATCATATTTATTTGATTTATTTTGAAAGTTTAGTCCCTCATTATTAATTCAACTTACATTTGAAAATTTCTCCAAGTCTTCGATTGTGTAAAAATTATAACTAAATTCATTGTTCTATTATAATTTTGAGAGGCAGAAAAGAAGATACTTTCATATGCCACCATTCCGCCAAAAATATAGTCCCTGCTAGTTTTCAAACGCAGTTTACCATTTCTATTTAAAGTTGTACATTTCTGATGAGGAAAGAAAAATATGGTCTTTTAAATTCCTTACACCTCAATATATAAGACATATAAGCAAATATACTTTGAATGTTTCATCTGGTCAGAAACCAGAGAAGAATCCTACCTTAAGTTGGTCCCCGATATTGTAGGAATTTTTTTCCTAAACAAATTTGTAATAGGGAGCAAATGAGGTGAATGCATGGATCTTTATTCTTGTTGACAACAAATACGGTATGGCACATCATGGAAAAAGAAGTGTTTGACTGAAATAAATACTCATAATACAATTTCGTAGTATTGTTGCTTCCTCACATTGCATTTCTGTCATGAAAACACAAAAGCTTCATTTTATTTTTATTTTTCCCTACCGACCTTAATTTTTGAAGAAAAAAAAATCTTTAAACCAAGAAATTAAAAAAAGGGATTCCTAAATTGTATTTACTGACAAAGTAATTGTATCGCACTTATAAATCATAAGTCATCATAAAATGATGATTTTAATCGAGACTGCTGATATTCTTGTTTCATCAATTTGTTTGTAGCTCGTTTTAGAAATTGTTCATAAGAAGAGTAATATGCTCTTGCATATCGAATCAACTGAGAAATTTTAACCATGTATGCAGGAGATAAAGGTATTTTAATTGCTGCACGAGTAAGGGAAGTTGACAAGTGAAAAATTAAAGTTATCATGTTTATCATAAAGCCGAAGGCTAAAGTGAGCTTTTCTGTTCGAAATTCGTACGTTTTCTGTCGTCGTCTTTTTACTTCTCATAATTTCCATCTTCTTCTCTGGGACTACTGAGTCAATTTCAACCATACTTGACACAGAGTATCCTTGGGTAAATTAAAATTAGTGGCATCATTGTAAAATCTTCTAAAGAACCAATAAGTCAGGTAATTAAGATGAAACTCGTGTGGAATCATTGTCAGGTTGTTCAGATCCGCATACCTTTATATATGCATCAAATTTGCATATGTCTGGACCTTGTATTCAAATCATTTTAAAAAAATTTTAAGTATTCAAAAAAATGAAAATAGGCATTGTAGATCAAAAAGATAGATTACTGATTATAAGAAATAATTCATGAAATGGACAAATTCGAAAGTAGCTGCAGATGTTTTGTTGCTGGTCTTCCAAAACCAAGATAGACAATCAGAGAGCTACAGTACCACCCAGTGAAAAAAAATGATTATTCATTGCTAATTCAAAAGCATTTAAGGTTTTATTTAAATTTTTAATGTAAAATTAAAGAAAAATACACAAAAAAAATTTCATTTAATTTAATGGCTTTGCAAGGTGAGTTATAAATGTAAATGACCCGTAGTACATCTGCTTTGTTTGTTATATAAAAAGATGAAAAAAAATAGTTTAATAAAAACAACATTGATCGCGAACACATTGCACAAGTAAGTCTTCAAATTCTAATTATTGATGCCTTATTCCCACTTTTAGTCTGTATGGGCCTGCACATGTTGTGACACCCGTTGTTCCCTCATAATTTAATACGTCATCGTCAGAAACTTTGGAAAAACGAAACTTTTGTATGAGATTACAAAAAACAAGAAACATTTCTGTTTTTGCAAGAGATTCTCCTGGACAGGCTCGAGGTCCTAAAAAGGGTAAATATTTTGTAAGTAGAGAAATCCAGTTGATCTCAAGAAAACAAAGAATTTAGGCAATGTTGTTAACTTGAACTTACCTATTGAAAATGGGATGAGTTGGTCTTGATATTTAACCTTACCCGTGACCTCATCAATAAATCTTTCTGGGCGGAACTGACGTGGTTCAGGAAAGTGTTTTGGGTCAAAATGTGATGATGTTAAGAATCCTAATACAATGGCGTTCTGTGGTATTATATGACCAGCTATTTGTATGTCTTGCGTGGCCATATGTGGTAATGACATGCTTGCTAGAAAAAAGTCATAAATTGAGAATAATGTCATGTAAAGTAGAGTTTTTCCACCACGTCTTCCACTATATCAATTAAATCCTAATTAATTTTCAAAGAAAAATCAATGAACATTTAATTATCATCTGATACATCAAATCCATCTTTTCCATCTGGCTTAACTGAGCTTAAAATAGAAACAAACAGGCACTATTTTAATGTTCATACACAAGCTCACCAATATTTGATATTCTTTGAACCTCTAGAAGTGTACTCTCTATGTAAGGCATTGAACTTCTGTCGGATAAACGGACCTCTCGTCCTAAGCCAACAACCTGCGGAAGAATATACGATGGCTATAAAAGCATCACTCAGTTCTTTGTTATTGTAAGAAAACATCAAAAACAATGGATAATATGTTTTGATATCTGATAACCTATTATGTGCCTTTGCTGCTCAAACAAAAGAATATGGTAACATAATAACTTAGGAGTCTTGGCAAACAAGAAAATGGTTAATTCTGTGATTAAATGTGCTTATGCCTAACCTTTGCATTTTTATGACAGATTGAAGGATTGTCCTTTAGTTACGAGCATTTGAAATATGGTTATAAATTCTTTTCCAATTTGTATGCAATATATATTTTTGTTGTTTTATGTTGTTTTTGTCAATATTTCCGTACCTGTTCAATTTCGTTAAAACATTTTTGTTGAATTTCAGGATAACCTATCATATAAAGTAACGACCAGTCTAGAGAGGTTCCAGTTGTCTCTGTACCAGCACCAAACAAATCCAAAATCACTCGGAACAAATGATGAAACGTCCCTTAAACATACAAATTATACCAAATTATGTGTATCTTTTTTGCAGTAAAAAAGTTTTTTAAGCTTTCAATTTTGCAAGATACATTTAAAAAAAGAATGATCATAATCTCTCATCAAATTCTCTCGAACCAGAGTCATTCCTTCCCGAAAGATCTTTTATTACAGGGAACAAGTAACTGGTGCAGGAAGCGTCACTTGTCCACGTAGGTCTTCCGGAATGAATTCTTTTTTCACTTGTAAGATTATAGCAAAAAATATTGATAAATGTAAATATAGAATGTTCAAATACCTTTTTCCTTTATTTCCCCTTCAGCCCGCTCAGTCTGTATGTATAGATCAACGAAATCCCTGATGTTATTTTCATCATACGTCTTTTCGTGTTCAGCTATCTGACCTGCTATGTAGTTTTCTACGAGTTCAAGACTTTTTCTAGTTCTTTGAATATTCGATTTCTAAATGAAATCACGAATATTAGAGTGAATGCAAACCCATTATTTCAAAATAGTATCATATTTATCCAGATGCTCTGGATCGAACCTCTTTGAAATTTATAAATCATTTTATGGTTGTTCTTAAAATGTCAAGATCTAGTAAATGAAAGGTGCCTACAGATTTATCAAATTTGAGAAAAAATTCCTTTATTGATTCTTTACAACTTTAGCTTGGTAAAATTAGGTGTTTCGGGGCATAATTTGTAGGTAAAAAAGATTAAAAGCTGTACTTTAAACTGTCATTTTCAATGAAAAATTACAAAAACCAGTCATGAATATGGGATTTTTTTCATATTCGACAAAGGAAATGTATCCAGATTGCCTACAGTCTCTCAGAAAACGGTAATTAGTATGTTCGTGGCCTCTTCTTTAAATCAATATCAAATTTAATATAGGTATCCGGTTCACTTTTCGTATGATTTCAAATTGAATGTCTTGAAAATACACTTTTTTCTACATAATTCTGCTAAAGCTGTAAAGTACGGGAAAAAGAAATTTGAAATTGATTATGACGTCATAACGGATCTAGCACCAAAAATTAGTCTAAAGTTATTTACTAGATCTTGACCTTAAATCTATCCTTCTGTCTCACCAGTTTTCCAAGCTGACACCATTCTGGAAGAGAAGCTAGCAGAGGTCCCGGACCTTGAAATACGTCATCAAATAACTTAATCACATTCAAAAAGGTTTTGTCATCATGTGGATATCTGGAAACCAAGGATGATAGTTGCTATGCAAATATAATATTGTAAATGTATAAAGCATTCATATTTTATGATGAGTTGAATGAAAAAGTAAATAAAAAGAGCCACAGAAAAATAAAACCTACCGAAAACCAAAAGTGATGTAATGTATGACATTGCTTATTGATGTCGTCATCATCTTTTTTACATCGCTGATTGGTTGGCCTTCTCTGGATGCGAATTCGTCGCCTAGCAACCTTGCTTCGTCTAGTATGATTTCTTCCAGCGATTTTTTACCTACGCCAAAATCTCTCATTGTCTGCAAAGCGAATCGGCGAACTTTCTTCCAATGATCTCCATTACCCCAGGCTATTCCTGCAATAGTTACTACAATTCTAGTTTCGATTATACTAGTAATCTCTTGAAATAAAGCCAATAGTTACTATAATTCTAGTTTCGATTATACTAGTAATCTCTTGAAATAAAACCAGTTTTACAGACTTTTAGCTGCAATTGAGATATTCAAAAATACAAGAAGGTAAAGTGAAATAATGTGCATGTGTGTAAGTTACATTGTTTAATTAAACTCCCCATTTAAAAGCAACGTTGTTTTGGCTTCGTCAGAAAAAATCAAAGTACTCAGAAGTACAGAGAGCCGGGCTCATTTACCAGTAGAATGGATTTCTTACATGAAATCACGTTTATATTCTGGTGAAAAAATTATTTTAAAACGTTCAATATAAATGATAAGACACTGACAGTGAGTTTTTCAATCCTAATACCAAGGTTTTCCGATTTTGTCAGAATATAGAATTAATCTGGTACCGCAGTTGAATGTAAACAAACAGGCAAAGTCTGTGTTCCCTCTCCTGCTTTACCTCGTATGTGTAAGAGAACTACGGCCCATTAACATTGATTATCAAAAATCCTTACGCTAATGAACTATGTTCTTTGACTTATAAGTTTTCAAAGTCATTACTACTAATGTTTATTTTATATAGATAAAACTTCGTTTTATTTTTGTTGCTTTATTTAGCGTTTGTATTATCTCAAAAGATTTAATTGAGAGAAAGTCTAGCTTAATGTCATATGATTTCTATGTTGTATGTCATCGAGCTAATGACATTATTTTTGCACGTAACTTTAAAATGGCGACTTGAAATGGGGTCAACATCCTGCCTTGAGAACAAAAATCACAGGTAAAAAAGGCAATTGCTGCATGTGTGTAAGTTACATTGTTTAATTAAATTCCCCATTTAAAAGCAACGTTGTTTTGGCTTCGTCATAAAAAATGAAGCACATGTATTGCATGCAATACATGTATGGATACATGAATTCATGAAAACTTTGGCATCGGGTAACAATCCAAGTGTCAATACAATCATCTGGATCATATATAAAGCGTTTAACGCATATATTAAGGTTTCGTCAAAGGTCAACATGTCTAAAAACATATTTTACAATAGCTTCAAAACTATGTGTGGTATAAAGTCAAAACGTTTACAGTTTTTAAATATATCATTGATTAATAGATAGAAAGTATCACTTGATAGCAAATATTTTTAAAAAAGATTTTTATATTTTCGAAAACTTGTATAAGAAAATGTGCATATTTAAAGAAAAATGCACCTGCTTAATTCTGTCCTTTTTGTGAAAACCAATATTGCAGAAATAATATATGTTTATCATTGAAGGGCAAGTTGGACGTGAATGGTCTCTGAAAGGCTGTTATTGAAAGCATGACATGTATAAAGACAAGACCCCTATAGAATCCACCATTTGCAGTGTACTCAGTCTTTCACTTTCAAGTCTTAACATTTGGACAAAATAAACAGGGAAAACAACTTTCCAGAGGCTATCCAAGTCCAACTTGCCCTTCATTGATAAACATATTATGTTTCTGCAATGATGGTTTTCACTAAAAGCATGGAATTAATAAGATGTATTTTTTTTTTAAATATATGCATTTTTAAGAATAATATTTCTCAATTAGTGATTCCGATTATTTTTTAATCAAGTGATACTTTCTATCTGTTAATCAAAAAAAAAATTTATAAACTGTGAAAGTTTTAACTTTATACATTACATAGTTTTCGGGCTATTATAAAAATAAATTTTTGGATATGACCTTTGACGAAACCTTAAGTTATTCATTAGCAGATCAAAAGCAACATTTATTTTAACATGATCTTATGCATGCAGTTTCGATGTCAAATTCGCAAAAGTAGTGAATTACTAGTATTTGGCATTAGTCTTATGGAGGCAATAAACAATAGTTTGTCTACAATCCGAATTCAAGTTTGTGAAATTACGAGTTTATTAAACATGTTCAAAAGATTTTTAGAAAAAAAATCTATGATTGGCCTCATGGAGATTTAATATTTTGTGTACTTTAGAAACCGAAGGGATATTTCTTACAGTACAAAGATAGTACCTCTGATCGGATTAACCTAATTAATAAGGCTTCAACCGATATTGGTTGTAAAATCGTAAGAATGCATTGTGTTGAAACTTACTGTTTAGGATAGGCTGATGCTGTATCTGTTATTCGTCTCTCCTAGGCTCTCAAACAATGAACAGGCATTGCTTTGACATTTATGCATACTTACCGGGTATTCAAAGGCTATTGCGTTCAGCATCATTCACCACGAAAAAAATGTATGAATGAAAATCACACGCTCTATTCAAAGCAAACATAGAAATCTTACCGTATCCATACTTTTCTGCCCTCCTTTTGATCGCTGGTAGCCAGTTTGGACGGTGACTGAAGCTTGCTCCATATCTAACAAAGGCCTCGTGAATATTCTCATATCCACTGATAAAAACTATCAAAAATGGTCCAATGTAAAGACGAAAAACGCCTCCGTACTTCCTACTTAGTTTCAACAATTCTATATGTTTTCGTGGTCCCATTCCAACAAACTGGGGGAGATTCCCAACTAAAGGTAATGCAAAAGGTCCAGGGATGCTTGATCTCGGTTTTGACATAATATAGAGAGAAACCAGAAACACGGTCACAAAAATCAAGAAAGTAGTCATATCTACTTGGGTAAATAAAGAAGAAAACATTTTTCACAAAATCCACGTGGAGTTCACTGCGAGGAGTTGTTTTCTTTTGAGAGCAGAAAAATTAAATCGCCAGGTATAGAAATGTCGTCTGCCATATCGCTTACAGTGACACCATTTTATATCGAGGTGAAAAACTGGGCCTCACCGATGTCCTTATATCATGCCAAATCTTACACGACAAGGTTGAATTTATTGGTTATGACAGTTTGAGCTGTTTTTATTCTGATTATGTTATGTAAGTTCGATAGGTAGGACACACAAACATATAAAAAAAAATGTTTTATGTGATGGAATACGATTAGCAATTCAATTGTAAGGTGCGTGTACAGATAAGACAGTAAGATTATCTCACAGAATAACAAGGGCTGATCCGGAAGCAGAGATTGCTATCTAGTATATAAACCAGTAATTAAAGGTCATTGAAAAGATCGATAACTGGGACGCATAATGATTTCATGTATACTCTGACGAATCGGATCAATATTAACGCTATTACCTTGTCCCTCGCTGTTAATAGGTGTACTATTGACCCTAATAAGCCGACATTTCGTCACACTTATAAATGTGCACTGTTTTGAATATTTTATATGTATGTGTGGCGCGTGTCTTGTAAAAATGTTAGACTATGAAATGGTTCTAGACATACATGTACTGAGATTTCCACCTCATTGACAAGTGTCTGTCTCTCTGTTCTATGTTTTCTTTAATCATTATTTAAAACATCTTTATTTCCAAAATTCCAACGTATCTTAACTAATTTTAATCAAAACTTAGAAGAGGGGATGGTATATAGAGTATATGTTTTGAAGTTCTTTTCGGAGTCAGTCAGAATTTGTTGATATTTTCACGAGTGCGAAACACATTTGAAAATATTTTTTTAATCCTGTGTAACCATTGGATATGTGGATGAAGAGGATTTGTCCTACATGATATACTATAACACAAATTTACTTTATGAATGTGCCCTTCAGTAATGACCCCCTTTTTTTTGCTTAAGAAAGATTTTTTTTTTAACTTTTTTTTACTTGACTTGACTTTAAATATGTCCCTAACTGAAATTTCTTGTTAAAACAGGTAGTAAGAATAATTTTAAGGTAACATCCTTATTGTGTATAGCGAAAATTCAATTCAATTCAGTAGGAAAGCCCAGAAGGCTCATTCGAGATTCGAGTTTCGAATCACGAGATTTGAAATTCGAGAATCGAAATTCGAGTTTCGAGATTCAAGATCCAAACTAACCAAGCAAAAGGCAGGTTCAACATTTGATTACTCGAATGTACGAAAGCCCAGAAGGCTTATTCGAGATTCAAGTTTCGAAATACGAGATTCGAAATTCGAGTTTCGAAATTCAAGATCCAAACTAACCAATCAAAAGCGGGTTCAACTTTTGATTACTTCCCTTTGTTACGTTTTTACTATTAAGAAATCATTGAATATATCTATAACAAATGGATCATTTGCTAAAATGATAATGCAAGACAAAAATGTTTTATGTATTAAAACGAAATAAAAATAAATTTTGGATTACATTTTGAAAAATACACATACAATCTTATTTTTCTGATTTAACAAAATAGTAAATACGTATATATATGGAATATTATATGGTCCTATCGTTGACTGGCGGAACAAGTAGGTCAACTAATTTTATTTCTTCAGATCACTGCTGATGGAGAATGTTGCATTTGATTATATTTAAATATGAAATATTATGAATCGTATCTACACTGCACAATAATTTAAAGGTATATATTTCATTACATTTATAAAGGGTACATTTATGCAGTGAAACTTGACTGCTGAATCGAACTGTAGCGTTATATAAGGTTTTAAAAGAATTTATTTTTAGTCTTTGGCCATAAAGCTATGGTCAGAGACTAAAATATAACACCATAACGCTATATAGTTCTGCATCTAATTTTAGACTCATCTACTATTTGATATAAGATAAAATAATTGCCGCATTTATTTTAATTCATATTGCCAAGCTGAATTGTAGATATAATTTTAATTAATTCAAGAAATCAAAGCCTTAGATGAAGATAAGTAATTAAATACTTAATTTTTATGTATTTCCTCTATCAGGAAAACGAACGCGATTTTTGTTTATCAATACTACGTCGTCTTTCAAGTTTCAGGCCTTTCAGTGTGTTTGGAAAAATGGGCAGGCGGGGTGGGTAGGGGTGGGGTTATTTGTTGATCTCTAGACACTTGACACGTATTCATAACTTTATTTATGTGTCATCAACCCCTTAAACAAAGTAGACAATACAAAAATGTATATATTCCTGATATATGTATTCTATTTAATATTTAAGAAGCCATAATATAAATTGAAGTATATCTTGCTGATCAAAAATCCAATGATTATCTAAATTTCCTTCTAATATAATATATATATATATATATCACTCTTTCTTGCATTGTGATTTAATTAAATGACTTATTTGTTATTTATATATTAAACGATTTCTTGATAGTAAAATCATAATAAAGGGGAGTAATCAAATCTTGAAACCGCTTTTGATTGGTTCATCTGGATCTTGAATCTCGAAATTCGAATTTCGAATCTCGTATTTCGAACCTTGAATCTCGAATGAGCCTTCTGGGCTTTCGTACGAATGAGCCTTCTGGGCTTTCGTACAAAACTGGGTCTAGGATTACGGTAAGAAATAATTGTTAAATTATTTCTTAGTCAATTATTATTCAGTATCTATTTGATCATTTTATTTAAATGAAGTAAGTTCTAAATTATCTAAATTCATGTTTAACTGAATCGCGTAAAAGTATGAGTGAGGTGAGAATTATTAAATACATGTTATATTATATTTCAGGTCACCCTTTTTCTATTTACGTAAAATATATAAAATATAGAATTGAACCCAGCAGCCGTGTTTGTGTGTTATTTCTACTACTACAAATTCAATTCCTAGAATAGGCTGTGACATAAAGTCATGACAAAGTGAGATGGATCATGCCAAAAAATACACCTTTAGTAAAGAGGCGAATAGATAGGAAATTCACAGTTTCTCTAAATTGAAAACGACTATTTTTATATACATTAATGGACAGGTAAATGTAAACTAGGTATTTTACGAAATATTGAGTCAGCTTACTTTCAATTTAATGTTTCTGACCGAGGGAAACTTTTCATACCGAAAGTACACGCGATGACTTCGCTTTCTTGTGATTAATCAAAGCAAACGATCCCGGCTTTGTTTTTAGTTGTGGCCCATAATTAGAAATGAAGTATGATATCAGATAATGCTAATTGCATTCTTGGAATACGATCAAAATTCCCTGATGTTGAAATGACGTATTATGATGTTATAAAAACCAAAATTGTTCTCTATTTCGAAAAGTAGATGTACGAAGTTAATCCTGTTGGGTTTGAATTTATAGAATAAGGTAAAGTGTGCCTAATTTTAAAAGGAATATTCTTAATGACATGTTATTTCTATAAAGTAATGAACATATGATGATTTTAATACAAGTAAGAACCAAATTGATTATTTTTTTTAATTGGAAGTAGTACCAGTGGCTTTGTTATTGAATATCATGTTCATATGAATTTTTTTAGGAAGAAAGTCAACTATGTTTCTAAAAAATAAAGCATTGGATGGAAAGAAAATTAAAGTGGGTTTATTCCTATTTTTTGTAAGTGTATTTTATTTATACATTTTCTACAGTCGAAAATCACCTTACATAAATAGATTTTCACCATGGAGATTTCAAGACTTTTTTTCTAAAATGCAACAAAAGAGAAACATCTGAAACGAAGTTTTCCTTTAATTTCTTTTCACAACAATCGACTAAAAACGAAATATAGACATAATAAAAGAAAGGTGATTTTCCTCATTATCCGTATTTAAAGTTCGATTTGATTTCTTTTTGACTTCATTATCAAAGAAAACAAGAAAATTTATCGACACTACACCTTTGTTTTGATCGCTGCATTGCAACCCATCGTTAACCTCGAAAATAACAGATTTTCTCAGTATTGATTATAATGAAGCATTTCGTTTGTAAATGAAGGTGAAGGGTATAAATTATCACGTGTCTCTTTTTCAGATTTGTACAAGTGAATCTTGCGTCCGTGTTGTCGAGAGAACAGATTTCTTCACTGGGAAAACAACAACATGTTGCTTCGTCGAATGTCAACCAAGTAAACACAAATGTTCTTCAAAACTTTGTAATAGATTATTAAATACTTGTCGAAGGAAATACACATATATTAACCTACGCCTTTTTTTCAGATCTTTACGTCAGAAGATGTGAAGTGAATAACACGGCGGACCGTTGTGAGCCCTGCCCCCCGGGATCAATGTTACTTGACCCCACTAACTCTTACTTCCCGTTCCCATGTCGCCGGTACGACTGCCCGCCAGGTAAGCAGTTATACACTTTTCTATAATATTACTGAGTACATAAAACCATTCATATTAAGAATCAGTCAAGAATCAATATCTAGGCACATTTTTCAAATGATACCTTTTCCAAACAAAGATGTCCTTGAGTATTTCATTATTTTTAATTGTTTTTGGTGAGATTTTTAAGTTAATTTGCTCTATACTTCAAGTTCGATAACCTCAGTTGTTTGCTTTGTTTTAATATGTTAAATAATCATGTAGACTGTATCGATTTGATCTTGCCGTTTCATGGTGGAACGAATTGCAGTCCTGGTAGTGAAATTTAAGGAGATGACGAACAGTATTCAAGCTCAAAAGTTCATTAAATAATACAAAATTGGAGCAGATCAAACACGGAATCAGATATGGAATCAGGCGCCATGGAGAAGTGAGCATCCTCTGCCGACCGGTCACACCCGCCGTGTGCTCCTTGTCGGGAAAAACGGAAAAATCCGTCGACAATTCAAGTTCAAGTTCAGTTTATTCTCCCAAACCAAAATATTGGTACATGGGGTACAGTAAAACATATATACATTTTAAACAAACTGGTCAGAGGTACAAAAAATATAATATATACAATACAAAATGTTACAAAATGAAGAAAAAATGAAAAAAGAGGGAGAAACAGACAATAAGTAACATATTAAGGAGGACAGGTAGCGTCATAAATTTTTAGAATAAACATACATAATTTTTTCAGAATTTGTTCATTTTGAGTTGACATAAGTTCTGTAAATTTAATAATATTCGGTCTACTAGAATAATAATTACCTAGGTATTTTTTCCTTTCATTTTCCAAAGCTTTGCATTCTAGAATGTAATGAAATTCATCAGCAATTTGACCTTTACTACAAAGTGTACAAAGTCTTTCAGAAAGTGGTATACCACACCACCTTCATGTTTTTAATGTGTCTAACAATAAGTAAGAAAAGCGCCAGTTAGCACTCAATGATAAATTATACAAGCTAACAATCATGTCATTGTAACGACCATAGAACTTACGAAATGACGACTTTAAACGAGACTGCTGATATTCTTGTTTCAACAGTTTGTCAATTTGTAAATACATCATTCAAATTTAGAGAGTATTTTAAAGCAAATTAATGATATATAAACAAACAAGAAAAGAAAAAAAATTATGAAGCATTTTCCAGATTTCCTTTGAGTGTGTAAACCTATATCTGAGAAATCCTAGCAACAGAGTGTCTTAATTTCGACTTATTACCGAAAAGTTTGGCCAATTTTGCACATAAGTGTTAAATTCAGATTTGAGTCAATGATGATCATTATTGTTGTTTATGAATTACAGAAACACGACGCATTAACTCGTTGTCTGCAACAGGCTGTAGAATTCCGTGTGAGTGTGATGAGAGTAGAGGATACAGCGGGGCGGATCCATGTTTATGCAGGAGAAAGACACCCTCAGTGGATATAAACAGGAAAAGGTAAAGGATAAACTGCAGGTTTAATCTTTACATAAAATGGCTGGGCATGGCAAATATATTACATAAGATATTATTCTTTTTATTTATTGTTTCGTTAAATTTATTAAGACACAAACTGAAAAGGTATAAAAACATGTGTCGTTAATGTAAATGTAATTAAACAAAGATTGCACAAGTGGAGTGTTAAACTAAAATAGGTTTAAATCAAAAGTGATCACATTCTTAATAAATTTATTTTGTTTTATAAAATGTACTGAATGTTATAAAAAGAACGCTAACTCAGAAATTATATGTAGAGGGTGAAATATCGTACACATTTTCTATTTTTTTTTAATTAAAAAAGATCATTTTATGCTTATTAAAACACCTCTTAGAACATTGAGTTTATACTTTTTTGTGGGTAATTATCATGATTATTAAGATTTATTTATACATTGTATTTATTATAAATTTATTATTATTGTTATTGATATTTTTGCTATTCTTATTTATGATTATCAGTTATAAAGATATTACATGTATATGTTTTACAGAGTTTTGTAGTATACTTTATATTTTCTTAAATAGTAATAAATTGTATTATATTTTCTTAAATAGTAATAAATTGTATTTTATTTTTCAACTATTGTGGTTCGATTTCCGTAACTGGAAGCAAAGCAAATATCTAGTCAGTTGTTTGGACAAAGTACTTTTTCATTGACAGTAAGCTTTCAGATAATGCAATTTTTGTGTACAATATAATTACATGGTCTTTTATTAAATAACACTGTCATCATTGAATTTTACTGTTTGTGAAAGAATAAAGGTATATTTGAAAAAATAACATTTTTTATTGTGTTACATTTTAGATTCAATAGAAGTAATTTTTAATACATGGATACTAGTATTTACTTTCACTGCTTGTCATTTTTTATGTGGTCGCTGACAAGGAATTGTCCTTATTTCGTTAAAAAGCATAAAATTATATATTTTAGTCTGTTCTACTTCAGTTTATATTTGTTTTTCAAACATGTCTAATTTTAAGTTCACATGAGCTGAAAAATCAATAACATTCATCATTCTGTATGACTTTTCGACACTTTTTACTTATTCCCTACAATAAATTAAAGTCTCAATTTTTTCACATCATAGACGGCTGCTTTTTCAGTCAACTCAAATGGCATTTGAAAATTAACTTGCAACCTTGTTATGGGTCCGACCTTCAATTGCAAATTTGATTTGTTAAAAAGCAATTTGATTATACACAAGTATACTGAAGTTGATATTAAAATTTATATTTACGAGCTTTTGATTGACACTATAAAATTATAGTTTCGGATATCAAGCGAACCTACAATCTGCTTTTGGTACCAACTGCATCCCGTTATAAGCAGAATTTTTATTGTAATTATATGCTGCAGAATTTATTCAATAACTTCTACATATGAAACAAGATGTGTTTGTGAAACACTGATGTCCCCGTATGGCAACATAGCGAAGGATAACCTTTCTCAAATGCACATCAAATATGTTGGTACCTAAAGTAAGGCCTTTTCACAAGAAATACAAATGTTAAATATAAAACCCTAGCACCACCTGTTCAAGGGTTATGACCAAGGTTAACATTTTAAAAGGTGGGATAAACTCCGGGGTCAAGGTCGAAGGGTCGAGGTTGGTGGTTTCTAAAGAAAGGCCTTGTCTCAAAGATTACATATGGGAAGTATGAAAGCGCTGGCCCTTACCGTTCAAAAGTTATGACCAATGTTGAAGTTTGTAAAAAGTAGGTCAAACTCCATGGTCAAGGTCAAAGGGTCAAGGTTCATGATATCCAAGGAAAGGTCTTGTCACAGGGGTTACATATGTGAAACAAGAAAGCTATAGCCCCTACTGTTTAAAAGTTATGGCCAAGGTTAACGTTTGTAAAAAGTAGGTCAAACTCCAAGGTCAAGGTCAAAGGATCAAAATTGTTGATATCCAATGGAAGGTCTATTCACAAGGATTACATATTTAAAGTATGAAAGCCCTAGCCCTCACCGTTCAAAAGTTATGGCCAAGGTTATAGTTTTTTCGTAAGTTCGGAAATCTCCAAGGTCAAGGATCAAAATTGTTGATATCCAATGAAAGGTCTTCTCCCCAATAAATTGTTATTTGAAATATGAAATTCCTAGTTTCTACCGTTTCAAAATTAGGGCCTAAAGTTAGGAATTTTTGTGTAAAAATGAGTCAAACTCCAAGGTCAAGGTCAAAGGGTCAAGGTTCTTGATATCAAATGAAAGGTTTTGTCACAAGAATTAGATATGTGAAGTATGAAAGCCCTAGTTTTAACCCTTCATAAATTATGTTCAAGGTGGTATTTCAAGGTCAAGGTCAAAGGGTCAAGGTTTTTGGTATCCAATAAAGCGTCTTTTCACAGGAATTACATATGTGAAGTATGAAAGCCCTAGAACTTACCATTCAAAATTTATAGCCAAGGTTAAAGTTTTTTCATAAGTACAGAATTGTCCAAGGTCAAGGTCAAAATGTCAAAGTTGTAGGTATCCAATGAAAGGTCTTTATACAAAAAATATATAGGTCAAGTTTAAATGTCCTGTTATTTACTGTTCAATAGATATGGTAAAAGTAAAAGTTCAAAATTTTTGTGTAAAAGTGGGTCAAACTCCCAGGTCAAAAGGTCAAATTTGGTGGTGCCAAAAGAAAGGTCTTGTCACAAGGAATACACGTGTGAAACATGAATGCCATAGCTCCACTAAATCAAAAGTCATGGGCAAGGTTCAAAGTATTTGCGGGCAAACAAACAAACAGACAGAGAGACAGACAGACAGACGGACGGACACGACAAAAACTATATACTCCCGAAACTTCGTTTACGGGGGCATAAAAAAACACTGCTTTCGCCTTTTACTCGACATTTAAATATATTGGCGATGTCTTCTTAAAGCTGAACACGATTCATAAAAGGAATGTGTCCACCATTTTTGTTCGCAGAATCGCTATACCTGCAGACCCCTATAAATAGGGCAGGACTTTGTCACTGCTCAGTGTAATCAGTCGACACTGGTGTAGACGTACGGGCGTATGCAATAGAGCACTCGGTAGCGACAATACTATAAGTAACAACGTTACGGTAATATTTCGTCTAATGCAGGAAAGTAAGATGTCAAAGAAACTTACATATTGTTGTACAGGTCAGTGCAGTATACAAACAAACACAGACACACGTAACAGCAATAAAATGTAAACAAAGGCAATGCAAGATAACAGCACGAACACGGGTCGCCATTCCACGCCGATACCCATGACAATAAAGCAGTCAGGTGTGACGAACCTGAGGAGTATACCCTGGTGTTGATGTATCGTAGATGATATCGAAAATGGCGTATGCCTATTTACGGGTCGTGTTCAGCTTTAATACAAAATAGTTGTGTCCATTTATATGTCGACTTGATATCTCCCATTGACTTGAAATAAAAATACCACAGTCTGGCACATGCTTCATATTTGAATATTTTACAAGAATATCACGTTAATGTTACCAAAACAACAGAACTTTATGATAAACGTGATGACTTCAATTTTCTATGATTTATCGTGAACTTCCCTTAATTATAAGAAAGTGGTATACTCTTTTCGCTTAAATATGGGGCTTATATCTCCCAGTTTATTCGGAACGCTAGAATTTATTTTAAAAAGTTATTTAAAAATAATTTGATAAAACAAGAATATGAAGAAGCCTTACTTAACGTCAGCATTTCGCAAGTTCTATGATGAAAAAAAGGTAGCGTACAGTAATCAATCTAAAAGTAATTGTATATAAACTATACCAGTCTGTGAGCACAGTACCCCGGAAACTCCCGAGGTGGGATCAGGTGCCTAGGAGGAATAAGCATCCCCTGTTGACCGATCACACCCGCAGTGAGCAGAATGTGTTGATTAGGTGGACGGAACAAAATCAATATAAAAACAAAGGCCTTACAATTGGTTTTAAAAAGTCGGCCAAAATAATTCCCCCTTCTAGGGTATGTATGCTAACAAGGTCATAATAACGACCATAGAGATTACATGCCGAATTTAAATGTTGAAATTTCTGCAACATCAACTTATTCTTCAGTAGCCTGTCTCGGTTTAGAAATTTATCTTACTTAGAGCATCCTGTTGAGTATCGAATAAATTGGGAGATGTCAACACTCTATGGGAGTAATGTTGAGAAATTATTATCTAAATAATGAAAGCTGATGATGAAGAAGTGCGTCATTTCGTTTGACTAACAATTAAGTTTTTGGTTGGCCCTTATAGACTATAGTTAGAACCATCCAAATATGAAATAGTCGTGGCAGACTTCGTGCTGTCTTATTGTAAGTTCATTTGGATATATCAAATCGATATGTGAAAGTAAATACATATATTGTAATTTAATAATTCAGCGTCGATATATCTAAAGGCCGGTATACACGGTAAGATTTGTATTATAAGATTTGTATTATGATACAAAATCTTACTGTGTATACACTCTTAATACAGTGTATCATAAGATTTTTCGAATCTTATAAAACTGTATTAAGAATAGAGCAATGCTCTATTTTCTAATACAAGTCTTAGCTTATCTATCACTTTCAACCAATGAAATGTAATGGCACTAGGGGTCATCCTATTTTTATAATTACATTGTACTAAAAAAGCACATGGTAAATAATAATGATAGACTTTACAAGTAAAGACATCGAAAAACTCGTAGCTTAATGGGAAGGGGAAAAGGACTTGTGGAATATATCAAGCAGTGCATAGTACGATGAAAGACACTGCTATCAGAACCTTATCCTCCATTTTTATTACTTTGACAGAGAGAAAAATATGGCGGGAAAAAACACGTAGTTTATTTACAATCTTATAAGATGTGTATTAGCGTGAGTACAGGAAAGTATTATAATACAAAAGTATTATAATACTTGTATTATACTACAAATCTCATCGTGTATACCGGCCTTAAGTGTCGAACTGAAGGCCACAGCAAGTGTTTTTCTACTTCTCGTGTAGAATGTGAATAAATTCCGTTTCTTAGGAATAGAAAAACAAGTCAGCTAATACAAATCTCTTTTTTCACATTTTTCATAACACAAATGAATATTTTCTATTTATGCCGAATTGACTTACTTGATTTGTTACTGGTTTTCATATACCGGCATGTGAAGATCTACCTCCTTTTTTAATTGTTTCATATTGTTCTGTACAAAGTCATTCAGGAGAGGTTTCATTTTAGAGGAATAAATATTACGACCTGCTATATACAGCAGACAGACAAACCCTAGCTTCATCAAATTTATAAGCTGTTCAAAGCAAAACCCTGAAAAGTGACAATCTGAAAACTCAATGATGTGATAAAATTTAAGAGAAAATACAGAAAATGTTAACAATTTATTTTGATAAACAAAAATGAAAGAGTGGTTCATTTATTTTCTTTCATTCCAATGGCTTAGAAAAGTTTTACTTTCTTCTCCCAAATGGTAAGGTTGCTGTATATTGTTGAGTTTCTCGTAAACAAAGTTTGAAATCATGATCATGAAGTTTCTTAAAATTGCAAAAGATTAAAGAATGACAAAAGGCGTCACAGGGCATCACTTCCGCTTTGGCATTTCGCCAACTCAGTTGATTCTGGAACTCTTGGCTATGTGGATTTCTCGTTCGAGTTGCAAAATTATCCATGGATTTCGGAGATATGTCCGAAATTCCCATGTCGTGAGTGGCTGTGTAAGCAATTTTCCAGATAGGTTTACCCTGTCGGTTACTCTCTGGTAGATCCATGTAATACTGAACTAAGTCTAAATGTCTACCCGACACTCTGTCATACTTGACCATTCGGAAGGAGGGATTGTGTTTTGGTCCTGTTGCTTTGGAATTTTTGTATCTCCAAGGAGTCACTGAAGGTGCAATATACATCGCCATCGTGGGTTGGCCTTCAACAGATATAGATATTTATGAACATACTGTAACTTCTGTAATGAAAACAACATTCTCCCATCTTCTGATTTGTTTTTAAATGATTGACTAAAATACATTTTGTAATGTTAATACAGGAAAGTTATACCAGAATGATCATAAAATAATCTAAATGTATCAGCATGCTCATGTCCAAAATGCAGTCCTATTATGATGTCACTATATTGTTGAAGGATGTGAACCATGCGAGTGTTGAAATGTTGATAAAACCAAGGTTTCCCGCCTTCTGCAGCGACCCCTGGTGGAACGTGTCCAGTTATTAGCACCTTAAAAAGATGTCCTTTATATAAATCTAAATTTATCATTAAGGAGAGAGGAGAAATGCATATTTCCAATTACATGAAAGATTTTATTTGCTTTATAATTACAATGCATTATATATAACCTTTTCACTTAAATGTCTGGAATGCTCCAATATATTCTCCATCCAAACAAATTGGTCGGCAGGATCATCCATATGAGCTGTAATTTTGTCTGACGTATAATACAAGTTGGTATTTAATGCCAGGATTCTTATTCCATACTTTGTCTTTAAGGTGTAGTAAGCTCCTGGGAAAAGAACATAATTTTTCATTTCTTTTGTAAAATACGTTTAACCATATTTTGCCACATGCATAATGGAATCAGTTTAATCATGTAGCAAGAATATTTGTATTCTAAACAAAATTATATAATATTACATATATAACTTTAGGCATGATTTCTCCTCTATGTAGCACATGATCCCTTCCACATATTGAGTGTCTCTACGTTCTCAATATGTAGTGTTTTATTAGACTTTTGAGCATGATCAGTGATCGTTACGATCACATTTTCATTACCCAAATGTAGGGTGGTTCAACACTTTAGATGGAAATTTGTGTGTGAAATTCTCTTTGATTAGGAATATTTTTCTTATCAAAGGCTTTCAGCAACATCGAAGTCACGATTACTAACAATAATAATTAGGACATTTATCAAAGCAGTGCCGATACTAACCTTTCAAAAATAATTCCTCCTGTGTACTATCGTTGATCCAGCTTCTCCAGTGTTCCAGTGTTCTGTTATAAATCTCGTTGTTATGTGGAGGGTACTGTCCATTAGGGTAGTAATCGTGATTTCCGTAAGTGGCATAAACGTCCATTGTAGGGAACGTCTGCTGTAAATTGTTTGTCAGATTTGTAAGCATCTCAATATTATTGTCGATACTTAGATGTTCATCACCGGTATGAAGAATGCTATCACTGTAAGGCAAAATAAAGGTATATAAGCATTTAAAAAGTCAACAGGAATTGAACAATTCAGACAGTCGTTTCTATTTAGAAACCATACAGAAGTTAGAAGTTAGATGTAAAAAAAATTTTGATTGACCAGTGGTCGAGATTATTTTTGTGAGTCGATAACTAAGAGAAGAAAGATGAGAATAACAAAGGAAATATGAAGATCACAAACTGTAGTCAAGCCCAAGAGTCCATTGAAAACAATCGAACTGGGGTGCAGAGCAAACACAAACCTTTAAAAGCATCAGATAATGGATCAGGTGCCACAAAGGAGTAAGCATCCTCTGTCGGTCAGATTGCCGTATGCTACTTGTCCTGATCAGGCAAGCAGAAATATACAAGAGCAATTCATAGTCAAAGTATTTAGATGTAGAATTAAAGGCAATAGCAAAAGAGTAGGCTTTTGAATAATTTTTTTCAATTCACAAAGTTACCCAGTCCAGAGCATAAAATCCACAGCTTTATCTATTGTAGCATTCTTCATGGCCTTTATTGTGACGTCAATGAGGGAAAACGGGGAGTCGCACCAGTAATCCCCATAAACACCGTGGGTATTTACCACGCCATTACAGGAAAGATCCCTACTTGTGTACGTGTTGTCCCAATGAAAGTCCGTCACATGTAAAAACCAACCTAAAATATGATAAACAGTTAAAAAATCGATTATATATGTTATTCAAATTCATAACTCAACAATAAATAACTATTTTTATGCTTTTAATGTGACTAGTTACGCATCATCGGACGTTGACGTTTCAGAAAATTACACTTAAGAGCAACGCGTCTCAAATTAAGGAAACGAACCCTCGGACTTTGGCGTCCATATCGACGGTTTGGCGTAGTCCATACGAATTTGACGAGACCATTAGACCCTAGCATGACTATCGGACCTTGCTTAATCATTATATCAATGCCTATTTGCAGCGAAGTGTTTCTATAAAATTTCTGTAACGATATTTTCCTTTTTTCATATCGAGCCATATGATGTTCTAGAATTCCCTGTCAACATGAAGATTGGTGAATAAGAAAACAATTTTGCATATTTTGATTTTTCATCAGATATCATACCTTATTTCTTTTATTTCACTTGAATCAAGACATGATTGAATATTTCATAAATGGCGTTTTATCAATAAAAAAAAATAACGTATACTTAGATCCACCAATCGTAACCACCACCGAACTCTATTTTTGCTATTGGTTGTTTACTAAAATGAAAGTAGACTTTTGATTAATTTAACGATAAAAACTATGCTTATAATAAAATCTAGATAATGCTTAAGGATATCACTTGCTACCAAGTGTATCGTTTGGGGAGTAAGTACGTGTATGAACACTGGTACAGGATGTCACAAAATGTATCGATTTATGAGAATGTAGAGTCTAGAATAAAAATATACATTGTATTCTATATATCAAAAATTAAAGGAAATGGAAAAGAATTACCTTCTGAAACACATATGGAAGTCTTAGTTATGGTTAAAACTAAGACCAAATATATATGAGGAAATACCATATTCGATAATCTGAAAGTGTTCTCTTGCACAAACAGCTTTATGGTCCCTTATCGGCAAGGTTATCTATAGCAACCCTTTAACCATTGAGGTACAAGGTGCAAAATTACAAATTCAAAACAGATTTTATATGGAGTGCTGGCCCGGATGCTGAACACAATGTTACCCTTTAGATTTCCATTTGAAATTGTCTAGCATGTATAAATAAAAATTGCGATTATCATATTAAAAAAAATTGAAACCATCTGAAAGAACAGCAAGACTGATATCGATTTTTCTGAGTGAATCGATGATTCAACTGCATGTTGCATGTGTGCTAATTGTTTACTTCCGTAAAATAATTCAGTAACTTTTTTAAAGTATAAGATATTTTCACATAAACTATATAAGTTGTTTTCACATGACTATTTGAAAGAGCTGAGCATTTGTTACGTGTATGTGAATTTGAATACACGCAGTTTGATAACTTTTACTCATGGTTGTACCAAAAGTTGGAATGATTACTCATTCATTTGTAAGTCCGAAATAAGACGACATTGAATTACATCAGTTGACTATTTGAAGGTTATTTATTTAGTCAAGCTTAGCAATTTGTAATCTTAAAATATATTAATTGAATTTTAAAGGAACCTTGATTTTAAAAATTCTGCCAGTGGTAACCCTATATACTTGCACTCATATAGCTCTTTTTCTAAGGATGAAATTCTCCAAACTCAAATATCAGTTTTAATATCTATAATACATGTATTGCCAAAAATCAAAATTTATTTGAATAACCATACCTATAGTGTATTCCCTAACTTCATAAAACCCTTACAAAGATGCATAGCGAGTTTTTTTTTAAATAACATATTATTACCAATATCTATAATATCAAATCTTGCTTCTTTTCAACATTACATACAACCATTTCCCATTATGTCCAGGCTTTTGATATTATTGATAGCTGCTTCTTTTAAGTAAAAATTGAGCTTGTACATATTTATCTTGTCAGTACTTAGTCCTTTGCAAATTTTTTTTACTCTGAAGATCATATCAAAAGATGCTTAGATTTCTGATTGGCAATATCAATGTAATAATGTGGTAACCAGGCCTTCCAACAATTTGAGGAATCTGTATGGATACCAATTGAGTCCCATTATTAACAGACTTATTTTTATTTACTATAAGAGCAGAATTCAAAACTATAGATATGAGAAGAAAGCACTTGTTGTGGTCTTTATCTTAATATTTAGAAGTATCGACAACATACTGCATGTAGTACATGTATTATCAAAAGACAATAGTCACTTCCATTCATATGTCGATTCGGTATAATAGTTAGGTTAAAATAAACGACACCACAGAGTTTTCTCTATTTTATATTTCGATACTGTTCTAGAAAAAGACGTAAATTGTTACCTAAGAACAAAATTAATGATATTCGTGATGACTTCTACCTCACCTGAATAATGTAGAAATACTACTCTAACTACCTGAGTACGGGGTTGATGCTCCCAGTTGATTAGATACGCAACAGCATTCGCTACGTACGAACAATTTCTAAAAGGAGCACAGATTTTGACAAACAAGTTGAAAAAACAAGAATATAAAATTCCTCTTCAAAGTCATCATTTCGCAAGTTCTTTGGTCGGCACATTACCTTGACGACCAATACAATCTGTCATCAAGTCGAATGTTATCTAAGGAGATTTTTCACGATCACGATCAGCATCACACAGTGGATGTGACAGGTTGATTGGGGATACTTACTTGATGTGACAGGTTGATTGGGGATACTTACTGGATGTGACAGGTTGATTGGGGATACTTACTGGATGTGACAGGTTGATTGGGGATACTTACTGGATGTGACAGGTTGATTGGGGATACTTACTCCATCATGGCACTTAATCCAACCTCTGATGTTTTAAGAGGTTTGTGTTTGCTCTGTTCCTGATTTGTATTACTTGAGGTCAGACAACATGCTCATTGAAGTAAAGCTGCTAAAACAAGTTTTCTCACCAAAAATCGAGTTACCTACAAGGAATTGGGGCAAAATACGGATGATAGTTCTTATGGGTAATCTTTTGAATTGCCAATGTCAAAACTTTATGTGATCTTATATTCTGAAATATACTGAAAACAATCTCGAAATCACAAGCGAATGACAATTAATTATAAATATTTTTTTTTTATTTAATAGCAAGGTAAACAAAACATATACATAAGGAACGTGTCGAATGACTTTAAAGATAGTTTTGAGTCTGAATACTGTTCGTTATATTCATTCATGGGTACTAACAATTCCCTTTTATTCTCCAGTCTTATAAGACTGAATTTATTCAACTTCTACGGGGGGGAAAGTTATGTATTTTGCTCTTAAATTCGAGATTTGATTCTACATATTTTTGCAATTTAATTGAGCGAATACTTTATAAAGCTGTGAATCTTGTAAAATAATAAAATAACAGATTTGCCTACGAGAACACCTGACAGTGTTTTAGTCTTATGTGAATTATCTTATCAAAGTTCGAAATTCTGTAGATAGCTAAAATATTTCCTCTTACTTAAGTTATTACATGTATTATATAATTTGTTACATAGGTTTTTCCGAATGTTTCTATCTTATTCAAATATTTTTATAACATATCTTTTAGCTCTTATGAAACAATTCTTGAAAAGGGAGAATAAAAAAATGTAACAATAATTTTAATATTTATTCATAAATTGATTTTTGACAAAATAAACCAACATTTGTGCATACTTTCAATTTTCAAATAAAGAACTTTATTCGGTAATTACCAATATTTGCCCCTCAAATCAAACTTTGATGGAGATATATTTAATTAAATTCTTAAACAGGGGAGTATATGCTGACTTCAAAGCACTGAATATTTTCATAAGTAATGACGCCATATGTACGTAATGACGTCACAAACATGACGTAAATTTCAGTTTTTTATGAATTTTACAGAAAAATGTACATATTTCGTCGATATTTTGAGTAAAAGTCACCGAGCGCACGTGTGTTCAGGATCAATATTTTGATATAATGTGTAGAATGATAATATCCTTGAAATATGTCAATATTGTTCCTGAACAAACTTGCGCTCTATAAATTTTAAAGCTAAAATTGTTGAAATTATGTCCATTTTGTCCTCTTTTTGTAAAAGGATATAAAATCGGACTAGTTTGTGACGTCATAAAAACAAAAATTGTGAATACACTGCTTTGACACTATTATATTTTCTGTTAATTTATATTTCTCATACAATTTATAGAATTCAGCACATTTCAGGAAGTTTTCAAAATTTGACTTTTGTGGGGGCAAATATATGCAAAAAAATATACCGCATTTAGTTCTTTGATTTAACAAAACAGTTAAAAAATAAAATTTATGATAAAATAATACTGGACATCCACGATAAGATACGCCCCTTTTATTGCGTCTTTTTCCAGGAATAAACAAAATGAGGAAGTCATACCAATCATTTTACTGATCGACTGATCGTAGATAGACCACTTTACAATACATGGAAGGTAGGTTTTTGTAGTGTTTTGCCGCTTATGAAATCCCTATAATATTCTACAGAAAGAATGTTTCTGCAAGCTTTTTCAAGTTCCCATTTCGTCTTTAATGCACTGCAAAACATTTTGATGTTACCTGTAGGCGAAATGGGAATAGCAAATTTTACAGTTCGATCAACATGGGAACGAACCGATTTAACTGTTTTGTTTTAATTTATGTGTTATTGCTTACTGTTTTAGCAATATTTTTACTGCAGTCTTTGCTGGTTAAGACGCGGGTATTTGGCCATTAAAATCATGTCTTTTATGCTTTATTGATACATCTTAGCGGGGATGATGTGGGATCCGGGAACCCTTTGGAGTTATTAGATTAAATTCTGTGTAAAAAACACAGATCCTTCTAAAATAGAAAGAAGAGTCATGTAGCTGAAGATTATGACTGCGAAATTGTCTACATCATTGCCCTGCTCCCCTCTATCTATACATAAATAAACACGCTAAATCGTTTTTCATTCTTTTTTCCATGGTTGGATAAGTTAGCAACTTTTTTGATCACACAATTATATGTGCCTGACATTTAATGCGACACCCCCGAGAAAAAAGTCCTGGATCCGCGCCTGTAAGGTATGTTAATCAAAGTATTATTTAATTATATATGTCTTTTGTCTCAATTTCAGATTTATGATGATGTTTGAGTCAATAACTAAGTCGTAGACAACACACAATATAATGAATGACAATGTTTACATAAAATTATATTGAGAAAGCAGATATGTGTTGCTGAGCTAATTCAACCTTTGCGTCTTTCAATGGATCTAAATTTAAATGTTCCATTATAATAGTATATGTGAAACCAAAAGTTTCAGAGGTACTATTTCAGTTATGTAGTGGGACTGTTCTAACAAAAAGGATGAAGAATGTTTAGGGTCAACATTTGTCGAAGTATGTTTAGGGTTAACATTGGCAATACTACTTTCTGGATTTCTCGGACTTAAATAACTTTACGGTAAGTCGCCATATTTATTGATGTCAACAAAACACTAACTAACCTTTTTTGTGGAATGGGGACTTTAAACGTCCATGTTGTTGTTCAGTACATACATTTTATGCTATTCTTACATATTTTATTCCATGAATTCTTTAGTGTTGGCAATAACAGTAATTGGAAGATGATATTAAAGAAAAATACTTGTCTTATTCTGATTGATCTACCTTGCGTGTCGACTTAATGAACTTGTATGCAGGTCTGACATAATTAGCGTCGTGACATATATCTTGCATGTCAGTTGAGTGTCAAAGAACTAGGGATGTCAATTTTACTCGGACAGCTTAGCCGAATAGTCGGATGCTTTAGTCGAACGATAGTCGAATATTCGTTTAATTTAATTATTTTTTCGTAATAGTTTCACTGTTGTCTTTTACAGACTAATTTACAATATTTAACCTACGCTTTCACTATTATACTAGTACAACGAATTTCTGAATTGTAAACATGTACGTAGTGCAATAAAAAGTAACTGTACATCAATATGTATCTAATGTATTTAATTTCAAAATTAATATATTAGCTGCACGTTTTATCTAAATGCAGAATATCAAACGCCTGTATTTGTTCTTTCTTTCCATAACGGTAGTACATGTACCCTATAATTGAAGCCAATTATTACGTGTCCGTCAATGATCTTGGACAGGTAAACAATTAAAGCGCGTCTCTTATGAAAACAAAGAGAGAGCGAGAGCTTGGGATAAATTTAAATTATGAAATTTTGTGCAAACAATCAATGATTGTATGAAATTAATATCAGAAAAAGAAAACACGGTAGAAATATTCTCATATAAACTGACCCCGATTTACATGTATTTACGATTTTGTAATAGCTGTTTACTAGTAATCAACATAATTCTTCCTGAATAGACATGTTTGCCGAACATACATCGACGTACAAATAATTTCCTTTGAACAGTTAAACTATACCCTTAATTTTACATATGAAAATATTGATCTGTTAATAAATGAAATATGCAAATGTAAGTTTATTGTCTTGAATTCAAAATTACTTTGATGAAACACATTTTTAACGAATAACCGACTAAAGAAATTTTAGTCGATAGTCGGTATGATCGAACGATAGTCGAGTACTCGAATATTCGTTGACATCCCTACAAAGAACCCTTTAAATCAAAAAAATAAACAAGAGAAAATATGTCTATTCCCGTTGGATTTTGTTTTTCATTATATGCATACATGTGTGTACAGATGAATTTGTTAAGTTCAGGTAAGAATAAAAAACAAAATATCTTATTGAACAACTATGTAATTAATGTCGCAGGGAAGGTTTCAGAAATACGGAGATTATGAAAAAATAGATATATCTGTATACATATGTTAGTAGCAGCACTGAATTCCTTACTTAACATTGATCGATTGCTATCATTTTGAATTTCATTGGACTATTTTTGAGAAAAAATATTTACTTTCAGGGCCATGGATGGTGAAAATTTCTTCGTTGAATGGTCTGAATTAGACGAAAATTCGTTGAAGAACGACAAAAATTCGTTGGATCTTCAAAAATGGGTTTCATTGAAGAGCTCCTTTTCCACAACGTCAATACAAAACGAAGGAGAAAAGTCGATTTCCGCTTTTAATGAACGCAATAGTGGTGGTAAGATGATTGAATAAAATATAGTTAAAATATCTATTTCTTCATTTGTTACTTTTTTCCAATTGGCACACGTTTATTAGATAGCGTTTTCAGGGCATCAAGTATAATCACGTAATGCCGATATGTGTCAAAATGGCTGGAGTGAATCGAAAGTAATGAGGTCGAAGGGCTTAACCAAAAAGAAATGATCTTGTTTCTCTCTTTGATTCAGATTACAATAATAGCGACCACGGTACAACCTCCAGTACTTCAGAGAGTATCAAAAGATGTGCCCAGTCAGATCCAGAATCCTTGAAGGAACCATCCATCCATAATAAGAGGATCTTGTCATCCGAACCTGAGGAAGATCGCGGTTTTCTTGGTATTCTATATTTTTACCAACTTGTTTGTTCCCTTTGTAACTTTTAATCACAAGATGAAATTGTTATAGTTGTCTCCAGCCAAATTCAAGGCTGATTTCTAATGCACATACTAGGTATTAAGATTATTTGGTTTAAGTATTTCAACTTTGTCAGGTAAAGGGGACGGAGGAGAAGAGTGATCTGGAATTAGAAAACAGTTGTGTTATTGCTTGATTTGCTCACAGTAATTCTGACTTACAATTTAAAATTTAATTTTTCTGATAGAATTACAGGGATTACCACTTAACCTTAAATCATTAGAAGACAACAAAAGTTACAAAACTATACAAATAGGGAAAAATGAAAAGCAAGAGAGTACTAGAAGTAAAGGATACGACCAGAGTGTAAGCTGAACTTTGTTCTTTTTTCCATTCACACATCTCTGAACCATCATTAAAACCAAATTTGTAATTTCTAAAACTTTTCTTTAGACAAATAGGAAAGAGATTAATCCAAGAGAAAGGGCAACCCCTCCGTTAGACTTGCATTCCTTAGAAAACGACGATAATACAAGCGCAAGTAATCTAGGCGGTCAACAGAAGTTCACCCCCTTAAACCTGGACTCCTTAAACGAATCATCCAATATCCGGCTGCGCACTATCCAGTGTGAAAGGATACCAATTTCCGACCCTGAAGATTTTGATATCGATCTTCCTGGTAACGTACACACATCTGATATTTCTTTCCATACATTTACTCGTATTATAATTGTATTGTGTTCATCACATATTGCATGAAGGATATGGAGATTTACGAACAGTATTCAAGATCAAAGTCCATAAAACAATTCAAAATAGGAGCTGAGCAAACACGGACCTCCAAAACATCAGAGGTGGGATTAGGTGCGATGGAGGAGTGAGCATCCCATGCCGACCGGTCACATCCGCCGTGTGTTCCTTATCGTGAATCGGGAAAAAATGGGAAAAATCCGTCATCAATTCAGTGTATAAATAATGAACTAACTTTGCTGACAAGGTCATTGTATCGAACATAGAACTTTCGAAAAGATTATTTTAAACGAAACTGCTGATATTTTAGTTTCCTCATCTTGTTTGTCAATATTTTACCTTGTTTTAGAAATTGTTCATACGTAGACTGAGCATGCTCTTGTGTATCGAATCAACTGAGATGATATATAAACTCCGTATGCAGGTCATGAAGGTATATTGCTGCATAAGTAAAAAGGTGTTGACGATAAAATTAAAAGTTAAAGTCATCACGTTTATCATAGAGCTTGGTTGTTAGATTACCATTGACGTCTTTTTCAAGTGAAATATCCAAGTATGAAACAGATGTGCCAGACAATGTGGTATTGTGTATCTCAAGCTCACCAGGATATATCGCATCAACATAAGAATGGAAATTACCATTGTTAATAGACAATATGTCGTTGATATAATTATCTAAATATCGAGTTGAAGGCCACATGTGTTTTCTCCTTTTCATGCATAAGATTTTGCACAAACTCTGCTTCATTTGAATACAAAAATAGGCCTGCTTTCGCAATATTTTTGCGTACCTCGCATCTTGGTCATAATAGAACATTCAATTTTTTCACTATACATGTATTAATTTATTATTGATAACTCTACAGTGCGAAAAAGTGGTATTGCTGAAGGTTTTTTTTCTTTTGGATAAATTAATAATATTGTGTCAAACAGAAGTATAAATATTATTATTGAGTCGATAAAAAAGTTAAAAATAAATGTAGCACTGTCCTATGTATGAGATATTTAAACAATAAAATGCTTTCTTTGTTTGTTATTACTGGAATTAACGGAAGCAGCCGTTGTAGAAAAAATACATAACCTGCGTAAGCGGATTATGTAATTTTTTTCTGCAATAGCTGCGACCGTTAATTCCAGTAATAACAAACAAAGAAAGACATTTTATTGTTTATGTTTATATCTGTTTAAATAATCATTTAAAGAAGGATTAAAAAGTTTAACTATTATATTAATGATGCGAACGTCTTTATACGTTTCACTGATGGCCACTGATCAAGTAATCTGTACAGGCGACATGCCTAATGTAGTTCATGCAGTGATTAACGAAATCGGTTTTCTTAAGAAATAAAGGAGAAAATATTCAGTGGATGTAAATATATTTATATAATGTAAATTGGCTTTAAGAAAATGTGTTGCATTATAGGATTCTAATAAAGAATTGTAAACGATTCTTTTTTTTTCATTTTCTATAATGTAGATTCATGTCATGCAAAAAGTCATTTGTATGAACATTTTCTGCCATTTTTTTTTTTTTCTTAATCATTCCTTTCAGAGCAGGTTGTTTTGGCATTACAAAGAGAGACACCCTTCTTCATAGTATTTGGTTTGACGATGGTCTAGAATCTTCATATACAGATGCAGATGGTATATTAAATTCAGGAAAAATTCTTTTACTTTGTTTATTTAAAAGTATTGCATGAAATAAAAATTATTTATTTGTATATATTAAAAAAGTTTTGTTATTTTTTAGAATATAAGGGATCGAGAATTCCTGAACCTACTTTGAAAATCTTTGCCTACTGTCTTACTGAAAGAACAGTCAACTTACATATGCTTGCAAATATATTGAATGGATACGGTATGGTGACAGAAGGTTGTTTGAAACAGATAGATGATATTAAAGAGGAATCGAATGAAAAACAGGCCCGCATTCTTACTGAAAACATTGAAAACCATGTAACAACTCTTAAGCTTGTATATGTGTTGCATCAGAACAACTTTATACAAGTTGCTCAAGATTTGTTTACCTTTCATATGTCTCGATGCCGAGATATTCCTCGAAAAAAGGTTGGTGAACGAAGAAAAATCCAACATTACTTCAAAAAGATCAAACAGGACGTTCACAGACTATTCACTTCTAATCCTTACGCAGAAGTTGGTGAAATAGGCAAACTCATGTTACAGGATATTGAAAAGGAAGAAAGGCCTGGTCATAGACGCTTTCTCTATGACAAATACATTTGTCTGAAAGCAGCGGAAATAGATGCACTCACCAATCAGACAGATAACGTCGATCCTAAAGGAAAAACCATTCCAAGAAATTGAAGCAGTCATAGCAGAAAGCTCTTGTCCTGAAATCTCTCTAATTTTAATGCTTGGTCGACAAGCAGATATCTCGTCATCTCTGGGAACAAACCCAAACGACGGAGAAAGCTTTCTCGTGGATGCTTTCATGTGGCAGGACATGTGCGAAAGGTGTATCGAGGCAACAGATATGATATATAAAAGTGTGGTTTTCTACCTGTTACAGTTTCAGCGAACTAAAGACAAAAAATATCAGAGAAAACTTTTTGAACAAGCTGCGATAGGACTGGATTCTTTGTCAGAGGAAAGTGACGATGTGAGATTATTTTGGTCCCGACTTTTTAGACTAAGAATAATATTTTGTCATTTAGGGATAGGAAAACGGGGTGAAATTATCGAAGGGTATCATGTTTCTCCAGAATCATTAAAAGTCGTTGAGAGAATGTTTCAAGAAGATAAATTGGAGGAGTTAGAACATCGTCGAAAAATGATGTATGGAATTGCAGTCGCTCGCTTTTGTCATCTACAAGGCGCTATTGGCAAAGCAAAGGAAATTATCGATATTGTTATGGACTTTGCGAGAGAAGGAAATTATAGTGAAAAAGGAAATGTTGCTGCCTATCAAGCGGTTTTGCAAAATATCGATGAAAATGTTGAAGAAGTTGTTATTCTTTCTGACGAGTACCTCTTCAACACAATTTCACCGATTTATTCCCGACAATCTTCCAGATCGTCAACCACAGATACAAACACCTCATCAGAGGTAGTGATAAATCAACAGGTCCTCTTTGAAAGCAGTTCTTCTGACGGATTTGAAATCAGCTCTGACAGTAATGGGCCTCCCTGTGGAATATTCCCATGTTCCAAGGACGACCAGGTGTGAGAAGTTGGGTAAATCAGACCTGAATATTAAGGTTCAGGAAAGAGCAATAAGCAATTCTAAAAACACCATATCTACACAACACAAGTATGATGATGTCATGTTGTAAATTTTGAATTTACCGGGTGGCAGTAAATACGAAATGTTTTGTATTTACTGCCACCCGGTAAATTCAAAATTTACAACATGACAATTAATTCGTATAAACGTGGCTTTGACAAGATAATATTGTCTTACTTCCGCATAAAAATTTAAAGATATCATCTTCACCAAATGTCTTGTTGTTTGTTTTACTATACCTTGTATAATCATTCAGTTATTATTATATGTATTAGTTTCGTTATTATTTATGTTTTGATGACATATGTTCAAAAATTGAATGCTGAGAAACTGGGCAGTGTGGAAAATGACAGTTAACTTGGTTTTTCAAAGGTTACCGTAACAAATTGGTGTAACTCGCGTGTATTAAATATACATTCGTATAGACAATTCATTTTTATCAGTTACTTTTATGTTCTATCTAACAGTCATTAGGACCTCAATTAAGATATCACATTTCGTATGTATTGAATAAATATTGTAATAAAAGAGATTGTTGAATTATGCTTTGTATATATGCATTAAAAGAAAACTTATCAAATGATTATCTTATTGATTCCAACTTCAGGATATTAGAAGAATACAGAAAATTCTTAATAATAAATAAATATGCAATGTTTTGTATACCGTGTGCAAGTCTTCTATAAATGAACATGCAAAAAAAAAAAAATTTCTTCCACAGTTGGCATTTTAGAAGTATGTGTAAATACTTAACCTAGTAAGATATTTATAAGTATACACACGAAAGTAGTTTCTGGATCAAGGTGATAAAAGTATTTGTCAAACATGGCGTCTGACGATCCGCACGAAAGGAAGGCAGACGACAGAATTCTAGTTCCAATCTCATGTGGTGACAGAAGTTACATGAATGTGTTGGAGAGAGATATTTTGAAAAGTTTCTTCACAACGTATCTTTTGGAGGTGGGCCCACAACCCCTCCTCAACACTTTGTGTGAACATGGACATATTTCTAAGGAATGTTTTAATTTAATCAAGGTAAAATGTGAAAAACCACCGTTTTGGTTTTCATATGAAATCCTCGCAGACGAACTTGGAAAACGTTATCCTTTAAGGGCGTTTGTTTTCATTCTGTATTCTATACATTTTGCACAGTTAGCAAACGACCTGATATCGTACTACAATGAGTTTACTCGCACTAAGCTTGTCCAGGAAGTGGCACGTGCCCCGGTAGGTAATAGAAAGGCCATACAACAATATTTTAAATTTATTAAGAAGCAAGTTCACGAATTCACCTTTAAAAATCCTCAGGCTGATCTTTCATCCATAGGAGTTAGGTTGAGACAAAATATAGAATTGGAAAAGAATGACGCTAAGAGGCAATTCATGTATGACCGATATGTCGCTCTGAAAGCAGCAGAAATAGATGCCCTAACGAACAAAACAGACGACATAGATCCTTATGGAGGGGCGTTTAGAGATATTGAAGAGGTAATTGACCACAGCAGCAATCCTAACGTATCCAGAGTCCTTCTGTACGGCCGAAAAGCAGACGTTTTGTCCTCTCTTGGAAAACGAGAGGAAGGACGTGGCATGTTAAAGGAAGGATTTAAATATGCAAACGCCACTGATACCTGCATCGAGTCAGTGGATATGGTCTACAAAAGTGTCGTTTTTCGTCTGTCTGAGTTAGAGAAGAGACCATCTTCTGAATTAAAGAAATTGTTGTTGCTAGAAGCAAGTCGGGGTCTTCAAGGACTCGTTGATGAGGACGAGGACGTAAAAATATTTTGGAGGAGACTGTTTATTCTAAGAATGGTTTACAGTCATTTGGGCATCGGAAAACGCTGTATGATAATACCGGATCACAAAATTTCCGAGGAGTCTTTACGAGAAGCAGAACGGCTGCTTTCATTGGATTCTTTGGAGGATTTAGAGCATCGTCGTCAGATGATGTACGGTGTTGCCAAAGCTCGTCTGCTGGAATTAAAAGGAGAACTGTCGTCTGCTTTTGCAACCATATGTACAGCAATGGAGATTGCTAAAGAGGGAAAATATACTGAAATGCCAATGATTAGTCTTTATCATTCGGATCTCAAACAAAAACTTCAAAAACATAATATACTGTAATTTCGACTAATTAGAGAATCGGCATACAATAAAATCCGATTTTTATTATGTATTTCCTTGTGTGTATTACTGGAATAAATATGGGGTTTGTGTCTTCCAATTAATTCTATATGTATACACAAAAGCATGCTCTTGCGAACGAGCAAATATCTAAAAACAAGGCCTGCTATGAAACATACAGGGATGTCAACACTCTCGTTTACAGTCATCATTTCAAAAGTTCTATGGTCACTACATTGGCAATGTCAAAATGCTGACTGACGTTTTTCATACTTAGTCTATATACATGTAGGCCATTGTGTCTGGATTAGGGTGTTTTTCCGATCATGACGAGGAGCACACACCTGGTGTGACCGGTCGAGAGGGGATGCTTTCTCCTTCATGGTACTTGATGCACCTATGATGTTCTAAAGGACCGTGTTGCTCTACTCTTGATTTGTATTGTTTCAAAGGACACTTGATTTTGAATACAATAATTCGTTTTCTACACATTTCTTTACTTGAATTTCATTAATATGCATAGAATTGTACACACCTTGTGTCACTATCAATAGCTAAGAATATCAAGGGTTTTGCATGACGAGCATACAGATACTGTAAATCACTTTTTATTCGCGAGAACTTTATTTTTGTGTAATTACGCGAGAGGGTATGCTCGCGAAAATTTCATTCTCGCGTATAATAAAATTCCTTAAAATTATATAGAGCAATGACCACAATTCGTGAAAATTTTGTCTCGCTAATAAAGAGTCAATGACTATCTCGCGAAAATAAGGTGTCGCAAAAATTATGTGATCTACAGTACCATGTGCCTTGTGGCTTAATGATTGGTTCCCTACAAGGAGAGGGATGGGCAATTGTGAATAACGTACTCTAAATTTCAATCCGATCAAACGTAGACTGTTTATTCAAACATGGTCTTGCATCGACATAAAATTGGCGAAATGTTGACTTTAAACGAATCTGATTACTACTATATACTTTAATATTTAACTTAGTTTTGTCTTTTTATGACCCCGTTATCAATGATTCTTAGTAAATAGTTTTTGTCCCGTCCCTTTCTCTGTCTGTTTGTCCGCAAAAACATATATTTGAGGTTGGGGCTATGGCTTTCATATTTCACAAGTGTATGCCTTGTAACAAGACCCTTCTTTTTGGTACCACCAAATTTGACCTTTTTTCTTGGAAATATCCTCAATGATACAGTTTTACTGTATATATACTTACACGCACTGAGTATGTGAGGAGTAAAGATAAAGATAGAGGCTTGATAGAACATCTGCAGGACCCAACAATGTGTCTACTGGGAGATAACGAACAGTATTCAAGCTCAAAAGTCCACTATTATAAACAATACAAATTAGGAGCAAGGCAAACACGGACCTTTGAAACATCAGAGTTGTGATCAGGTGCCATGGAGGAGAGGGCACACCTGCCGACCAGTCACATCCGTCGTGTGCTTGTGTCTCCCGCGTGGCACAGTGGTTAGAGCGTCTGCTCTAGGGTCGCAGAGTAAGGAGTTGATCCTTACCTTACGAGCTCGAATCCCACTGTGGGACGTGGGAACGATCCTTCGGATGAGACCGAGATCCCGTGTCACAGTAGGTGCTGGCACGAAAAAGATCCCTCACTGCTCAATGGTCCTGAATGCCGTGTATAGGACAAAGTTTGCAGCTCTCCACCTGCAAGTTGTGGCGTCTCCATACAAGTGAAAAATGCTCGAGAGAGACGTTAAACAGCATCAACAATCGTGCATGATCGGGAAATAAATGGAAAATCCATTAATGAAAAACTTCCGTCAGCATTTAAATTATAGTTTTATTTCAATGATCGATTGTATTTGCATCCATGATCATTGTATCAACCACAGAACTTGCGAAATGAGGACTTTAAACAAGACTGTTAATATTCCTGTTCCATCAACTTGTTTGTCAATAACATACCTAGTTTTAGAAATTGCGCATACGTAGAGCATACACGCTCTTGAGTAGCAAATCAAACCCCGTATGCAGGTGATAATTTTAAAAGTTATATTGTTGCATAAGTAAGGGAAGTTGAGGATTGAAAAGTCAAAGTCATCATGTTTATCATAAAGCTTGGTTGTTACCATTAACGTCTTTTTCCAGTAAAATATCCAAATATGAAACAGATATGTCAGACTCTGTTTTATCTTTGATTTCAAGCTCAACGGGATAAATCGTATCAACATAAGAAGGGAAAAAAACATTGTTAATTAACAATACATCGCCGATAGCTCTAAATGTCGATTTGAATGCAACAGCAATTGTTTTCTTCTTTTCATGTTTAAGCTTTTGAACAAATTCTCCTTCATATGAATGCAAAAATAGGTATGCAAATAATGGGGCCAAATACGTACCCGTGGGAATTTCAGTAGATTGTTGAATGACCAGGTCTCGAAAAACCACGGAGATATTGTCAATCAGAAACTCAAGCATCTTTTTTTATACTAAGAGTTCCATTTTTATTGAAATAGCATTTGTCAATGATGTCAAAAATCCTGGACTTTATTGTATCGTAGGGAATTGTTGTATGTTAAAAATTGAAAAAATTGATGTCGACAACTCAGTGTGAAAATAATGGTCTAACAATTAGCATGAAAAACATCAGTCAGTATTTGACTAAATAATAAATAATTATTGTATTTGCTGACAAGATCATTGTGTGGACCATAGAACAAGAAATTGTGATTTTGAACAAGACTCTTAATATTCTTGTTTTATCAAATTTTTGTCAATAACTTACCGTTTTAGAAATTATTCAAATTTATCTAGAGCAAGCCCTTGCGTACCATAACTCTCAAATACAGGTGGCAAGGGCATATTGTTTCATAAGTAGGAGAAGTTGAGGATTGAAAAGTTTAAGTTATAACGTTTATCATAAAGCTTTTTGTCCCCCGCTTTCGCGAAAGCGAGGGGACATTAAATCTCATACGTCTGTCCGTCTGTCAGTCTGTCTGTCCGTCACAAAAACTTTAACGTTGCTCATAACTTTTGATTTAGTTTTAAAGTAATGTCTTCTCACAATAAATACAGTTGTGAAATATGAAGTTCTAGCACCATCTGTTCAAAAGTTATGGCCAAGGGTGAGTTTTTGAAAGGTAGGTCAAACTCCGTGGCAAGGTCAAAGGGTCAAAGTTGTTGGTTTCTAGTTTCTAGAATGGTCTTGTCACAAGAATTACATGTGTGAAATATGAAAGCCCTAGTTCCAACCATTCAAAAGTTATGGCCAAGGTTAAATTTTTTTTTTAATAGGTCAAAACTCCAAGGTAAAATTTTAAAAAATATGTGAAGTATAAAAGTCCTAGCCCTAACCCTTCAAACGTTATGGTCAAGGGTTTTTTAAAGGTAGGTCAAAGGGTCACGGTTGTAAGTATCCAATGGAAGGTCTTGTCACAAGAATATATATGAGAAGTATGAAAGTCCTAGCCCTTACCGTTCAAAAGTTATGGCCGAGGTTAAAGTTTTAAAAAAAAAATACGTAAATCTCCAAGGTCAAAGTTGTTGGTATCCAATGAAAGGTCTTCTCACAAAGAATATATATATGTGAAGTATGAAAGTCCTGGTATCCACCGTTCAAAAGTTATGGCCAACGTAAAAGTTTGGAATTTTTGTGTAAAAGTGAAAAGTCAAGTTCAAAAGGTCAAATGGTGGTCTTCCAAAGAAAGGTCTTGTCACAAGGAATACATGAAATATGAAAGTCGTAGCTCCTCTAACCTAAATCAAAAGTTATGGGCAAGGTTAAAGTTTTTGCGGAAAATCAAACAGATAGACAAACAGACATGACAAAAACTATATACCCTCCAATCTTCGATTATGGGAGCATAAAAATTGTCTTTAAAATCGAGAGGAATGGTTATATCAAAGTGTTGAAATACACTGTACCAGCGACCTTTTTCATGTCTCTGTATTTAGCGAAATAAATATCTTCCAATTTTTATTTTGAGTCCTGTAAAGGATTTCAACACACCCGTCTAAAAATTTACCGTCGTTTAATTTTCGTTATTTTTTAGTACATTTTCCCATTATTTTTTCGAGTGTTAGACGGACTTACTTCGGATTAATTTTGTTTGTTTGAGCGGGTTTTCTTCTTTACGATAATGTTTTTCTCACGTGACATGTACTTCCGTTCAGAGACAGGGCAGAAAATGTGAGGATACGAGAATCAAGAGAAAAATCAATAATTCTTTGTGCTAGGCTCAAGTCCAGATAAATAATGGTTTGTGAAATGTTTAACACAATGAAATGTAAAAGAGAACATAAGTATTTTTATTGATTGTCATGTCTTTACAAAAAAACTCTGCAAGAGTTGCCTGGCGGAATTCAAAACTGTGTTTTTGCAGGTTACATGCATGTTTTAAATGTAGTGTATATATAAGTGTCTTCATGAAAGACCTGTCGGAACACTAAAAATCGGCCTCTCAATTCTATTTCTGTATCAGAGACTTCTTAAAGTGTTTCTTTCAATCTTTGTTTGACTGAATGTTTTCTTCAACTCCTTTACAAGTTATATTTTTTTGTAACGGTTATATCTTTTTCTGCATATTCGGGCCTTATAGATCATATGTCATTTGGCAAAATTTTAGTCAAAGACAATGATTACATTTATGAACATATGTATGATATTATTAGCTACGTGGATAATTGTAGGATGTGATGTAAAGGACCTCCTACACAATGGCTACTATTGAGAAGCTGATCAAGGCATTTGAAGCCCTTAGGGTGTTTCAGCCTCCAGGGTCATCTGCAGAGGATCCAGCAAAGTAATATCATTATCATCAAGATATTCTATATCTGTTAACTCTTTTGAATTCAGTATTACATGTATTCACAGTGTAAGACTTAATTAATGCATAAATTCATTTTCCATAAAAAATGTGCATATATTAATTGCATTTAAAATATTTAATGATGGCCCTTTAATGATTGTTTGATGCATTTTTTTTTTTTAGGAAAAAAGAACAAGCTCCTGTAAGCAGAAAGGACAAAATGATCAACTGTAATCTTGTGGCTGACAGCATCTGTGCTCCTAATATGAGGTGATTTTATATATCTCACAATTTGTTGGTAAATTTGAACTGAATACTCATGTGCATACAAGGTAATGGTATGCATAGTGAATTTATGAAAAATTTGCTGTGTTTGTAACAGAGGTTATATTAAATATTTCTTTTTTGAAATAGGGCCATAGTGGATTTTCCCAAATTCCTTGGTATTGCGATGGAGACATTCCTAACTCTGTGTGATGATGCAGAATCCGATGTACGAATGGTAGCAGATGAATGTTTGAACAGATCTATAAAGGTATTAATTTTGTTTGAGGAAAGTATCTGTGTACAAAGTATTACCCTACAGTTTAAAGAGTATGAGATATCTAGTTTGAACTTTTAGTTCTATGAAGCAATCGTATTTTAAAATTGCAACATTAAAAGTTTTGTGATATTTATATAAATCAAGCACAGATAAATTGGCATGAAAAATTCATCATAACCTTTGGTAATAATATTTAGAACAGAAGTATATGTAAACAAAATATCTTTAAAAAATGCATGTGCACTCAGTATTTCAAAGGTTAGAATGCTTGATAATCTGATGTAGTTATAAACCATTTAATAGTACATATACTGGTATTTTCTCCTTTTTAAGGACTTTTTATTTTCATTGAATGTTCTTTTTAATAACGTGTGAAATTCAAGTCATATATGTAAGTTTTTTCAGTACATGGTTAGTTGTTGATGTGTTCATTTTGAAACTTCACTTTTTGACAAATTCTGTTCAGTTTTATGTTTGTTTGATTCAGATCTTGCTTGAGACAAATCTTGGAAGACTGCAAGTGGAGCTTTATAAGGAAATCAAGAAAAATGGCAGCAGTCGGACATTAAGAGCAGCGCTGTGGCGATTTTCTGAGATGGCTCATCTTATTCGTCCACAGAAATGCAGGTAACTGTTTTTCACATAAAGTAAATAAATGTAAATTTGGTCATATTCTCAGATTTGCATTTTAATCCTTCATATTTTCACTTTCATTTTTATTTGTCATAATATTTTTTGGACTGAATTTGAATTCAAGGAGTTTTATCAATCATATGAACTGAATTATTTATTCATTTTTCATTTGCATGTATTTTACTATTGTATAACAATGTCTCCAGTGATGGATGTACAGTATTCTTTTGTTGGTTTCTCCAGACCATACATAGTTAATTTGTTGCCATGCATTGCTCGGATATGTAAGAGAGAAGATGAAGCAATCCAGGACACTCTGTCTCAATCCATGCAGAAGATCTGTCCACCTCTGATTGGATTCGCCAATGAATCTGAAATCAAGGTAACCTGATAATTAATTAAATCTGAAATAAGCTAACCTGATAATTGAATGAATCTGAAATAAAGGTAACCTGATCGTTAACTTAAGTTTGACATTAACACCATGCATACATGTACATGTTCCTATTACTTGTACTTTGCCATCAATAATTTTCATGTTTTTGTCAAAGGAAGTCAAAAAAATTAATCTTGACTAACACATAGATTCCAGTAGTTGTTTATACATGTATATCATCATATGTCTTGGGAATTTTGTGGCTCTTTTATTTGCAGGCTCTTATAAAGTCCTTTCTTCCTAACCTGAAATCCACCTCTGCAGCAACAAGGAGAATGGCAGCGACCAGTCTGGTCCTGATATGTGAACACAGCAGAAGTCCTGCTTCATTTTACAACCACCTCCTGGGATCACTGCTGGGTAATTTGTATGGAGAATATTCACATTCTGAAATCTTCTCTTCATTTAGTCTAGAAAGTTAGTCATTATAAAAGATCATGAAAGATTGAGAGACAGACAGACAAATGGAATGATGGAGAGAAAATCTTATAAACATTTTAATTCTTTTTTCTGCTTTTAGTAATCTCAATTCATGTCAACCCTGTCATAAAACCTGTAAGTGAGAACATTTATAGTCTTACATCAGACTACACTTTAATATGTCTCTTTTACAAACAGACATGGTCCTTCCAGTGGATGAGGAGACCAGTTTACACACCTTGATTGGGGTCTTACTGTGTCTGAGGTCACTTATCCCACACCTCAATGAATCAGGACAGGAAAAGCAGGGACTGAAAGGCAGCTTTGGTGTGATGACAAAAGAGAAAGAACAGACCATCAGCAAGGAGCAGTTTATCATGGTATGTAGGGATTTAGTTTCTGAAAAGATTTTTAAAATTACAACAAGCTGATCTTTGAACTTTATGCTTCATATATAAGATATATTTTTATAGAGCCTTCCATTTTGTTTTCTGCAGGTGATACAGCTATTGCTTCACTTGATGGGACACTCTGACCATAACGTTGTGACAGGAGCTCTGGAAACTTTCCAGCAGCTCCTCAGAAACCCCTCCCCTCTTTTGGTCTCCATACTGACCACACCCAAAAGTATCACAAGATCCTGCATTTTCAAAGTGGATCAAAGTTCACAACCAGGTGAAGGTTAAAAAAAAATTAATTTTAGAAGATGAACAAACGAAAAGATTTGTTTGCTTGCTTTGTACTGTATAATATACATGAATTACATGAAAATTTAAACTGATTTTTGATGCCCCCTTTATTTTCAGTTATAATTAATATATCTATTATAGGATTGACAGAAATATCCTCCATGTCTAAGTTATGTGAAGATAGCACTGCCGATGAGCTGGAGGTAACAGAATCAATAGTAGACCCCTCAGAAGCTTCAGAAGACAATGTATCAGACCTCGTAGCTAGCTACAGGGCACAAATGTCCAGTGAGCAGGGCTCTGAATCAGCAGGCAATGACGGAGCTCTAGATGTAGACACCTGTGATGCAGGCATTGTCGTCACTACTCTAGACACTAGGTATTCTGGGATAGAAATAGGGGACCTGAATGAAGACGTGTCAGAAAAATCAAACTTGTCTCAAGTTTCTAGTGCTAATGGTAGCCAGCAAAGCCTGAATAAGTTGTCCTCACCCCCAAAAGCTAAAAAAGGGGGAGGGCAGGACATGAATGGAAACCCAGAATTGGAGGAGGATGTTTTACCAGAAGTTGATGAGAAAACTCAGATACAGAATTCCAATCAGACAGATGTGACACAGAATCTAGGGAGTTTATTAGATGATGTGCCGTTAGACTTCTGTATTCGTGTGATCTGTCGAAGGTTCCTTTTGAGTGGAACTAAGGATCAGTTGATTCCAGATCGAACTGTGCGTGTGAGCATTAAGGTTTTAGCTTTAGGTTGTGTCAGCTACTCCATGACGTTTAGACCACAGATTTTATTTATGAATGTTTTTAAGGATATAAATGAAGGTAAGTAGCTTAGCACTTAGCAGAGTATAAACGTCATAGTTCATTTCACAGTGTTCTTTTCTTTGGTAATTTATTAATTATTATTCATGAATATTTACCAAAAATGCAAATGAAATTAATTATGTTTTTCAGATGACATACTTGAATATTAATTAAAAAATATCACACCATAAAAAAAGCACCTTGATAAGTATCCTGCATTTGTAAGAATTTCACTTTTCAAACTAGCATACTTTAAGAGTTAATGTGTAATTGGTCTTTCAAGATTATGAAGAAAGGAATGTAGTGTAATTTAATAGGGTTTTCCAACAATGAATGTTTTGTCACTAAATGCATTAAAAATATAAGAAAATTGGTGAGAATGTAATGAACATCTCTGGTAGTAAGTTAATGTCTTATTCTTTGTAGAAAACAATCAGCTGATTAAAGATGTGTTGCTCTATGCTAGTCATATTGACCCACAACTTAAAGGCACAGCTACACTAATCATTGGTAATCTGATAAGTTCTACCCTCACCCAGGGTGGAGGAGATTTCAATAAATGGATAGAGGAATTCGTCTCTGGTAAATGCTTATCTTTATTCTTATTATGTGTTACATGTACATAGCAAATTATATCTTTCTACTGTGTACATGGATTAAGGTAGATTTTAAAGGGACAGTTTTCAAAAAAAGATAAAATATATTACTTGTGCTTTGATAATGGACTGCAATATAAAATTAACCTCAAAAAAATAATGAATAATTTTACATCTGATTTTGTCTGTTTGTATAATGTAGGGTTCTCGATTGGAATCGAACACCTGGTAGAAATTATTCTCCACATTATGGAAGATGAGTCCTCGGTAGCAGTCCGCCTGGCTCTCCTAGCTGTAAAGAAGTGTCTGATGCCTCTGTTACTGGGGACTCACAGTCCTATAGGACTGGAGACGGTGATCAGGGTACTCAGCATACAGGACAATCCATACTGGCTCGTCAAGGTAAATACTGTAAAACAGCTAAAACTCATGTGTGAGCATACAGGACAATTCTTACTGGCTCATCAAGGTAAATACTGTAAAACAAATAAAACTCATGTGTGAGCATACAGGACAATCCTTATTGGCTCATCAAGGTAAATACTGTAAAACAACTAAAACTCATGTGAGCATACAGGACAATTCTTACTGGCTCATCAAGGTAAATACTGTAAAACAAATAAAACTCATGTGTGAGTATACAGGACAATCCTTACTGGCTCATCAAGGTAAATACTGTAAAACAACTAAAACTCATGTATGAGTATACAGGACAATCCATACTGGCTCATCAAGGTAAATACTGTAAAACAACTAAAACTCGTGTGAGTATACAGGACAATCCATACTGGCTCGTCAAGGTAAATACTGTAAAACAAATAAAACTCATGTGTGAGCATACAGGACAATTCTTACTGGCTCGTCAAGGTAAATACTGTAAAACAGCTAAAACTCATGTGTGAGCATACAGGACAATTCTTACTGGCTCATCAAGGTAAATACTGTAAAACAAATAAAACTCATGTGTGAGTATACAAGACAATCCTTACTGGCTCATCAAGGTAAACTGTAAAACAACTAAAACTCGTGTGAGTATACAGGACAGTCCTTACTGGCTCATCAAGGTAAATACTGTAAAACAACTAAAACTCGTGTGAGTATACAGGACAATCCATACTGGCTCGTCAAGGTAAATACTGTAAAACAACTAAAACTCATGTGTGAGCATACAGGACAATTCTTACTGGCTCGTCAAGGTAAATACTGTAAAACAAATAAAACTCATGTGTGAGTATACAGGACAATCCTTACTGGCTCATCAAGGTAAATACTGTAAAACAAGTAAAACTCGTGTGAGTATACAGGACAATCCTTACTGGCTCATCAAGGTAAATACTGTAAAACAACTAAAACTCGTGTGTGAGTATACAGGACAGTCCTTACTGGCTCATCAAGGTAAATACTGTAAAACAACTAAAACTTGTGTGAGTATACAGGACAGTCCTTACTGGCTCATCAAGGTAAATACTGTAAAACAACTAAAACTCGTGCGTGAGTATACAGGACAGTCCTTACTGGCTCATCAAGGTAAATACTGTAAAACAACTAAAAGTCACATGCAAGAAGTAGCATTTTATTTTGTTATCTTATTTACTCACAAATACATGTACATCTGTTCATTTAAATGTTCATTACTTTTCTTTAAAATAACAAATATCTAGATAGAGTGTTTTAGCTTTTGTAGATCAATGATACTGTATATTGTGCATTTAAACATAATAATATTTTTAATTTCAGGTAGAAATACTAGAGATTTTGAGTAATGTGAACTTCAATGTGTTGAATCATTTGGAGTCTTGTTGTAGTGATGTACAGAGAGGGACAAACCACTTTCTTGGGGTAGGTTGACAGCATTGTTAATAATTTATAAATGATTATATAGTGTTGAAGATAGAATAAAAACAGTGTTAAAGATAATTTATCTTAACATGTGGATTATTTACCATCAGAATATTTTTTTGTTAAATATGTACTGTAAATCTTCATTATCTCAGAACCTCAGTTTCTTGAATACCATGGATATGAGGAAGTGATTTGAAAGTCACTACCACTGTTTATAAATTTTGAATCTATAGATATTTTGAAGTTTTTTCATGACCATGTTGAGTCCAAGGTAATGATATTTGATTGTAAATATGTGTTTTGTAGAACCTGCATCTACAGGACAGGATCGTGTTGTTTGTGATGGAGATGTTAGGAAACGATGATATCCGGGTCAGACACTGTGCTTCAGAGACACTAGTCAGGTGGGTGAAACAAGCCTCTATCTGATAATGTAAATAGGGAAAGATACGGGTTATTACTGAATCCTAGAAATAGAGTTTATACAGAAGTTTTTATCATGTTTTCTGAATCTAGATGAGCTTGATTTATAAATTTTCATCTTCCCACATTGCTTAACCAAAAAGAAAATTTCTATCATCTTTTGCAAATATTTTTAGCTGAACCCATTTTAATTCACAGTTCTTTTCATATTGTTTTTTTAACAGAATTGTGCCAAAGTTATTTTATTCTTGTGATCATCCACAACATGACCCGATTATAACGGAGTCTCGACTTCACACTGAGAAGCTCCTCTCCCCGATGGTGTCTGATTCTGTTCTGAACTCACCTCCCCTGGTTCTGGGCTTGGTGAAGCCCTACACAGATAGTAATGGAGCCGTCTCCCCCTCTGTAGAAAGTAACTTGTCCCGAGTCGTGAAATCAGCACTACATCAGCTGAATGTGTCACAGTCCAAACACTTAACAGTAAGTTTACACAGGTTACCTTGAAGTCTAGAATACAGGATAAACATACTTTTCAATATCATTTTATCCACTGATTTACTCATTTTATGTCATCTTGATGACATATTCGTAACACTTCATTTTGTGAATCTCAAATGGATATGATCCGAACTGATTTGCATAAAAGTTTTAGTCTGTTTTTAGCGGTAATATGCTATTCCCCCCTTTATGATACAGTACTTTATATTCTACAGTTTGGGTGTTGCCATGCTTTATTCCTCCTGTCGGAGGCTTTCCCTGCCACACTGTACGCTCATTCCTGGGGGTGTGGACCTTGTACATCGTTCCTCCCCAAGGAGGCCAGCAATAAGGGAATAATGAAGAGGCCCCCCAGTCGATCTCACAGTAACTCAAGGTAACATAAAGTCCATTTCCCCTTGTCACTGTGATAATTTCCATTTTGTTTTATTCTTATTTTTTCTCCCATTTTAATTCATTACTTTTTACTTTGTGAAATGTATTCATTTTGTATGAAATTGTAAAATGTTGTGCACAATGATTTTTTGTATATTTTATTTTGTGGAATTGTTTGATCTTTTTTTTATCTGATAGGTAGAAAATACAAATGATTGTAGGGACCCGTTCAAATAACTGAAAGACTAATTAACTTCAGTTGATGAAGAATATACAATTAGGGTACATTTGAAACTTGAAACTTGTTATTTCATTAAAGCTACATGGGATATGTTAGTACAATGAGAGTTCAATCCACTGTATGAACTATTAACATAATAAACTTTCTAAACATAATAACCTTTTTTGAATCTTAATTTTTAAGGACACACTTCATCTTTTTACCACGTTTCTGATTGCAGGAGACAAAATTTTGATAACAGGTGTGATTTAAGCATTGTGTACCAAAGTAAATTCATGTCTCTCAAATTGTATACATGTATCTAATGATAAATGTACATTTTTCATTTACTTCTACATGTACAATATATGTAAAGAATACATTTCTGTGTTAAAAAATCATTAACAATCTAATTTTCAAAGAAACCTGTATTTATTTAACTTGCATGATATTATATTTTTTCATATGTTCACAAAGATTTTCAATTAATAAACCAGAATAAGACAATAATTTTTATTTCCACAGAACTGATATATTTTCATATTGTATTTTCTTATAAATGTTGTGGGCCAAGTATCTTCATGCAAGGAAGAAATTGTTTTTGTTATCTGCAAGATACATTGTATGTGTGTATACATGTACGAGTTACTCCAGCATGCTAGAGGTTCACGGCGAGATACTTTTGACTTGGCGCCGCGTAATATAAGGAGCTTAGGGACGTTAACTGAGGCTCTTGCTTGTAGGAGTAATGTACAAGTTATTTATGAATTGATTCATGCATACAATTACATGAAAATTCTAATATAATGGTTACAACTATATGTATAAGACTGAATATTTACATTTCCAATAAATTTCCAGTATGATTCTTTACAAAAAAAATGCAGTTCATTTTCTCATGAACTACATTACATATGTACCACGAATAAGCTTGAATATCTCCATTGTTACTTCATAATACCCCTCTTGACGTTAAAAAATATAGTGCACGCTGTTTTGCTTTAAAATTGACAGTTGAATAGCGTAAATATATGGCAAGTCATCAGAAAAATAAAGTAAATATAAGAAATGAATTTAATTTTTTAAGATTCATGAGGTATATGATCTACGATGCTTCACGCCGGCATATTTATCATGAAGAGCTAACACACTTCATGAAATATGCCGGCGTGAAGCGTCGTAGTTCATAACCTCATGAATCTTCAAAATTAAACTCATTTCTTAAATAAACATCTCTATTCAGTTAACTTTAAAAAGCTAACTAAATTTAATTCTTTCAAGATTAAAGAAAAAAAAAGGCATTAATTCCAATTTTACAGAGAATGATGTTGTCTTTTAACAGAACTGTGATGGGTTATGTCTGGTCTGGGTAAGACAGGGGCAGCAACTGCTTTGTTTGTTTGTCCTCATTTATTGTCTCCCTTTAGCCAGGTCTGTTCTGAAATACATGTGAAATCATAGTCTATTGCAAACAAGCAATGTTATACACAAACATTACAGCATTTTTAGCTCTACTGGTCAGAGACCAGAAGAGCTTATGCGATAGTAATGCGTCCGGCGTCCGTCCGTCTGTCTGTCTGTAAACAATTTTTCAAAATGCTACTCCTCCTACAGTTTTGGCCTGATTTCAATATAACTTGGCACACAAGTAGACTGTACTAAGATACATAATTCTGTGTATCGGTTTTTGATTTCGATGAACGGTGTTGCCGTGGTTACTAAAAATAGAAATTTCTGTAAAATTCTTTCAAAATGCTACTCCTCCTACATTTTTGGTCCGATTTCAATTTAACTTGGTACAAAAGTAGACTATACTAAGATACATAATTCTGTGTATCGGTTTTTGATTTCGATGAACGGTGTTGCCGTGGTTACTAAAAATAGAAATTTCTGTAAAATTCTTTCAAAATGCTACTCCTCCTACATTTTTGGTCTGATTTCAATTTAACTTGGTACACAAGTACACTACACTAAGATACATAATTCTGTGTATCGGTTTTTGATTTTGATGAACGGTGTTGCCGTGGTTACTAAAAATAGAAATTTCTGTAAAATTCTTTCAAAATGCTACTCCTCCTACATTTTTGGTCTGATTTCAATTTAACTTGGTACACAAGTAGACTACACTAAGATACATAATTCTGTGTATCGGATTTTGATTTCGACGAATGGTGTTGCCGTTGTTACTAAAAATAGAAATTTCTGTAAAATTCTTTCAAAATGCTACTCCTCCTACATTTTTGGTCTGATTTCAATTTAATTTGGTACACAAGTAGACTACACTAAGATACATAATTCTGTGTATCGGTTTTTGATTTCGACGAATGGTGTTGCCGTTGTTACTAAAAATAGAAATTTCTGTAAAATTCTTTCAAAATGCTACTCCTCCTACATTTTTGGTCTGATTTCAATTTAACTTGGTACACAAGTAGACTACACTAAGATACATAATTCTGTGTATCGGATTTTGATTTCGACGAATGGTGTTGCCGTTGTTACTAAAAATAGAAATTTCTGTAAAATTCTTTCAAAATGCTACTCCTCCTACATTTTTGGTCTGATTTCAATTTAACTTGGTACACAAGTAGACTACACTAAGATACATAATTCTGTGTATCGGATTTTGATTTCGACGAATGGTGTTGCCGTTGTTACTAAAAATAGAAATTTCTGTAAAATTCTTTCAAAATGCTACTCCTCCTACATTTTTGGTCTGATTTCAATATAACTTGGTACACAAGTAGACTACACTAAGATACATAATTCCATGTATCGGTTTTAGATTTTGATGAATGGTTTTGCTGTTGTTACTAAAAATAGAAATTTCTGTAAAATTCTTTCAAAATGCTACTCCTCCTACATTTTTGGTCTGGACTACACTAAGATACATAATTCTGTATATCGGTTTTTGATTTCGACGAATGGTGTTGCTGTTGTTACTAAAAATAGAAATTTCTGTGAAATTCTTTCAAAATGCTACTCCTCCTACAGTTTTGGTTCGATATCAATATAATTTGGCCCACAAGCAGACTACACTAAGAAACACAATTTTATATATTGGTTTTTGACTTCAATTAACATTATTGCCTTGCCTGAAAATAGAAATTTCTGTTAAATACTCTCAAAATGCTACTCCAAATACAGTTTTAATCTGATTAAAATATAATGTGGCTTGCAAGTAGACTACATTAAGAACATAAAGGGACTTTCAAGGATCGTTATTTAATTTATTGCTGTTGTAAAGTTTCAATTCCCAACTGCTCAAGAACTTTTCTCGTCCTTTGCTATAAGTACATGTACAAACCAGTAGAGCTTCAGTCTCGACAGAGACTTCTGGTTTGAATTGTCTTGTTCAATAACTCGTTGAAGACTATAAATAGTTCAGAATTATTTATTTTCATGTTGAGTTGCATTTTTGCTAGAGTAATGTTCTGGAAAATTGTGCATGTTTTCTTTGCTGTCTTTCTTTGTCATGCATGAGGAATTTCATGTTATTTGAGCTTTTCATTCTTGAAACACACAATATATGATTGTCCTTTTGTGATGGATTGTTAAAATCAGTTTCACAGAAGTAGGCATGCATATCTGTACCTTATAACAACTTGAAAAAATTATATTCAAATCTAAGAAAATTATCATTGTAAAAGCTTGTAGAGATTCATTATTTTTAATAAACTTTTCACTTACATCATAAGAAATTGTTCATAAAATCTAAAGAAGAACATCAGAGTAGTAAGAATTTCACATTTTCATATATGAACTGTGGAGTTGATCCTGCGTATTGGAGTTGATCTTGCGTATTGTTGTGTTTCAGTACCTTCAGCCTTGATGAGATGTCGGCAGGGTCAGGGGGAGGGGCTCTCACCATTATCCTCCCTCTACTGACCTCCTCCAATGTCAGTCTGGATCTAGCTGCTCACAGTGACACTCTACAGTTTGCTGGCAATCTGGTCGCAGGTAAAATTTAGACTCTGTTATAAAAAATGTGTGGCCTTGCCAATGCATTAAAAATATAATTTTACATTCATATGTATCTAAATTTTTCTGATAAAAGAAATTTTAATAAAAAATTCTTTTGAAGTTTAGTACTTAAAATCTTCTATATGAAAATTAAGAGAAATTCATAAAAAGTACATGTACATAAAGAGTTGTGTGTAACTTTTAAATGCGCATGTACAGTTGTATTATATGTGCATCATGCTTTGCTAATTTTAGGTGCCGTGTACAGATGTATGCAGCCTGTGGAGGAGTCTAACTCTGCAAATGATGGTGAGGGGGTTAAATGGGGGGCCGTCTCAGACAGACTTCTGATTCCCTTCCTAGACCAACTCCTCTTCCATATTGCCAGGTATAGTGTCACATTGATCATTCATTTCTGTGTAAATGAAAATTCTTGTTTATTTCCCTCTCTGATGCAATGAATAACATTTTCTAAATGGTGATTTTGAAGTATAGGTCATATTACAGGGTCCTGAATTGCTGTGTCCATGTGATCGATGAACAAGTTCCTGGTCCAGCTCCCGTTAAACCCTCCCTGCCCTCTCTCCCCAATGCCCCCTCCCTCAGTCCTATCAAAAGGAAGAACAAGGGGGAGAGTCCTAATGATTCCCCAGCCAAAGGCAGCAATACAGACACAAAAACACCCACAAAACAACAAAAAGGTAAATAATGGACAGAATGAGAATTTGAACAATCAAATGGTGGAAGTTTTCATCTAAGATTTTATTTTCTTTTTTGCAAAATTTTTAAAATTGTAGCAATTTCAGAGTAATTTCATATAAAAAAAAAAATAAAGCACATGTATGTATTTACTGGAATTTTTGACTAGTGAATATTTAAGACAACAATTTATATCACAGAAAAGGAGAAAGAACAGGAGAAAGAAAAAGAGAAGACCAAAAAGGACTCATTAGGAGTATTCCACAGTATGCCACATTACATGAAGCTGTATGATGTGTTAAAGGGAGCATACTCAAATTATAAGGTCAGTCAAAAATCTTCCACATTGCGTGAAAGTGTGTTAAAGGGAGTTTACTCAAATTATAAGGTCTGTCATGAATGTGTTAAAGGGAGCTTACTCAAGTTAATAGTTAAAATATCAGTCAAAAATCTTCAACATTATGTGAATTCTGAAATTATGTTATATAAGTCTTGGTTGACAATTTGGTTTTACATATTAACATATGACAGTATCTTTTAATACATATTATAGTTTGCATGATGTATGCTGTTTTCCCGGTATTGTTATTGTAATGTTCGCTCTATTGTTTAGGTGTCCCTGGATCTGTTGGTGACTGACAAGTTCTGTAGTCCTTTCACACCTCAGTAGTCACCATGTCTCAGATATTGATATTGTGATGTCTACTGTTTAGGTGTCCCTGTCTCAGATATTGATATTGTGATGTCTATTGTTTAGGTGTCCCTGTCTCAGATATTGATATTGTGATGTCTGTTGTTTAGGTGTCTCTGTGTCAGATATTGATATTGTGATGTCTATTGTTTAGGTGTCCCTGTCTCAGATATTGATATTGTGATGTCTACTGTTTAGGCGTCCTGTCTCAGATATTGGTATTGTGATGTCTATTGTTTAGGTGTCCCTGGATCTGATGGTGACCGACAAGTTCTGTAGTCTCCTCCACACCTCACTGGTCACTCTGTCTCAGATATTGGAGATAGCCAGACTGGAGGACATTGGGAAGTACGCTGATGAGATTCTACAGTACCTCAAGTCTACAGTTATACTGGAGCCCACAGAGTCAATAAGATGTGTACAACAGGTATAGTGGTATTACAGTGTACTTATTGTAACAGTACCTCAAGTCTACAGTTATACTGGATCCCACAGAGTCAATCAGATGTGTACAACAGGTACAGCTTTCTTTGAAATTTTCATGAAAGTTAAGTTTACACAGAATTGTTTTATATTGAAGTAGGAACCAGGGAGCTAAATAAGCAAAATTAGTACTCTTAAAAAGTATTCAGCTGACAGCTACATTACAATTTTGTATCCATACCATACATTTTGTTTAATTAACACACTGTCTCTTTTTCAGCTTCTTAAAGCCTTATTTGGTACAAATCTTGTCTGTCAATGGGAGCCTCAACATCTGGTGAACCTGTCTGGTAAGCCCGGTAAAGCTGCCCGACTGACGGGAAATAACAAGCCTGGGCAGTACTACTTCTGTTTTACCCAGCCCTATACTCAGTTTACCCAGTCACTGGCCGGGGCCACGTTTAAAGCTTCCTCCCACACTGACCAAGAGGAGGGCACAGGGTCAGTACTTATTTTGCCCTACTTTAGAAAATTCCCCTTGGATTAAGTAAGGTTGTGAGAAAAACAATGTTATCAACTTCCTAAAGGTATATTATGCTAAGGGAAAAATAAAAGTGTAAAGGGCGATTTGTCGTTTTTAGAAGCTCATTATATCGTTCTTCCTCGATTCCCTCTCGGAACCAATCTGTCACGAGATTAGCTAGTTCATCATCAATAGGTTTATCACAAGTCTCTTTAACTTTAAGTTTCTTACCGGCATTTACGTACTTGTTGTTATATTCAGAATCTCGTCTAATGCGCGCTTCCTCGAAGCCGCTTCACCGGAAGTACCCGGTTCTTAAAAAGTATTCAGCTGACGATCTTCATATTCTTGGTAATCATAATCATACAGATTTTTGCTCTTAATAACACACTTGTTTCTCTTGATTCTCTTGAATCGCTTTTAATAGAAAGCCTTATTTGGCGCGGAACTATCATGTCCTCCGCCATGACCACGAGAACACGTGGAAGTGCTAGTCGAAGTCGACGAACTCGACGACGAACTGTAGACGGTGTCTTCCCGAAGACGATGATTTGTTCGGGGCTTTTTTCTTTCCCTTGACCGGTGCTTTATCATCGTCAGGGTTAGCATGGTTAGGAGCGTCCGCCATGACGCACGTGGTTTGAACTTTCAAAACCGATGTTTTACCCAGCCCTATACTCAGTTTACCCAGTCACTGACCACGTCAGAAACAAAATTGAACTCTGAAAAAGTTCTAAGAAGATATTGACCTCGTCCAAATTGATCGAGCAAGTGAGGAGCTCCGGCTACTTGCAGTTCAATGACTTGGCGGCTGCGCAGTACTATTCACATTATCTCGGAAGTGACGTTTACGAAAAATAATTCCCCTTGGATTAAGTAAGGTTGTGAGAAAAACAATGTTATCAACTTCCTAAAGGTATATTATGCTAAGGGAAAAATAAAAGTGTAAATAATATATACATTGTGTTTTCATACCAATAACTCCTGTTTGCTTGTAAAAAAAGTAGTGATGAAATAATTGATTTGAATGATTCTGCTTGTAATCCTCTAATCTTAATCATTTTTTTGATTCAGGTCATTGAACACATTAAGGAAATGTGTAGACAGAAAATTTCCAGCAATCCTGAAACCCAATAGCAAAACTGATAAGGTAACCAGAAATGTTTAAAATAATGATGCCCAAAGTCAAACATTTTTTGTATTAAAAAAAATGGGTCTTAGAAATTATTGTCAAAAAAAAAGTTTTGTTACCCTCTGAGTTATGATCCCATTGGCCTATTCAACATTTTACATCTAATAACATGTAAACTGATTTAAACTAAAATGTTATCACTGTAGTCCACCGTAGCCTCGTATATCCGACTGTTTGAGCCCCTGGTCATCAAAGCTCTGAAGCAGTACACTGTGTCCAGTAGCCTTGACCTTCAGCAGCAAGTCCTTGACCTTCTGAGTCAGCTGATTCAGCTCAGAGTGAATTACTGTCTCCTGGACTCTGATCAAGTCTTCATAGGATTTATCATCAAGCAGTTAGAGTTCATAGAGGAGGGACAAATTAGGTGGGTAATTTTATTTTGTATATGTCCATTATTGTTGTCAAAACTGTCACTAAGTGTATGTTTCATATGCACATGAACATATAAATGCTGTCTTTACTAAATTTTTCGTAGTTTGGATTTTTCTTTTTCTTATTTTTTCAGAAATTCAGAGAACTTAATTCCCAACATCTTCAGTTTCCTTGTTATGCTATCATATGAGAAAACTCACAGTAAAACAATCATTGGAATGCCCAAGATCATCCAGCTTTGTGATGGTATCATGGCTAGCGGACTACAACCAGTGTCTCATGGTAAAATTAATGCATTTGTATATTCAAGAATTATTTGGGAGCAATGTAATCATATGGTACATGGAAATGTAAACATTGCTGCATGTTGTTACAATCCAAAATAATTATGTAGAAAATCATACATGTACATTATTTGTAAATGTAAAATCTTGTAAATTTGTGCTACCTTTGATAGTGTGTTGGTTATTTGGGATATTTTAATTTTTCCAGCCATCCCTGCCCTGAGACCCGTGGTGTTTGACTTGTTTCTGTTGAGAAAAAGGACAACAAACCAATATCAACAATTTAAGTAGAGACCATGTGTGAGACTCAGACATATGTTCATTGATATTATCATTCTACACATTATATCAAAATACTACCAGGAACACACAGGGGTTATATTATAGCCAAAAAGGGCTTTAAATCTTTATCCAATAATAAATACATGTAATGATTATACTGACTTCTGTCTAGAAGTGCATCACAACATGTACAAAATGAAAGAAATAATGAAAGTTCCATTTTTCATCTGCAAACTTTAATTTACTTATACAGACCCTGGATTTATTAGTGGTGGTTCTACAGCAAAGTAAGAAGGAGAGTGAAGAGCGCTGGAAGAGATTATCTCGTCTGATAACAGACAGTTTATTACCAGCCTTAACATCCAATCAGGTAACAGATAGCTCTCCATAAACAGAAAACAGCCAATCAGGTAACAGATAGCTCTCTATAAACAGAAAACAACCAATCAAGTATCAAATAATCTACAATCTGATTAAAACAGCCAATCATGTAACATAAGGGAATCTGCAAGCCTTAGAAAAACAGCCAATCAGGAAATAGATAGGTGTATTCATATAATCAGTAATTTATTGGTGTCTTGATACTTCTGTTTCAGGTAAATTTAGACAACAGTGAATCATTGGACGTGCTTCATCGTCTATTTGAGTGTCTAGCTCCCATTGTATTCAGACCAGTGGATATCTTGCTGAAGACACTGTTACAAGCTCCTTCAAACATAGTAAGATACAAGTACATCAAAGTACATCAAGAACCTTTTTAATTTTTGGTATCATTTTACATTTGCATACAGGAATTGTCATTTTAGTAGAGAATTATCATGATTTAAGCTGGACCTTATAACGTATAATGCATATCAAAAAATCTGTGCAAAAGATACATGTACTAGAATCCTATCATGTTTGAGGAAAACTCTGTATTGTTGTTGTAGGGAAGCACTGAGAACTTACAGCGTTGGATGTGTCTGGTGCTATCTGTGGTCCGAGTTCTCATGGCTCAATCCAAGGAGGAGGTCATACTGTCACGCCTCACTGAGCTCAGAATCAAACTCACCCTCTTCAAAGTTCACAGCTCCAAACTGACAGAAGAACAAAAACAAATGGTCCAGGATATGCTACCTGAACAGATTCTAGCAAGGTATGGGTTTTTTTCCTCTGATATACAGCTCAAATTTGGTATCTCAAACCCTGATATCTGGAATACCATGGATATCTTGTGAATTGGTAAAGTGATTTGGAAGTCTAAACCATTTATTCTTTAAGTATTTTACATGTATATCTTTAATTCTTGATTATCTCAAAATTCTCAAGTTTGAGATAGCGAGATTTGACTGCTTCACAGCAGCTGACACAAATAAGACATTCATGCATGGATATTTTCATTAGGGAGGCAATTAACAACAACAGATGGAGTGTTATGGACAATATTTTTCACTTTTATAGATTTTTGGTTCAGGTGATTGGGAAATGTCTAGAGGTCATCATGGGTCATCAGTTGTCGTATCATGGGTCACATGACCAAACAGAGTTCCTGTCACAACAGTTGTCCCAGTTCCTACTGTACATCACACACATGTTCCAGTCAGGTACCCAATACTCTGATCATTTTTAAAATTATATAGCAAAACAAGGATGACTTAATACTTGTATATTTTTCTTTTTATTAAATGTGCTATATTGGTGCATGTGGGAATGAACATCAAGTGCATAAGCATGTTAAAATAATTCATTTAGGATTTTACTGTTTATTTACATGTATAACATGTGGATGTCAAAGAATACGCATCTAATTGGGTATAACTTGGGCATACCTATGATTGATTAAAAAATTACTATTGAATGAATTACTGAAAAAAGGATATAACATAATCCTAATTTGTAACAAAATCACATGTATATGTTATAAATGGTCAAATTTTTAACGATAATATTTTATTAATTATGGAATTTATTTTGTTGTCTTATTTCTTCCATCTCAATTTATTATATTGACACATTTTTTATGCATTTTTCAAATAATGTTTTTTATGTTAAATGACCTAACAGATTTTTTATTCATCAAACAAAATAAAATGAAGGATTTGAAAATGATCTTTGATCACTTTAATAAACAGCGATATCTTGGCAGAGTGTTACACATGTTGACCATTCCCTTGCTTTCTTGAATTCATTGCTTCTCAAACCATCTGATGTACAGTGAATATATTTACATAATTAATGGGTTTTGATATTTACAATGTAATCTGAAATATGTCGTTGGATAGGTGTAAATTGTTAACACTTCAGCCAAATTGCAAATCTATTTACACAAAGAATTAAACTTGAATAAGACATTTTTTTGTTTTCACTGCATTTTTTCAGGCACTGCATTAACAGTTTTTACAATATTAAGAGAAAATATTCCCTGATGTTTTATATATGTCAAAGGTATAATTTTACTGAAAATAAGCAATCAATTATTTATTACTTATTCTTTGATCAACAACACAAAAATAACTATGAGCTCTATATAATTGGGCATTTTTTAAGAGAACTAAAGCGGGCATGTTCGAAGATGAAAGCACGGATTATACTAAAGACAAAATCACCCAGTAATGTAAATAAAAGATTAAAAGCTCATTTCCTCCTGGGGCGAACTAAAAGCGTCTTTGGAGATTATGCATGTATCGAAATTTCCACCATTGAACTATCTAAACAAATTCATGGAACGACTGCATAAATAAGCCCTGGTTAAATCTAGTACTGTCTGACGCCGTGACGTCAGACAACAAAATCACATGTTAACAAATGGAATCAGATTTTGTTGTTATACTACACATTTTTTTATGGGTAATAGAATAGAATTAAAACTTGACTTAAAATGCATATAATATAAATAACATGAATGCAATTCATGTATTTGCATATATTTCATGGTTTTGTATTTCTGTAACTGTGTTTTGTTTCTTCCATTCCATTTTTCTCTTGGAGATTCTCGATTATCCCATTATATACAGGGTAGTGTTTGAACCAGAGCACTTACCAATTATATGTCATGTGAACAGTCTTGAAGCCATATTCTCAGGTTATACTCATGGCTTGATGATATTGTATTCTACAGGTATGTTTAGGAGGGTGGCCACCTGTGCTCTACAGATTGCCTCTGAGGAAGCTGTGGATTGTTTCTACAGCATAAGAGAAGTCAACCGTAACTTCCTGTCAGTTTCCATGACACTGCCGACCTTGACCTTACAGTGGTGTAACATTCTGATCCTTCTGAATTACGATGACCAGAATTTATGGAGTGAGGTCATGCAGACCCCAAATAGGCATCTCAAACCAGGAACAAGGTAGTGAAACACTGCAATACTCTGATACAAGTGTCAAGTCTTGTTCTTAATGATTAATATTAAAGCTTTGAATGTTAAATTTTGGTTATTTAGCACAACATAATAACAATGGATGTAATGACAAGTTGCATTAGCACATTTTGAAAATTAGTCTGTTGAACTATCTGTGTTATGAACATCTGAATTTAGGACTCCTTGTTTTTGTAGTCAGTCTACGAGTCATGAGGCCCACCCTGTGGCTGAGACCCACTGCTGTAACCAGGAGATCCTCAGACGAGGGGGTATCATTCTCTTCTGTGACTTCGTGGTCAGTCTTCTAACACTAACAAGCACCTACTGAGAGAGATATTATGTCAATAAAAATAACACAATTTATAAAATCTATACATATGATAAAAAAAATTAATCAGTTGTCTTTCATTGTGATGTGATCTGATATAGATGCTGGATGTCTGATTTTAACTTGCAGTGTGAGAACATGTTGGATGCAGAACACATGACCTGGCTGGTGATTAACCACGTGAGTGACCTTATACAGCTATCACGGGAGTCTCCGGTCCAGGACTTCATCAGGTATCTACAGTGTACTCCTATTTATTGTTAGCATGGACACAGAAAAATCTCGAATGTGATAAACAAAAGAAATGTTTTGAATGATTTGCACCTCTACATTTGTACATAGGACACTTAAAATACATGTACGTTTTCTTTTTTAGTGCTATACACAGAAACTCAGCAGCCAGCTGTTTGTTTATTCAAGCCATTCATTCCAGAGGTCAGGATGTGTCCAAGGTAAGTTTGAGAATAAGATCCAGTTTTTCATTGTTTTTTTTCACCCAGTACTTTAACTTGAACTTTCTTGATGAAAATCTTAGAATATCATTCATTTAACCATTTGTCAAAAATCCTGATGTGAGACAATTGCAATGGTGTCTGAAAGAGAAATGGAACAATTATTTTAAATTGTAGATAGTATGCAGTATGTAAACTTGATTGTCATTTACATGTAAATATTAACACATTAAATTTAGTGTCCTACATTAAATAATGAAATCATGCAGTCAATCAACTCTGTTGTAGCCATCCCAGATAAAGAAGACAATGAAGTGTGTGGAGGCCATACATCTGAGCCAGACAGGTGCCCTTTTGACCCTGTTGATTGACAAGTTCCTGAACACCCACCATCTCTCTGTAGCCCGCCTCTGTGACACCATCGCCTGTCACAGGGTGGAAATGTTACTGGCCGATAACTTCGAGGTAGGTAATATATTGAGTACAGAATTGGATAAAATTATGGAATTTCATTATGAAATGGAGCTGTACTTACACTGAATGTTTAATATGCTGATCTTTTTAACTGATACAGGATGCTAAGAAGCAGTTACCATTAGTTGATTTGGATAAACTCCTGAAGTTTATGGAGACCCACTCATTGCTTAAGAGGTGAGTATTTTGTAGAACATTTCTGATTATTTGAGGAACATGTATTTACATGAACCACTAAAGGATTCTATTATTTTATCCCACAAACTCAATTTATTTATCCACAATAGCGTGAAGCTCAGATGTTGCATATGATTTGCATACATATATTTAAAAAGGTTAAATATCGAGTAAACAAACACTATTCCTACATGTATGCGTATAACCTACAAGTGCTGCTTTGATATTGTAGACATGCTCGGTTGGTTTCCTTGCTGCAGAGACTGAGGGGGACCCTGGACCCAGAGACTTCATTATCTCTGTATACTGACACCCGTCATCCTGTCCTCAGCACAACAGAGTATCTCCACAACCAGATGGACAAGGTTTGAAATAATTTAAGTTCACGATCATATAATCGTTCAGGACATTTCCAGACAGGGAATAATAAGTGTTTCTTTCCTTTGTAGGACTTGTACCTGTCCATAGTTAAGTATCAGTGTTCCAATCCTGACTCTAGTCCCAGAGAATGTGGCCTTCTGCTTCACAAACTGGAATATGCTGATATGTTGGCTATAACCATGACAAAGGTTAGTATTTTTATTTCTTATCCAAATGTGAATGCCAAAAAATCACAGGAAATTTGATATTATTATGAGTAGGGAATATCTAAATCCCTTCCAAAATGAAAATATGGGTCATTGTGGCAGTAAATCAGAATCTATGAAACTTGGACTGATGTTTATAATACTTTGTCATAGTAATATTTGTAGTAAATGTACAACATGGCTGTATTTATTTTTTTCTATTAGGAGTTCAGTCTGGACATTCTATCAGAGTGCCTGACCTTGGGAGCTCAGTACACCTTGATAAAGAGCACCGACTCTGTGACGGTCCTAGACAATGAAGGGAACCAGGTCCTCCAGGAGCCGGTCACAGACAATCTGTTCCAGGCGGCCCAGCTGACCCTGACCCGACACATCAACTACGTCATCAACCTCCTCCCCGCCCCCCACCAGATACTCACCTTCTCCTCGGTGTTCGTGAAGGAGAGTCGATACCAGGAGAAGATGAACGATATATTCTCTGACACCCCCTGGAGGGACATGATATTCTCACTGACCAAAACTCTGAACTGTTATCTGCAAGCTATGGACAGGTTACCATGGAAACCGGATATTCCCACGGAATCTCACTGTGATATTTGTAAATTTAGTGTGTTGTGTATGGAGGTAAGGACTTTTATTTTCATTTATGTCAACTGAGAGAGGTACAGCTGTACCTTGATTTGTTAAACCTACCTTTTTATACCTATACTGTATAAAGGGTAATTTTTACTGCTGTAAATTTTTACAAATTTTGGTCAAAAAAGGGTGATTTAAATTTTTACGCGTTAATTGTTTACGAATTTTACATGTCCGTAAAAATTAAAATCATCAGATGTAAAATTCCAGATCACTGATTGTTATCACTTTGAATGCGTTTACGTACAAATAATGTGTCCGAAAACCCAATGTAAGAGAGAGAGAAAAAGGGAGAGAGATTTATTAAATTATAACAATATAAACAATGCCAGAAATTATATTATGTATAATTTTTTTATCATTTACCTTTATATACATGAACGATGTACCCTTCATTTATTCATGTTTTATAAAGCACATAGCTAGGCACACCATGTGCTCGACAGGTATTTACCGAAAACAAAGAGAGACAACTCAAACTATAAGAATTTAAGTGAAAGTATACATGTACAGTGTATTAAGAAGTCGAAGTTTTATTGAAAGCAAATAAAACAGAAGAAAGTGTCAAAGATTAAAAACATATAATTGGAAGACCTGTAATTATTAAGTCATTATCAGAAGTTATGCGTCTCGAAAAAATACAAAAAAAAAGAGTAACCAGGTAGGTCTAACTGATTAATTAACAATACAATTACATATATCTAGCCTCCAGGGAGTGAGCTTATTGGCAATTAGCATTACTTTTACACATACGATGTTGAAAATTTACACGAGCCGTTTTATAAATTATGTGAAACTTTACGCATTTAAATTTTACGGATTTAAAAAACTTGTAAAAATTAGTAAAAATTAGCAGCACGTAAAAAATACCCATTATACAGTATAATGTACAGAAAAATGACTTAAAATTTTTGTTGAAATTTTTTTTGCTTTGAAATTTCATTATTTTTTATTCTATCTTAGAGCAATTTTCAATTTAAAAGGAACTTAAGTGTTTATCTTGTCTTTTCCCAGCTTTTGTGTTGGATGTTTCATAATGACATTCTCCCCACCTCAGAGCAGTTGAACGTTTGTCTGAAGTGTACCGCAGTCATTCTGCAGAATCAACAGCTCTCCGCTGTGATTGGCCAAAAAGATCATGTGTCATGGATAGCATCTATAGCTTCATCTATCTACCAAGTCTTTCTCTCCTGTAAGGATATTACACGACAATACATTCTGTTGTAGATAAATTTAGTAGAAAAAAATCGGGCCGTTTCGTTTTACAAAGAACTAAGACTGAGACCAAAAACTAAGATTGTAAAATTTGACAGCATATACGATTCTGTTTAGAATTGCTATTGATAAAATATCTTTCTACATTCCTTTTGAAAAGATTAAAACCATTATCTATTAATTGTAAATATGAAAATTACAAGGAGAATAAATTTATTGTCTTAGTTGTAAGTTCTTTAATTTGTAAAACGGGTCCCTTGAGTACATGTATTTGCAAGTTATATAATTGTTTGTGTACATGTTAATTCATTTTAATTTTGAATTATAACTGCTGAAACTGAAATTGAAAAGAATTGCTATTTTACTTACTGGAAGAAAATGTCCCAGAATGTTTGTAAACTGAGATCAAATTTTTCTTGTAGTGGTTGCCCATGTCACAACCAGTCAGGAGTGTGAGGAACCCAGTTGTCAAAAAGGTCATGTTGGAAGTTCAAGGTCACTGTGAAACATCTCAGAATTCATGACTGATATATGTATGCTTTTTTGGCGACGACTTAATGTACATGCATGTAGAGGTAACCAAGGTTGTTTACATGATGAACTTTATATATGACTTTTATAAATTATCAGTTGTTTTGTTTGAGTCTTGTCTTTGAGAGTAGAATGGGACCATATAAAGAGATAAAAAGTTCTACCAGTACGTAGAAATCTTGAATGCGAATAAAAGTTGGTTTACATGTTATATCTTATAAGGAAAAAATTACAGCGGGGGGGGGGGGGGGGGGGGGAGAGCTACTGATTTATATTTAGGTGATTATTAAGGCTCATAAGTGTCTTGTTTTATATAAAATGGAAAGTGGAAAGCGGTAAAAAACATAAAATTGAGAATGTATCATGATCCATAAAAATTGTTGTCCCAGTAGGGGGAAATTATTTGTTTGTTTACAGGTATTGCTTAGAGATGATCTTTTTGTTTATAAAGTAATATATATCTTTGGCCAATTTTTTTTTTTTTAAACTTAATTTAATGTACATGTTTTTTGGGTTTTTTTCCAGAATTGTCTGTGATTGTCAAAGCCTGTGATCAGATTTCAGAACTTGTGCAATATTTGTTGTTCAACAAAACATCTCATTCCATACCTTATTTCTTGGACTGCCATCTTACCACCATTATTATTTGTAAGTAAAGGACCTGTAAAACAGAATTCTTTCCATCCTCTGTCAGAAATCATTTAATATAGGTATTTTAAAGATAAATTTAGTCATAAAACTACACACATGTTGAAGATAGTTTAGAGATTTGTGTGTAATGTTTTCTATTTTTTTTTAGCATTAGCTCGCCTGCCGGCTCTCAATAGCTATGCCAGGACACCATCATTAGTGTGGAAGTTAGGATGGACCCCCACACCCTCAGGGGAACTGAGAACACACTTACCTCCCTTACCAGTGGATTATCTCAAAGATAAAGATGTGTTAAAGGAATTTGTCAGCAGAATCAACACTCTAGGTAGGAAAGTTAGCTAAAATACAAACCTGACAAAAGAATGATTGGAATTGGAAAATATGTGTACAGTGAAATTTGTCTAAGCCAGACACAACTGATTCTGTAGAATTTTTTTGGTTCAGAGAACATTTTAAATAATTGATTTACTACTAGGAACTAAAATAAATTGCAAATTTTTAAGATTTTGGGATACCCAAAATTCAGATTAGACAAGTTCTATGAAAAGTTTAAATTTTGATCCTGTGTGTAAATCTTGATCGGTTTTCTGAAATCTTGGTGACACAAGGTAAACAGTGAAGCTGCATATGATTTTAAGTAAACTGTGAGAAAACAGTGATATGTTATTTGTATAGCTGGTGTCCTTTTGAACACATTACATTATTATAAAGGTTGGATCAGTCGTCAACAGTTTGAGGAGACCTGGATGAGTTTACTGGCGGTACTGAACCCAGTGATAGAGGACGTCACAGAACACATCTCACAGGAGGTCAGATTTATATTTGTACTCGCTAAGCTTTACACCTAGATACAAATTATAGGAATGAATCTCATCAGAGATCACTTTATACATTACACCTAATACAAATCATAGCAACATAGCCTCAAGTCTTAATTTACTGAAACAATTTAACTTTTTGAAACCATGGAATGAAGTTAAAACACTGTACATGTTGCTAAAGTAAATGATTTTGTTAATGCAGATGCATATATTTTTTTTGCTCTGAATGTTATAGTATTGTGATCATGCCTTTTATTTGCATAACAAACTAATTATAGAATGTATTGATTAGTAAAGCAAATTGTCAATTTTAAAGTTTAAATGAAATTGATAAATCTTGCTTCTGTTTTAGGAAGAAATAGAGAGGTCACAGTGTATGGTGATAGCTGTCAAGGCCATCACTGCTATGTTATTACAGTCGACCTTGACCCCTGTACCTGGTAACCCCAGCAACAGTGTTTATGAGGTCAGACCGAGGGACAAACCCCTAGGATTTTTACACACCAGGTAAAGAAATTATCCTGAAACATCTAACTATATTCCAAGGCTAAATTGCAGGTATTTTCAATGCTTTAAATCTTGTTTTGTATTTAGAGTTTAGTTCTTATTTTGATTTTTTAGATGTGGTAAAAAGCTGACCATCATCAGAGGCATCATTGAGAGAGAGGTTCAGGACCTGTACAGAAAAAGGTAGAGTGTTCAATGAACCACATTTAACTTGTACATTGTCAAAATTACAACAAAAGAAAAAAATGTTAAAATATATACATTGTCAAAATTTAAAAAAAGATCTATATTGAAATGCTGAAAAATTTTATCTGCAGGTGTAAGTGTTAGCTAAGTAGTACTTGAATGTTATTTATGTATTGTTTGACTTTATTTTGACACAGTGAGGATAACTGCAGCAGTAATTTATGTGAGGGGGAGGATCGGGAAATCCTGAGGTACATGTTTGACAATAACCTAGAGAGGGAGAGCGGGGATGTAGGATATACACTCGGACAGGTAATGTTTGTACAGTCTCGATCGGGTACAGGTAACCTGTGTCATTTAATAATGGTCATAAAGTTTACCACTTGATATGGAGTATATTCAATGAACACTCTTAATCAAGTTCTGTACTTTGCAATGTTGATCTTTGATTCAAGAAGAGAGTCTTTTGTGTCAGTTGTACACATACTGTATATTTGTAATGATTCAGAGATTATTTTATGATATTTTAATCACTGTGATATTAACATTTATGAATAATATACTTTTATGAATATACTACTGATTTAAAACTCAAAATCATGTATAAATCTAATATATTAACCATACTTTGACAGAAACTAATAATTTTTAGTTAGACAATATTAATAACTTAATAATCAAATCAAATAAATCAGCTCTTGAAATCAAATATTTGAATAAAACTAAATTCAACTAATAAAAGCAACTGTCTTATTCACGCTAGAGACCCTGTTACATGTATAGAATTTATATCTCTAGGTCTCTATAGAGTCCATCTGGTCTGTTGTTGGAGCTCTTCATGTACAGACAGCTGATTCTGATACTCCAGAGTCTCTAAACAGTCCAGAGCAGGAGAATCCAGAAAATGCCCCACCCCCTCCAATACAACAGCAGTTCCCATTGGTCAATCTAGAGAAGAGGGAGAGATCAATCTCTCTGAGTGGCCTTGACATTCATTCCTGTCTACAGTTTTTGTTAGAGTTGTACGGACAGTGGCTTTCTCCCAACAGTATACTGAAACCTCCACTAATGCTGAAAAATGAAGTGGTTAAGTCGGTGAGTTTTCACTTTCACACATTCAGATTTTTAAAAAAACTTTGAGATTGTAAAAACACTTTGCAGAAAAACATGTTTATAGCAGAGTGCCAGGGATGACAGTTTTAATATCAGTAACTAGTAGTTATAAAACAAAGAAAATTTACTTATGTACATATTTGACTTGACAGAAAGAGTCTTATTCTAGTATTGAATTGTTCAATCAATGTTTTTATATGTATTTACAGCTTGTCTCCCTTTCTGACCTGTTTGTGGAGAGAGAACAGTATGAGTGGATGCTGGACTTCCTGTTTGACATTTACAAGGCCCACCCTACAGAGGATGAGATCGTCATGCAGTATATCAATGTAGGACTCGGTAAAGCCGCAGCTGTCATAGGCCTGGTTAGTATTGGTATGAGATAGTCATGCAGTATATCAAAGTAGGACTCAGTAAAGCTGCAGTTGTCATAGGCCTGGTTAGTATTGGTATGAGATAGTCATGCACTATATCAATGTAGGTCTCAGTAAAGCTGCAGCTGTCATAGGCCTGGTTAGTATTGGTATGAGATAGTCATGCAGTACATCAATGTAGGACTCAGTAAAGCTGCAGTTGTCATAGGCCTGGTTAGTATTGGTATGAGATAGTCATGCAGTATATCAATGTAGGACTCAGTAAAGCCACAGCTGTCATAGGCCTGGTTAGTATTGGTATGAGATAGTCATGCAGTATATCAATGTAGGACTCAGTAAAGCCACAGCTGTCATAGGCCTGGTTAGTATTCGTATGTGATCGTCATGCAGTATATCGATGTAGGACTCAGGAAAGCCGCGGCTGTCAAAGGCCTGGTTAGTATTGGAATTCTGTATGAGGCTCTGTAATTTAAGGATTTATATCTCCTTGTGACAAGAGCAGTTCTACTAAGAAGCATAGAGAATGAGTTTTGTAAAGCTTGAAATGTGTACAATTTGAGGAGGAAAAATTGCAGTTAAAAAAAAAAGAAGTGGCAGAATTTGAATTGTTCAGAATTTTTAGGCGTTTACATAATATTTTGTTGTTGAATGATCAGGAATTAAGGAATGAATAATTTTAAAATAATCAACAGGATAGTTCTGGTATAGAAAAGCTGATGAAGTTGTTAGACGCAGGCCTGCGGAGCCCTCATCTTCCCAGTAGAACAGCAGCCATGCACGGAATCCTGTATCTTCTGGAGGCAGGCATGCAGGAAATCACCAAACCTCTGGTGCCCATGGCAACAGACTTCCTTCTCAGGAATTTAGGCAGCATAAGCCAGTATGCACTTTGAATTACAGTACTAGTCCATGTGTAAGCTTTGGCTTTGAAATGTGTCATGCAGGGGTAATGACCTCATTGAAAAAGTTTGAATACTTAAGTTTTTGCATGTGAAATTGACATGTAGCATCTAGGGCTAGGAATTTGCCACAGATTTCATATTGCGATATTTTTAACTGTATTGTGATATTTTACATGTTTCTTTTTTCAGAACATGTATAACAAGTCAGCAATACATTCTAACAATGTGGGCCACAGCTTTCTATATAATGGAAAACTATCATGTGGATCTTAAAGACTTGGAATTTCCTAGCAAAGTTCTACAGGTTTGGCATTCTTTTAAACCCAGTTTTTCTTATCCTGTGAGAAATAGTAATAAAATGTATGCATTACTGATATAACAAATTTTATAAATATGATCAAAATTCAATCTTTGGACGTTTTTTCTTATTGCTGTAAGGCCAAACAAAAAAATATCTTTGTTTACTGTTACATGCTGAAATAAAATAGGGTCGGTAGGTAGGAATTTTTTTTTATTTTATTGAATTTTTTTATACACAAATTCACATGAATTGGTTGAATTACAAAACAGTTTTACCATTGTATGGTGTGTTAATTTTGTTTGGCTTGAAATATGGGTGGTTTCTTGCCAACTGCTTTATAACTCAGGGGTGTACAATTAAAAAAATCAAGTACTAGCCCACAGGCTTGTAACAGCAATAAAGTTACTAGCCCGAAGTTAAAAGTGAGCAGCCCAAAAGAGGTAAAAAAAGACAAATATGTAAAAAGTTCATTGTTGAGAAAATCAGGGTCCTAAGCCATCCCTTTTAAAGTTAAAGTTTAAAAATTTTAAGGTATTATGATTATCTTTTCTTTTCTGAACATATTGTATATACTAGCAGTGTAGCTTATCTAAAATGAAGCAAAATCATTTTATTTTCATTTTAAACCATTAAATACAATTGATATATATTAAAGTTTAACCACATAACACTTAGCTATTAGTTGATTGGGGGACCGTAAATAATGGAAAGAGATATCTGCATGTATTTACCATTAACAGAGGAATGGAGGAAATTCGGATTAGGAAAAAAACGATCGTTTTTTAAGTAAATAAGTCGGGTAGTACTTCAAAATGGATAAGGTTAAACTAATCTAAGAACAGTTGGAGCATGCTGCCTGGAAAATTTTCATTAGTTGGAAATTAAATAGCAAAACAATGAGTGAAAATACCGTTTGTATTTCTCATGTATTATATGCATAATTTTAATTTTTACTACCCCAAATACGGTAGCACCGTGCATCAGGCGATGCTAGTTGCACATCCCTGCAACTGCCACGCAATGGTAAGCAAATTGCAACGAACTCGGTGGTGTAGAAATTGAACTAGCTTATTTTGTTTTTGTACTTTCATTTTCGATTTTAAAGATGAATGTAAAAGTTAAATTGACCGCGGCCAGTAACTTCCGGATTTTTACGACAAAAAAAAGTTTGGGTCGGCGATGAAAATTAGAGTCGGTCGGGTAACCGTAAACAAACATATTTTTTTGTTACGCCTAATTAAAAAAAAAGTTTAATGAAATATATTTTCACTAAAAGTGCAGATAGTTCTAATTAAGGAATTACAGTAAATTTCAACCTCTGACCCTTACTTACAGTTGGCTGTGTCCACAGCCTCGGGTAATGAGGAGAGTGTGTCCACCCCTGTGTATCTCGCCATCCTAAAGGGACTGGAAAGGTTACTCCTCACTGACGTCCTCTCCCAGCAGGACGCCGAGGCCATCGTCAAACTGGGGGTCGACAGGTAAGGGGGGTACAGTCATACTGGGGGTCAACAGGTAAGGGGGGTACAGTCAAACTGGGGGTCGACAGGTAAGGGGGGTACAGTCAAACTGGGGGGTCGACAGGTAAGGGGGGTACAGTCATACTGGGGGTCAACAGGTAGTGGGAGTACAGTAACTGGGGGGTCAACAGGTAAGGGGGTACAGTCAAACTGGGGGTCAACAGGTAAGGGGGGTACAGTCATACTGGGGGTCAACAGGTAAGGGGGTACAGTCAAACTGGGGGTCAACAGGTAAGGGGGGTATAGTCAAACTGGGGGGTCGACAGATAAGGGGGGTACAGTCAAACTGGGGGTCGACAGGTAAGGAGGGAACAGTCAAACTTGGGGTCAACTGGTAAGGGGGGTACAGTCAAACTTGGGGTCAACTGGTAAGGGGGGAACAGTCAAACTTGGGGTCAACTGGTAAGGAGGGAACAGTCAAACTTGGGGTCAACTGGTAAGGGGGGTACAGTCAAACTTGGGGTCAACTGGTAAGGGGGGTACAGTCAAACTTGGGGTCAACTGGTTAGGAGGGCATGTACGGGGGAGGGGGGTACAGTCAAACTGGGGGTTGATAGGTAAGGGAGGTACAAACAATCCTTAGTGTCTCAGATTCATTGAGGCCAATGAAAGAAAATGGAAGAATATCTGAGGATGAAAATTACTATATACAGGGTTATTTTCACCCCATTTTACTTTTGCTTTTTCACACCTTCATACAATTTTGTCCATTTTGAATTTGCCCATTGTGGGTTTTGTTTTAAAAATTTTACTGTTTTCTTTGAATTAACCTTTCTTAAATTCGCCCACTTTTGTATAGGGAGTGAAAATAAAACAGATGAAAATTTTCCTGTTTACAGTACTTGGAATAAAACTTATGATTAAACATATCCATGGTATTTTAGAAATACTTTATTTGATTGTAGAAATTGTTACATACTTGTATATATGGCTTTATCTGAACATTTGTAGGTTGTGTTTACCCAGCCCTCAGAGGTCCCTTGCAGCATTAGGACTGATGTTTACATGCATGTACTCAGGTAATTAACAGTTCAAAGAAGTTAGCATTCAAGACCTCACTTTACAATTGGCAACCGAGCCTGTAGCATGAAATATTACGTAAAAATGGAATCATAGTTGTAAATCAGAGGTTTTTCCAATGCTTGGAACTGTAGCTCTATGCCAGTTTCAATTTTGTCAACCAGAGTGCTACAGTTCCACAGGTGAATCGAACTTTAAACATAATCTAAGGAGTTGGAATGTCACTTAATTTAGTCCCAATCTCTACGTTCTTGCACAGAAAAAAAAATCTCTAAATGTAGATCTGATATTATTCAGGAAGTGCTATAAAGCTGTTTTTTATTTCCTAGGTAAGCAGTATGACCAGTATAGCCCACTCCCTAGGGATGCTCCAGCCTATGATTTCAACATTGTGTATCAGGACCCAGAGTCTCTCATCCTGGCCATGGAGAGAGTCACTGTACTGTTTGATAGGTCAGTAATACACAAAAATCTGCAGCTTTAAATGTATTTTGTTCAAAATCAAGATCTATTGATAATTGCTATAGAATATTTGTCCCGAAATTTTAATGATTTCTTTCCTAGTACAATTTATACATATTGCAGGATAAAGAAGGGCTACCCATACGAGGCCCGAGTCATCACCCGTGTACTTCCAACATTCCTGGCTGATTTCTTTCCTCCCCAGGACATCATGAATAAGATAATCGGGGAGTTTATTTCCAGTCAGCAGCCCTACCCCCAGCTGATAGCCATGGTTGTGTTTCAGGTATGAAAGTAATAAATCTCCTCAAAACAACTTCTAATTAGGCTATGAGCAGTTCATGTTCCATTATTTGTCATGAATTTTGAGTTGTTTTACATTGAATATGAAGCTTGTACTGCTTGCATTAATTTTGATTGATTTTACAGGTATTCAATAACCTCCACATTCAAAACCAGGAAGCTCTAGTTCAGAATTGGGTCATGTTGTCTCTCTCCAACTTCACCCAGCGAACTCCTGTATCCATGGCAACCTGGAGTCTGACGTGTTTCTTCATCAGTGCCTCCACCAATTCCTGGCTAAGGCCTCTGTATCCTTCAATTCAATTCTGCAGAATATTTATATTTATTTAATTCATAAAGCTTATACACTGTAGATGTGTATTATTTACCTACAAAATTTGTACACTTGTACATGGAGCTTACGTTGTCTACATACCCGGTAACTTGTTAATCGAGCTTTATCTACTCAGAATATTTTGCCCTGTGAAGTATTGTTTGTATTATAGCCACAAATCTATCTTTTCAAGTACAAAGTTTCCTCTCTGTCTAAAGTCAGGAGACTGGCACATGCAGTTTTTAAAAAATAAACTGAAAAAAATTAAAAGCATTTTCAATAGCGTATTCTTTAGATAAAAAAAAATGGATAGGGCTTGCAAGTTTTTCAAGAAGCTTCACATTTATTGCCTTTTCTTTTGAATTTGAATTATATAAACTTTAAGATTGTTTTTATTATTTAATGTAAATTGTGTTGATGTGTCTTACTTGAATCTACATATAGATCAGTCTGAAAATGTTCAGCTTTTGATTCCTATACGTATCTTCAGAATTATTCACGTTATCAACAGGATGGGTAGAATGGAAACGTTGGATCAGAACCTATTCTGTATGGCAGCCCTGGACTTTTACTGTATACTGAAGGACAAACAACAACAGTGGGCCTTCATTTCTACATTCCAGAATGTACTATCCTTAGGTCCCCCCTACACAGACTTGTTAGAGAGACTAGAAAAGGCCTACCCAGAGCATTTCCCTCAGAAGAAAACGAAGCCCCATCCTTTGTCGTGAATTCAGGGAAAAGATCTCAAGGTCATTCAGAAGAGTTTTAGAGGATGTTGACTGATCACGCATTGTGAATGCATTAATCATGAATATGGATCATATTTGATTAAGTCCACTAATATGTACCTCGAAAGAAAAATATTGTCTATATTCAGATTTTATGTCTGAAACACCCCGAAGTAACTAGTAAATCTAAGAATTTTTCAATTCATGATGCACCCTGCAGTATGTACATACACTGTACATGTTATTTAAGTGCTGCAGTTTTCTTTAATGTGCTAGTTGTAAATATCTATATTGCAATTTCACCTGCTTTATAGATATACATTGTGTAAGTGATGTCTTGATTTATCATTCAGTTGCTTTGATTTTTTAATAGCTTAAGCGTGTTAAAATTTATCATCACAAAACTCTGTTGTAGTTGGAATGAACATATCAGTTGTTTATTTTTTATTTTTTTGTCTTTTGGTAAGTCATAGTAGCCCTGGTTTATAGAATATGGTACTTACACCAATTATTTTATGAGTCAATGGTCATCTTCCTAATCTACAGTTTACATATTATGGTGACTAACAGCACATGAATTATTACGGTAAAATATACTTAGTAACTGTAATGCTCACCTCTAAATAACTTAAGACAATGTCACATGATCTTTGGTTCCTAGGTTCAGTCCATACCAATAAAACATCATACATTCAATCTGATGAAATCCTGTCATTTACAGAACTGTTTGCTTTCTGTGATGAACACAAGCATAATAAGTATTGCGTAGTCTCCTAGATTCCAAAAAGAGAATAGAAAGTAGAATACCTACATGTTCCATGACAAGTACATGTAGTGCATGCAGTAGGTAATCATCAAGACTCTGCAACTGATCAGAATTTTATCCACATAAATTGCCAAAACTGTGTTTGTGTTCTCTCATAGAGATCGTGAAAAAAAGAAGCATATTTTTCTGTTTTCTTGCTTTTTGACAACGGGAATTTGTTGTCTCTCTCTCTTCTCTTTGTCTTATAAAAATAATTTGAAATCAGATGTTTTTGTATAATAAATTACCTTTACAATCATTGGATAAAAGGAACTTGACTGTATAATGGGGAGGATCTAATAGAAGGAAGTTTAGGGGTATTTTGTTATTGTGTATATTTCCACACTTGCTTCAATTTCCCAAAATGAGGAACCATTATTCGTGATGTATGTATTTATTGATGGCTCTTTGGAGAGTAATTGTTTTTTTAAAATAATATATAACTAGGAGAATCTTTTTTTTCATTTAGATATACAAGTACTTGTATTTCAGTAATACTTAATGTGTGTGTTGTAGACATTTTTACTTTAGTCTGACAGTAAAAATTAAATGCACCAGGGACCATGAAAAATGGATTGAATATATGATGTACATCAAAGAGTAAAAATGTAAAACATTCCTTTTTAATTCATTAACTTCATTATTGAAGTAGAGGAATGTAATTAAAGCCATTTTCTCAGAGACACTTTTGGAGTTATTTAACTTGCCTTTATTAGAAATGCATGCCAACTGGAACATCACTTGGCCTTTTCTGTCAAGTATGAAAGGTTTTTTTTCCTCAACTTGACGGAAAAGGCTGAAATGATATTTGGATTTAAATAAATTCATGTACATTTGTACATGTATAAAGTGTTTGTAAAAATGTTAATTTCTGTGAAATTTAAGTTTTCAATTTTTTATCAAAATATCTTTATGCAATTGTATGTACTTATTTCTTATTGCACCCAGTACATGTAGTGCTAAATTAATTATGATTAATAGTTACTGTAAAGGTTTATGAAGAGTACATTGTACATTTGAAATACAAGGGGAAATACTTCTTCAAGTATATGTATTAAGTTTATGAAATAAAAGTAAGATGATCATGGCAGAAAATATTTTATATTGCCTTGAGATCACCAATGATGAAATTTTTGTTATGATTTGTGAAATTAAACTAGTTTTTCAAAGCTAGTTAGAAAGCAAACAAGATATAAATGCCTCTATCACTCTACATCATGCAATCACTGTATTATTCAGATTATATAAGGAGACCTTTAATTTAAATTATATGATATTTGTTGTTAAACATTGCTTTTTATATTTATTTCATGCAAGAAATAAATCTGTGAAAAAAAATCTTTGTTTTTCATAACTACATGTTATTCAGTTTCAATTACAAGGACCTTTTTTTCAGGGTGCATGAGTTACCCAGGTGACTCATTGTGATCTGTAAACTTTTGAACAGTCATTTACAGCTTCTTTTACCCTTGAAAACAAATTTTAACCATTTTTAGCCCTTCTGTCAGCCAAATTAAGGCTTAAAGAGCTAATGCTATGGCCATCTGTGTGCAGTGCATATACCTTTTGAAATGTGGGCTAAATCTCAATACCCCTTTTGTTAGATTTTTCAGAGAATCCTTGGTTCCAGGGCTTTCATTTGTACTAAACTGAGGATGTGACCCTTAAACAAGGGGAGATAATTTGGAAAATAAAAATAAAAGTCCTGTTTGCTAGAAAAATTACACATAAAGATATGTTGTAGATAAAAATCATCAAAAGGCATCACCCTGGGTCAAGGATATTTCAAAAAATGACCAAAAATTAATTTTGATAAAACTTTGATATTTTTCTTACTATAAGGATTAGGATCATCAAATATTGTCAGCTGATGATTCTTAGGGCCCCATATCTTTTCAAGTCAAAAAGTAGACCACAGTGACCTAATTTATAGATTTAGTAGTACCGGTATTCATTTTCAGTTTGGTTTTAATGCATTTCATGGAGATTTTGAGAAATGTGATCATCAAAAGTTGTCATGCAGTTTATTCATTCAATTATTTCAACTAAAAGTAGGTCATTAATGACCTACTTGTGAATTTAATGTCTAAGCACTTTCAAAACATTTATGGTCATTATTTCATGTATTGTGAAGTTCAAATCTTCAAAACTTGTTAGTTGATGGCTATATAATTAGAACATATTTATCAAAAACGAAGTCTCTGTAAAGACTGAAGCTCTACTGGTTTGTACCTATAGCAAAGGAAGAGAAAAATACTTAAGCAGTTGGGAATTGAAACATTATAACAGCAATAAATAGAATAATGATCCTTGATTAAGTCTTTCTATGTTCTTAATGTATTCTACTTGCATGCTACATTATATTATAATCAGACTAAAACCGTATTTGAGTGGTATTTTGAAAGTATTAAACAGAAATTTCTATTTTTAGTAACCAAAGGCAATGATGTTCATCGAAGTCTAAAACCGATACACAGAATTGTGTATCTTAGTGTAGTCTACTTGTGTGCCAACCTACATTGAAATCAGTCCAAAACTGTAGGAGACGTAGCATTTTAAAAGAATTTCACAGAAATTTCTATTTTTAGCAACCACGGCAACACTTCATCGAAATCAAAAACCGATACACAGAATTGTGTATCTTAGTGTAGTCTACTTGTGTGCCAAGTTATATTGAAATCAGTCCAAAACTGTAGGAGGAGTAGCATTTTGAAAGAATTTCACAGAAATGTTTATTTTTAGTAACCACGGCAACACTGTTCATAGAAATCAAAAACCGATAAACAGAATTATGTATCTTAATGTAGTCTACTTGTGTGCCAACTTATACTGAAATCAGTCCAAAACTGTAGGAGGAGTAGCATTCTGAAAGAATTTCACGGAAATTTCTATTCTTTAAGTAACCACGGCAACACCGTTTATCGAAATCATAAACCGATACACAGAATTATGTATCTTAGTGTAGTCTACTTGTGTGCCAAGCTATACTGAAATCAGTCCAAAACTGTAGGAGGAGTAGCATTTTGAAAGAATTTCACAGAAATTTCTATTTTTAGTAACCACGGCAACACCGTTCATCGAAATCAAAAACCGATAAACAGAATTATGTATCTTTGTGTAGTCTACTTGTGTGCCAAGTTATATTGAAATTAGACCAAAACTGTAGGAGGAGTAGCATTTTGAAAGAATTTCACAGAAATTTCTATTTTTAGTAACCACTGCAACACTGTTCATCGAAATCAAAAACTGATACACAGAATTATGTATCTTAGTGTAGTCTACTTGTGTGCCAAGTTATACTAAAATTAGACCAAAACTGTAGGAGGAGTAGCATTTTGAAAAATTGTTTACAGACAGACGGACAGACTGACGGACGCCGGACGCATTACTATCGCATAAGCTCTCCTGGTCTCTGACCAGTAGAGCTAAAAAGGTCACAGTGACCACCTTTTGGATGCTGCTAACATTCATTTTCAATTTGATTTGGAGGCATATTTAAGACTCTTTAAAGCTAATGATCATCAAATATTGTCAAATGATGCATCCTAAGACTTCAAAGTATTTCAAACAAAAAAGTTGACCAACTTTTGAAATTTTAAGGCTTTATATTCAAGTATTAAGAGCCATTCTCTGTAATGATTTGAAATTTTATATAGGAGCTGTGGCACGCATAGTCTCAGAATTTCTCCAAACTCTCTATGATAAAAGTCATTGATACCCTAAACTGAAATCAGGCAAAAATTGGTTGCTATGTTTTATAGTTACCATGGCAACATGTCTTAAAGTTCGAAAAATGGCATTTTTTAACATATTTAGAGCCCCATAGTTAACATTTGCGGCAAAGCAAACAATTGTCAATGACTGTTTCCAAAAGTTGAAGGTCAGATGTCTCAAATGCATGATAAACATGTTTGGTAAATCAACTATTACATACATTACTATGGTAACAAAGTATTCAAAAGTAAAAAAAAATATTCATTGAATTTTATTAAGTCATACACGTAAAAATAAAAAGCAATTATAGGATGAAATGTGACCAAATAATAGAAAAAAGAGCCTTGAAACACATACCAAGAAAAAATATGATATTTCATTTTGGTTGGTAATGGTTGCCAAGGTTTTTATACCACAGAGAGCCTTCAAAGTAACACTATGTATGTTTAAATCTGATCCTATCTTTTAAAAAAAGCACATTTCCTCATAACTAATGATCAATTTTATAAGATGTTGGTGTGCTTCAAATGTTCCCATTTGAAAAAATTCAGATTAGATTCTTTAAATAGAGCGTTGCTATGGAAATAAGCAGAAAATATATGCTTAAAAACCTGAAAAATATTTTGTTTCCTTGGATACGTACCCTTTAATGTAGATTCCCAAAACTTTTATGATTGATATTTATTAACAGCTAACTTGACTTTTAATTTTGACTATCATCCAATCTCTAAGTGGATGCAAGAAGTTGGCACACAAGGTTTAATATTGATATAAAGTTCACAAAATCGAACATTTTCCCTTCTTGGTAACTATAGCAACAGTGTTGTTTTATTCATCAAATTTTATCAATATATGATAAATAACTTCAGTTCTCATAGATAAGTACTATTCAAGCTGAGTCCTTTAATTTGTTTCTTGATTAAATGGCAATTTAATTCTTAATGCAGCGGAAAATAATTCACTTTTAAGCACTGGTACTTTGTTTCCATGGTAACACAACAAAGTAGCAATTATACCCACTTTTTCTTATGGTTTTGGTGTTGCAAGGTCCTAAGGATGCATATTTGCCAGTCTTGAATTTTCATGTTTTTCCTCAAGACAGTAGCATTAACCCAATCTTAGTTACTGGTTTTTCATGGTTACACTGTGTTACCATGGCAACCATTAAAGTTATTTATAGAATAATATTGCTTATACTTATATACTTAAGGTCAAACATTTTCATTGTTATTCTTAAGTAGTTGATTGAGTTTGAGCATATAACACCTACCATTAGTGAATACTGAGCGTTTTTCAGCATATTTCAGCATTTTAAATGTATTCCAAATGTACCCTTGGTTACCACTTACTTAGAGATATATTCTAAACAGTTACTTTACAGTATAAGTGACATCAAGGTGTCAAGTTTTTGTGAGAATGGTTTGTTTGCTTTTTCTAGTTTTTATTAAGCCACAGTCAAGATTTAAAGTGGCTGAAAATCTCGATTTTTCAAACTTTTCCGGCTGTTGCCATAGCAACCGAGACACGTAGCAACGAAATTTTGTTCGATATTTGTTTCTGGTGTCAGGTACTAAGCATGGGTGAAGTTTCATCAAAATCTGTGACCATGCGTGGCAACGAAGTTTAAGTGGTTACAGAGAATGGCTATTAATTTTTATAGTCCAATCAACACTTTACAAAAGTTGTATCCCTTTGCGGGGTCAACTAAAAGTTCAAAAGGGAAAGAAACAACATTTCTCCTCTTCATGCTACCAAACATTTGGATGGACTCTGATGAATCCAATGTTTTTAATTTGTCCTCTTTCAATGAGTAGGTAGCCCCACCTTGGGGAAATTAGTATACACTATGCAAATTTTTTTTTCAGTCAAATGATAAAGCTACAAACCTGAAAACTACAAAGCCAACTGTGAGGATTCTATGGGTTTTTTCCAAAAGATGGCGTCCAAGGGACATAACTTTTGAAAAGTGTAGATTCAACTATACTAATTGCCACAGAATCTGCAAACTTTGTCAGTTAATGTATCTTTGTTCTTCAGTGTATGTCAACTGAAATGTAGGTCACTATGACCTACTTTTGAAATTTTATGTCTAAATTTCAGTATATCAAATACTAATTGGCTTAGAATTAACAAATTTTCTCAGTTGATGCACCTTGGGTCCGCAGATAATGTCATATGAAAAGTAGGTAATCATGACATACTTTTGAAAATGTTGGTCTATACTTCAATATATCAGATAGACTACTTATTGCCAATATGGTATCATCAAACTTTGAGCTTATGTATCTTGGAACTTTGAGTGTGTCAACTGAAAAGTTGGTCACTTCGACCTATTTTAAAAAATTTATTGCTTTTCTGAAATGTTTCAGATACTTATTGGTTTAGAATCATCAAACCGTGTCAGCTAATGCATCTTCAGTCATTTGAGTGTGTCAACTGAAAAATAGGTCATATTTATCTACCTCTGAATTTTTATGCCAGTGTTTTTAAATATTTCAAATACTAATTGGCTTAGAAACATCAAACCTTTCTGGTTGGTGTATTTTGGGGTCTCAGAGATTTACCAAGAAGTTAAAGTTACAGTGACCTATTTTTGGAATTTCCTGGCTATATCTAAATAATCAAAACAAAAAGGAGTTTTGAATCAGAATAACTTTGTCTATTGATGCATATTGAGATCTCAGAATATGTGAAGCAAATGATAGGTCACAGTGTCCTACTTTTGGCAAGGTTTTATATATTATACTAGGAGTAGGAGGCTTCAAATAGAAGTGATAAGTTATACAATTTATCAGAAGAGAGATTCAAGCCCTTTGGGTCTCTTGTAATAATATTTGTTGGAATTAAAACATCTTTTATCTATTTTGGGAACCAGATTACACTTGTTGATAATCTACTATCATTGCTTATGGTGCAATACTCTCAGAATGCTTGTTAAGAATTTCTCTTACATCTGATGCCACTGACAATCTTTGACAGGTTCAAAGGAAGCATATTAAGCTTGTGAAGCTCATCTTAACAGAAAAACAAGAAGCCCATGGGCCACATCGCTCACCTGAGCACTAAGGGTAGGAAAAAGTAGAAAATGGCTTTTTATTGTAAAGTTTAAATCCAAAAGTAGTCCCATGACCAATCATGGATTTGCTATTTTTTAGAAAATGATTTTTTAAGAATTTTCCTATATATATCTTTGAAAACTTTGGTCGGCCATTTTTTGGCCCCGCCCTACCCCTGGGGGTCATGATTTGAACAAATTTGAATCTACACTACTTGAGCATGCTTCCATATAAATATTATGAATTATGCATGGCTTTGTCATTCTTGAGAAGATGTTTAAAGAATTTTCCTATATATTTCTATGTAAAACTTTGGTCGGCCATTTTGGCCCCGCCCTACCCCTGGGGGTCATGATTTGAACAAACTTGAAACTACACTACCTGAGCATGCTTCCATATATATATGATGAATTATGGCTTTGTCATTTTTGAGAAGAAGATTTTTGAAGAATTTTCCTATATTTTTCTATGTAAAACTTTGGTCGGCCATTTTGGCCCCGCCCTACCCCCGGGGGTCATGATTTGAACAAAATCTACTACCTGAACATGCTCTCTCTCTCTCTATATATATATATAATGAATTATGGCTTTGTCATGCTTGAGAAGAAGATGTTTAAAGAATTTTCCCATATATTTCTATGTAAAACTTTGGTCGGCCATTTTGGCCCCGCCCTACCCCCAGGGGTCATGATTTAAACACACTTGAATCTACACTACCTGAGCATGCTTCCTTATAAATATGATGAATTATGGCTTTGTCATTCTTGAGAAGATTTTTAAAGAATTTTCCTATATATTTCTATGTAAAACTTTGGTCGGCCATTTTGGCCCCACCCTACCCCCGGGGGTCATGATTTGAACAAACTTGAATCTACACTACCTGAGGATGTTTCTCCATAAGTTTCATCTTTCCTGGCACAGTGGTTCTTGAGAAGAAGATTTTTAAAATATGCCACCAAATTTTCATTAATTCCCAATTATCTCCCCTTGAATGAGGGCGTGGCCCTTCATTTGAACAAACTTGAATCCCCTTCATCCAATGCCGTAAATCTGGAAATTTTTACGTCGATTTTATTTTGCGATTCTGGGTCAAAATGCTGTTGATTAATTTTTACGTTTCAAAACTTTGCGAATGACCACTACTTTGCTTACATTTTCTTATTGTTGAATTATTTTTAAGAAAAATATTTTTGCGAATGCAATGAACTCGCAAATTTGCTAAAAATTTATCTACAGCAAAAATTTCCAGATTTACGGTGATACTTTGTGGCAAGTTTGGTTGAAATTGGCCCAGCAGTTCTTGAGAAGAAGTCGAAAATGTGAAAAGTTTACAGACAGACAGACGGACGCCGGACAAAATGTGATCAGAAAAGCTCACTTGAGCTAAAAAGAACATTTATGATGGGACGTGGAATGAAACCCATGCAGGGGCCTGGGGCCCGTTTTACAAATGGACTTATGACTTAAGACCAAATTTAATTCTTCATATAACTTTTTAATTAACATTTTATTGAAAATTATTTTAATCTTTTTAAAAGGAATGTGGTAAAGATATTTTTACCCAAACAATTTCAAAGCGTATTATTAATTTTTCAAAATTTTACAATCATCTGAAGTTTTTGGTCTTGTCGTAAGTTCTTTTGTAAAACAGGTCTCTGTTTTGCAAAAGAACTTAGGACCAAGACCAAAATTTAATTCTGTGTTTAAATTTCTCATTTACAATATATTGAAAACAATTTTAATCTTTTTAAAAGGAATGTTGCAAGATATTTTGACTCTTATATGACTAGCAATTTTATTCAGAATCATTAATTTTACAAAATTTTACAATCAACTTAAAAGTCTTTGGTCTTATTTGTGAGTTAATTCTTTTGTAAAACAGACCCCTGCATTACTAGTCAGAAGCTCCAACCACTGAGCTACTGAGCTGATACTGCAAGGTCAATATAGCCCAAACCACTGAATTCACAAGAAAACTTTTTGTGGAGGAATAATAAGAACACAGTGACTTTTTGTTTTATTTTGTTTAATTTATCAATAACAACTTTCTACTGATTGTTTCAGAAACCATACAGAACACCTACATGTACATATACCATCTGCTAAACAGCCTAAGTCTACATTAAATCAACTGGAAGCTGTAAACAGATTTCAGTCACAACTAGAACACAGACATGTGTCCTTGAGAATCATGCATGTGGGTAATGGAACCACAGCAAAATAAACATGGCAAAAAACATATAGTCATGTATCATATAACACATTTTGCCGATTGAAAAATAAATTTTACAGTGAGAATCCACATCACGAATTTTAAGATGACATATTTGGTATACAAACGTGTATAATCTTATGTACATATTGGTGGTCTAGTGATTCGAGTATATTCGATTTTTTGGATCTATATTGCAGCATAGAAAATGGATATGAAAAATCTGCATTAAAAAATAAGCATTGCATAAAGCCCAAATTATTGTCACTTTGGTATCGAATACCACTATTTCCTGAATAAAAGAACATGTACTTGTGTGTCTTAGATAATCATTACAAGTCTATAAACGTGCATAAATGACATTTTTTAAGTAATATCAATACAATATTGAACTTTTAAATATTTGAATTATCTACATATTAATACATACAGTTCATTTTTAATAAACTTAAGATAACACCCTTGAAGTAACAGAAAAAGACAAATAACAGAAAAAAAAGTCAAAAATAACAAGGTAGTATTATGCTCCAGAAAAAAACATATAAATAAACACTAACCCAAAACAAATTAAAGGAAAAAATGAAAACAAAATTACTGTCATAGAATTATCATCCTGAGATTAAAAAAAAAAGCTCAGTTTCTTTATCTCCAGCATCAATTTCTAAGCTGAACCTTGATGAATACTCAGTATGTCAAATTGAGCTCAAAGACTTTTAAAAATTACTAGGCCACATCTATAAAATAATGTTTGCTTGCCCTCTCCTGACTCAGGGTAAAATAATTGGGTCTGTAGTTAGGTGAAAAAAATCTCTTTTCAGAATATTTAAAGAAATTTGTTGACTGGATAAGAGAAATCAAAGAAAAAATATTGTGTCATGGAATGTAAAGAAAGGTTTTGAGTTGGGCCATTTTTAGTCAGTCGGTCATGAGAAGGCAACCAAACAATTTTTAAAAGATGACCCTACTCTTCATGTACTTTATCCTCAATATATGTCAGTTTTTTCTTGGTCCCATCGAATTTGAGATAAAAGATTTGACAATGTATAATTGTTTTCAAAGCAATAACTGACATTGTGTTTTTAAGACTGTTTTGGAGCACAGGAGTTTATACTAAAAAGATAAATGGTAGATATGAAGATTTGAAAATTACAGAGAGCTACTGGTGCAAACTATTGTATTCTAGAAAAGCCCAAAAGTTTTGTAACCAAAATAAATTGTAAACTGTAAAAGGAACAAAACAAGAAATGATCGATTAATCAATGAGGTAATACAAAACAGAACCGTACAGAGGAATGTAAACAATAATATCACATACAAAAAATTAATTTAATACTAACAAATAAACTTACAATGTCAAATATTTATCTGCAAAAGTTTAATATTATATATTTCCTATAGATTTTAGAGTGGATTTGCAAATTAGGATCTTTCGTTTTCAACATAAAAAATCAAATGTTGAAAACATTTGAGAAGAAATGAACAAAAAAATTAGAATTAACAAGTAATAATATCACTTAATATGCTCATCCGGTGTGACAATATACTTTAATACAGCTATATACACTTGCCATTATTATTCAGTGCGAATAACAAACACCTCCGAATTAGAATTTTTCTGTGAATACTGCTTACAACAGGGGAACATTAACGTTTCAAAATAAAAACTTTTATTTTCATTGTGCGCAGCTAACATCTATTTTAACAACAGTGACAGTCTATATTGCATACTAAAGTAACATTACACAGTAAACACGATATGAACTGCTCTTCTACAGCAGTGTGCATATTTTAACTTTCACAAATTCTCTGCTGCCATATTGTGTAATTTTCCCAATATGGAGTACTATGTCACACACAACTGGAAGAATCTGCACATGAAAATAAGCATAACTGGGTTAGAAATTTCATAAAATAATGCTGAAATGTTACGTTAAAAAAATTTTGTTACAAACTAGTCAGATCATTCCAGAAAAGTTGACAAACAGTCATGCAGTAGGTAAAATAAGGATTTAAGTTCCTAGCTAGTTGTCGATAAGCACAGTAATGATTTTTTTTTTAAAAATTTAATTGTTACCTACATTTATACATACATGTAGATTTTTTGAAACTATGTCTTAACTGTCTCAAGTTCTTGCAAACTCATAAATATAACACACCAGTATATACTCAATCATCTAGAAATTCCATGGCAGAACAACAAAGGAGGAAATAAAGAGAAACAAAACAAAGGATAAAGGAAAGCAAAATCTTAAAAGGAATGTGAACACAAAACCAGCTAGTACATCAGAAAACCAGTACAGGAATTCCTACCTATTTTAAACTAACATCCATGCAAGGAAAAAGAAAACAAGTGAGCAAAGGACTATAGGGAAAATAAATTATGAAATAAGTGCTGAAAGGAAACACAACATGAGTGGCATCAGATATGTATCAAGTGCGTGATACTGACTACAAATGACAGGCCAATCAGATCATCCAGATACTGTCACATGACTTACATGAACCAATCCACAGTTTATAATTACTGTAGAGAACACTTTTCAGTCACTTCACCAACACTTTGAGCCAGTTTTTGTGGAATGTCCTGCACTTTGTTTTTCAGTTCATCCATATTTTTTGGCACTGAAAGCAAAATTATTATATCTGATTTCTCCAGAAATAAATACCAGTGAGATTTCTACTAAATTATTCTGAAACAGCATTTAAATTACAAGTATAGATAGGTCATTTCAGATTTGTGTGAAAAAAAATCACATATTAGAAATTTGAATTTGATTTTGATTAGATGTCTCAACGAGACAATAACTTGCATCTAATGTTGCTAGAAACTTAAAATCAACAAAGATTTAAATGAATTAAAACTATTCAAAAAATGAAAATGCATAAAACAAACCAAAACAAACATAAAAGCAAAGAAAGTATGGATTAATGGGTGTTATCCAAAATTCAGATGCTAAAAAATGAAGGCAGCTTTTTTTCTTCTATATTTTAAAAATCAAAATGAAAACTGTGCCAATCAGAAGCTTCCCCTTGACATGAATTTCCAATATTTTCTACTTGACCATTTTGTGAATTGATTAACTTTATAAAATGCTGAATATCAGGAATATATGCAATATTGAATTTTCTCATTTTGAGATCATCATTTGAATCCATTGAAAAAGCTATAATAGTTAAATTAAACTTCAAGGCATTCATATCACAAAATTATGCTCACTAAATACTTATGAAACACTTACACACTTAAACATACATGAGGAATATACATAAATGTTTTTTAAAAATATTTTTGCAGAAATTACCTTCTTTGTGTGAAGCGATAAAATTGACAGCAGTGTACATACTAACTATAAGTATTTGATCTAAATCACAGTTAAGTTAAAACACATGTACATCAATGCAAAAATGTTTGAATTCTCATTTCAGCAGATTGCACATAATAATGCTGTAACACTATACAGAATATTTTTTGGGTAAAAATGAACAAAATCATCATGTCAAGATAATGTGGTAACTATAACTAAATGAATCATCCATTTTAATTAAATGATGTGTACTAAAGCACTATGTCAACATTCAGCTATAATGCATAGATGATGTAGAATTTTAGCACTCTGCTAAGTGAAAAGAAAATGTGAAATCTTATGTTTGCAAGTGGTCAAATGAACATGTTAGATTAGATATTGTACTCTTCTACAAACATACTGAAATAAAATATCAGTAAAATTTATGAGGGACTAAATAAAACAAGTTAAAGTACATAATGCCAACTATATGTACATAACGAGGAAAAAAATCAAGTCATTCCCCTTTACATTGATTGTCTAAAAAAAATTAACAAGAACGCACAAAGTAAACTATAATATCTGAAACATCTGAGCAATAACAAAATACACATATTTTACACAGTCTCCACTCATATCAGGGAAAAAGTCAATTAATTAAGCACTATAAAAATATACATATCTTATTCTTTAAAGTGCGTGTGCACTAGAAGAAGTTCAGACAACAACAGATGGAGGAAAATTTACTTGTGAACTCTTCATCCTCAGAGTCTGCCGCGGCCTCCGCCGCTAACTCCGCGGGGGTCTTCTTCTTCCTCCCGACCCTCCCTCCCGTGTCGTCATTACCCATCATCCCCTCCTCCTCAGGGACCTTCTTCTTTAATCCGTACTGAAATTATAGGAATAAAACGTGTACATGTAATACAATGTAATCAATACTAAAATAAGGAATAAAACCTCTGACACTTTCAGAAGTATAATCAAATATAGAAAAATTCTAAAATTGATGAAAAACAATGGTTTATGAGGGTTGGAAATTAAATTTTCTATGTTACCTCAACTACAAGCTGTATTTACTTATTATACTGAATGTTTTACACAAATACATGTAAGTTAAATAGTGAACCCTAGGAGCATAAATTCTGCACAGTCAATATTTTTTGGAATATCACTCTCATCAAGCAATGTTGACTGCTGCTATGCTGGAGGATATGAAAATATAATATATCTATGTACTTGATTGAAACATAAACTTGAATTGACAGTCAACTTATGATTCCACACACTGACAAAGGTCAACCATATTTACTCTATATGTGATGAGCCCAAATAAAACGGGATATTGAAGAACGGCTGAAACAAAGTTTAAAAAACTAACAATCAGCAAGAAAACCAAATGTCAGACATGGGCAAGTGAAACCATTACAATGTCTCTATCACTACAGTCCAGACAAAAGAGCTCTCTGCCAAACCCACTCTTATTACAGAGAAACCTTATAAAGTCTTGGCCTTAAGACCAAATCAATCCCAGCCTTAATATTGTTAAGTGTTACTTCTTTGGAAAAATCCATTCCTATACTGACAGATCCTTGAGATATATAGAAGACAATCAAATGCAGAGTCAGTCACAGTTCACAACCAATCTGCAGTGAATACTGAGATTATGAATGAACTTTGATATATGAAGGTCACTCATTGTTTCACATTTCTTATTGCATGTAGCTTCCTTAATTTTGTATTCTAAACAAAGAATATGACATTTTGAATATATTCATTTAGAATTTGTCATGACATTTTCAAAATTATTCATATGCTGTACAAATACCATAGTTTATCATTTCTTATGGCATATTCATTTTTATTCATGCATCCACATATCTTACTAAACTTCTCATACATGCTTCATTTTAATAACCATTTGGCTATAAAGTGTCTTCCCTGTTTCCAGTTGTAGTATGAAATTTTTTTATTTTTGTTAAAATGATATCCCTAAATTCATTCCTTTTAGCATAGATCATACTGATTGGATGAACTGAAAATGACTGCCAAATTAGAGAAAAGTCTTCACAAAGTCAGTACACTTTTTTGTCATGCAGACTTTCTAAACCAGTGCTGTTTATTTCAATATTTTTAAAAAGTATGTCTCGTATAAGTATATAACCTTTTGTTGATGACAGTTGATTATTTTAGATTTTTGCAGTTGTGACAATGCATTTGAATCAATTTTACCCTAATAGACCATGAAGAACAAATGTCATAATTTCAACAAAAATCAAAGAACAGATTGAAATGCAAATTTCATCTATAGAAAACTCATCAAGGTAAATTATAGTCACATGCCAAAATTCAGCTTAATAACTGCAAGCATTTAGGAAAAAAATTTCAGAAAAATAAAAAAAAAAATTGAAAAGGCCGTAATTACTGTCGCGAGAAATTAACAGTGTGCTCGCAAAAAAATCACTTGAGAATATATAGAGCAATGACCACAAGTGAAACAAGAGTCGATGACTATGCGAAAATAACTTAATCAAAAATCACAAAAGTGAGACTCAATGCAAACTTAATCTGTAACTCATCAAGATCCATTCACATACCAAAAATCAGCTTTAAAATATCTGCAAGCATTTAGAAAAAAATGCAGAAAACCATTTGATGAGACCTATGAATTGATACAAAACAATCAGTCAATATCAAAACAACATCACGGGCATAAACTAATTAACTGTAGACAGTAGTTGATATAAATATTACAGCGATCTTCAAATGTAACAGGGAGAAATCATATCACTGTCCTGCCCAATCCTGGCAGCGGTTTTCATTCCTTAATTCAAATCAGTATTGATTAAAGACCCCATGGGAACTAATAATAGCTGTTACTGCCTATTATTGCAGAAAAGTCTCAATGCAAGTCTCTATTAATATTTTATTTTATTGCATAAGTTTATGCCCACACACAAAAGTGGATACAATAAACAGAGAAAAACTGTATATCAAGTGAGAAAAGGGTAAAATTTAACCATTTATATATATAATTTTTAAACATGAAGTTGATATTAAAAGGATGCTGGAGTTTCTGATTAACAATATCTATGTGGTTTTTGGAGACTAAATCTTCCAACAATCTATTGGAATTCCCATGGGTACCTATTGTGCCCCATTATTAGCAGACCTATTTTTGAATTCATATCAAGAATTTGCTAAATCTTTAATATGAAAAAAGAAAACACTTGCTGTTGCCTTTAACTTGACATTTCAATAAATTGACAGGGTATTATCAATAAACATGCTTATTTCTACTTATACGTCAATGTGATATATATTCAGGTGAGCTTGAAATAAAAGATACCACAGAGTCTGACATATCTGTTTCATATTTGGATATTTTAGAAAAAGACCTTAATGGTAATTTAACAACAAAGCTTTATGATTAACATGATTGCGTAGGGTTGGATACAGGTACTTGGTACCAGTATTGAGTAGTTATGCATGTAAAGTATATCACTTGTTTTACATGTAATCCATTATTAATGTCAAACACACAGTATCTCCCTTTTGAAGAGGGTGTGTCCCTTCATTTCAACAAACTTGAATCCCCTTTACCCAGGAATACTTTGTGCCAAGTTTAGTTTGAAATGGCCAAGTGGTTCTGGAGAAGATGAAAATGTGAAAATTAATTTAACATCAGAATGATGACAACAATGATAGATAATAGACAAATTTGGATCTGAAAAGCTCACTTGAATATCTGTTTTGCAAATATTTCTCACATTGTGAATCATTTATCTAAATGAGTTTTTATGTAGAATGACTCTTAATTGCGCCATGTGAAAATTGTGGCAAATGGATTTCAAACTGACAAATTGCAAATAAAAGTTTCTGCTATATAATACTAATTGCTTTACAGTAAGCCTTTTCTTTAGTGTTAGCAAATTGATTCTGTCTTTTCCCATTATTGATTTTATGTCCTTGAGAACATCAAAGTGGACAAGAAATATGTCAACACTGCAGCCAATCAGTCTATCCCCCAAATAATCATTTCTCTAAATCAGCAAATCTTGAGAAAAAGCATTCCATTTACGCAACACGTAATTTGTCATATTTGGAATGTAACTATGACAAAAGATTAGACTGAACTTGATGCAGGCAAAAGACCTTTTCATCACTTATCTCTATTCCGACTCAAACCACAGATCCAGCAAAAGGCAATTAATCTTTCAAAAGCAAAGACAAATAACCATGTTTTCCAGGGTTATATTAGTACAGAAAAAAAGAGAGATTTTCAAGCAAAGTAGTTGAATCTGATAAAAAGCACTATAACCCTCTCACTCTGAATGATAAATCCACTCTGTGTAGTGTGTTAGAAAATGCAACAATCAACATTGCTTGATGATGAGTCTTATTAAAAAAAATTCCCTCTGCACAGTATATTTTTGCATGCATGGTTCACTGTTATGTAAGATCAAATTACTTAACAAAATTGAAAGGCCATTTATTGATATAACCATCTAAAATTTTTAGTGTCTGCAACTATGTCTTAAAACATATTTTATCGATTTCAACATTGACTTTTTAAACTTTCCCTCCTAAAAGATTAACTTTTTTGCAACTTAAAAGAGTCTTTGTAAACAGTACATATATGTAATACTCATGAAATACAAGCCCATTTTTGTTTCCCCTGCTACTTTTTGTGAGCTAGGAATGGCAGATTGAATCCATTAATTCTATACTGGAGAAAGATTTTATGAATTCTTGTTATATTGGACTATGGTTCTGGAGATGAAAGTTTCTCATTATACTTAGGACCAGGGATAATTTTTTTTATCAAGAAATGAAGCAGCCTGGAATCAATAGATTTAACAGCCATGGCACTGATGTAATTAATGATTTTCAGCAGGAAAACCATGTTTAATTAAAGTATTTTTTTAATGTGAACCAAATTATATTAATTTCATAATGTGGATGAAAAAAAACCCAGAATTGGGTATTATGTAATGTATAAAACAAACTGCCTGAAATGATATAAATCACATATCCCACTGCCTACTTCCCTACAACACCTCTAAGATTCTCGTGACTATCAAAGCATAGAGATAACTTAGGATAGTTCCACTGATCGGTATGAATCACACAGCTCCCCATGGTAGTTAGCGAGGGTACAGACCAGAAATGTGAACTACACTAATGACAACTACACAATATAATGATTTTCCTCTCTACTGGATCAAAACAAAGGAACAATATCATAGTAACTGATATGAAAATGTCATTACAGACTATTGTGGAGTAGTTATAAGAGGAAGCAGTAGGATCTATAAAATATGCCTCACGTAAATTGTTTGAGTCAATTACTGTGGTAGTAAAGAATGGATTGCTGCCATTTCCTTTTTGTGACAAATAATTACCTCTTCATGTTTAAAGTTGGAAATGAAATGTTATCCTCCAGCAAATGATATGTCTCAAAACTTGATCAGACAAATAACGGTACCTTGTTGTGACCACAATCAAATCTGGCTCTGCGGGGCCATAAAACCTGAGATCAGCTCACTTTTGATCTAAGTCTCACTTTTCCACTATTAATTCCTACTGAAAAAGTGAGACTGAGATCAAAAGTGAGCTTGTCTCAGTTTTATGGCCCCCAGGCCTGGTGTAGTTTTTCTACCTGTCACCCCACACCAGTCCTGCTAACAGTCCCGATACCTTATCTCTGATGGACTGTCGAAGCTCCTCCCTTTCGGCCTCGGCTTTTTCGTGTTTCTCTTTCCGCTTCCTCTCGGCCTCTCTCCTCATCTCCTCCACCTCCGGATCCTCCCCTCCACCGCCTCCTCCATCTTCCTTACTGTCTCCTCCCTCATCCTTTTCTCCTCCTCCTATGGCTCCTACAATTTTATCATAAAAAAATTATTTCTCAATGAAATTATTTTAGATAATTAAGAACAAACTATGAAATGAAAGAAACCATTTTGTTTTATGTCAATATGATAAAAGAAATTACTTTATATAAAAAAAAAATTAGATTGGACCAAACTTCCAACACAGAAACCACTTTAGTTTTACATGTACATTCAGAAAAAGAGACTTTAGGTTGGTATTAATTTTTTTTTTTTGTGGTTATTCTGATGCAAATTGATTTTGCACTTTGTCCTTGCCCTTGGATATGGTGTCTAACAATAAATAATAATTAATTACTACATCATGTAATTTTTTCACATATTGATCATTATAAATTACAATTGCAGCTTCATTTAACAACCAATATCAAAACCATCAGCAGACCTTTCATATTTGACCATAAAATCATTACATAAGACCAGACACTGAGCCTAAAAATAAGCTATTCTCAAATTTATACCTTAAATTAATTCTATTTCACCATATGAGTAGGAGGTTGCCATACATTGATCAGCATTAACTTTGAGAAACACTTAAACTGTACTTGTCAGTGTTTTCCCTTTATTTCAGAGTAAAGGGCTAGAGATCATTTGTAACAGGCAAGGGGCTGAAGTTTATGAACAAAATTTCTGTGGACCTAACAACAAATTTTTATTTCAAAGGGGCATTTTGTCAATTGAAGCGGTCAATTTGGCCGGTAGTAAGTTCATAGGGAAAACACTGCTTGTGCTATCGATAGAATTCCTAACAGAAAACAGAAAATTTATGTAAAGGAACTAGCTTCTAATTTTAGATAGCCATGTACATGTACTTAGTTAGAAAATAAAAATCCATTTTTGTCAGAAAGGATGAAATGTTAACGTTCTTTGGCTTCTTACATCAAATTGATTTAAAACATGGATCTTAATTGACTATACATGTATTATTATAGTTGTTGAAATATTAATTGAATACACATATTAAACACCAGTTTGTTAAAGATTAAAATAAATTTGTTAAATGCATAAAGTGAGAGAATTATAGACTGATTCAAGTGTTAAATTAGTAAAGTAATTATAGACTGATTCAAGTGTTAAATTAGTAAAGTAATCACTAATTTGATATCATTTGCAATCAATTCATTAGTGGCTGGTGATATGGGGCATACATGCATATGTACACTGTGATCGATTCAGGTACCAAACACTGAGCACTCTCATAACAAAATACAAGTGTCTCTCAGACTAAAAAAATCCATAATAGAACAGGCACAATATAATACCATAATTGCCTAAACATGTCATATATATATATATATGATTTTGCCACATACATTTCTCTAAAATCACTTTCAAATTATGTTTGCTGCCTTTGACCTTGATCATCTGATCTTCTAGTTATTTTTTGACCTCCAATGGCCTTGTGCCATCTCTCAAAGAGGTACGTATCCCAATTTAAGTTTAAATGGCATATATTTACTAAGTCTTTGGTATATATCATTGCATTTGCTGTTTGTGAATTTCTAATGGAGCAAATTTTTTTTTAAATCTTAATAGCTAGAGCATCAAGCATCTCTGAAAAAAAAATATTGAGTGAGTAGAATTTCAGAACAGTCCTCTAAAAAGATCAGTAATATTGGTAAGCAAATACCTAGGCAAACAGGGACATCTTGAATTGCCAGTGTCAGACAGAAGGATGTTAGAAAAGGTGATCAACTGGTTATAAGCTATTATATTGCATGGAATACCTCTGCTACTTTCCATTTCTTCTTATAAAACAATGTTAATATCAAATTCAGACATTTTAGAGTTAATGATGATTAGTATTATTGGATTTCATTGCTATAAACACATCTCTAGCAGTTATTATAAGCTAGGTTTTGTACAAGCTTGATTATATATATTATATGCAACCTAGCTTTCACAGTTCTTGCACTTACCAGAAATTTTATCTGTAAATTATTTCATTTCAAATCATAGATCAAATATGCAAGTCATATATTGAGTTGCATGTATTATATATCAACATTTACATTTGTAATTTTCTAAATGAAATTCATGGATTCATACAAATGAATCCCACAAATATGAGCATGCTTAAACAAAGAGTGTGCAAAACTTTCAAGCATCTGCAATGAGCAGTTGCTGAGAAAACTGTGAACAAAGATTTGTAACAGACTGACAGCTAAACAGGGGTAAAACACTATACCCCTTCTCCTTCAGAGTAACGATGTAATACTGTATAAGTAGAATTTTTAGCGAGGATTTAATTTTGGCATTGTTAGCGAAGGTTCTGAGATTGCTAAGATTAAATATCGCTAAAAAATAAACTGTCTTTAATTTGCAATACCTTTATTATTGAGCATTTTAAAATCACTAAAATTACTTCTCGCTAAAAATAAAATACCATATTTTAAAGACAAATCACTAAATTTGTGTCTCGCTAAAATTTCCACTTATACAGTATCCTATTTTTCACACAATGCAAAAAATATACGTGAATGACACAAACTATGAACATGCAAATCATAATTGTTAGACTTTCACAGGTACAGTATATATAATCATAAAAAAAATATATGCTGCTAAAAGAAAGCAATCCATATTCACAGAATATATATAAAAAAATACTGTGCAAAAATATCTTAAACAGGAGTACATGTATTGATGAGAGCTAGCTTAAAAAAATTCAATGGACACTTCAGATACATAATGTGAAACTGCACTGTGAATAACTGCAACTCATAATTATACTGAACAAAGTGGGAAAAAATCCATGCAAAAGACCTACAAAATTGTGATTAGCCAAAATATAGATTACCAGTAATTTGGGACCACATTTTTAATCCTCAATCTTCTTGTTGATAAACTGTTCAGTATAATTATGTAGGTCACAGTTGTATATTTCCTCAGGTGTAAGATGGAATTTTAGTAGCCTGCTAGAAACAATTAATATACTAAATTTCTACTAAATCATAATATTTTTTATATCCCCATGAGCAAAGAATTAGGGGTATATTTCTTTTGGTCTGTCTGTCAATCTGTGTGCAAAAACCTTGAATACCTCATTTTTTTATGCTTGGTGCTACAAATTTCATATTTCACTTGTGTATTCTTTGTGAAATACTATTTTGGGTACCACAATATCTGACTTCTTGACCTTGACTTTAGAGCTCTACCTATTTTTGCAAAAACTGGCTATACTGGTTTTTAAGGGTTGGTGGTGGAGCATTTACATTTCATTTGTGTATTTCATGTGACCAGACCTTTTATTTACAATGTACCAGAAAATTTTGTACCATTTGACTTAGACCTTGGAGTTTGACTTTCATTATGAAAAAAAAATTCTATAACTTTCAAATGGTTGTTAGTGCTAGCAACAGGCTTTCATATTTCATCTATGTATTTCTTGTGCCAAGACTTTTCTTTTTGTACAAATATTTTGAACCCCAGGCACTTTGATTTTGAAGAATTACATACAAAATGAAACTTTTGAAAAAAAAAAAAGAATTTAACCTTTGCCATATTTTCTGAATCGCTATTCAAATTGAAAGATGAAATATTCTCAGTTTACAGTGATTATTCTTTCTTTGTTCATAATTCTTTTATCATTAAAAGACTTCAAAGTTCTGTAGATAAAAGTCTGTACTTTATATTCATTGAAGACATAAAATATGTACTTATCAAAAACAAAATAACAAATAATTATGTCCTATAATAACAATTTGCAACTAAAGCCTAACAGCATGCATGGTCATTAATACTAAATAATTGTAGAACAAAATTAATAACAAATGTTCCTGCTGCTGTAAACAAATTAAAAAGCTGACTGTTCATTCATTGACATGAAAGAAAATTAATTAAGTGGATGACATTAAGCATATTTAAATTACATAAAACACAAAATAATCAACATCCTCATATGTACCAGGTAGCTTGAATCATATGGTCTCTTCGTTGGCTTCTGAGCTGATCTGATTGGCTTATAAGCTTGTGGCACAATTTGATTGGCTACTGAGCTTGTGGCACAATCTGATTGGCTGTACTGAGCTTGTGGCACAATCTGTTTGGCTACTAAGCTTGCTTGTGACACAATCTGATTGGCTACTAAGCTTGTAGCATAATCTGATTGGCCACTGAGCTTGTGACACAATCTGATTGGCTATACTGAGCTTGTACACAATCTGAATGTCTACTGGGTTTGCTTCTGAAATAATCTGATTAGCTACTGAACTTGTGGCATAATCTGATCTTTATACTGACCTTGTGGCACAATATGATTGGCTACTGAGCTTTTCATACAATCTGATTGGCTACTGAGCTTGTAGCATAATCTTACTGGCTACTGAGCTTGTGAGAAATATGACTGCATGAATACTAAGCTGGTGGTAAACTGCAGTACAACACGAAATGTTATTTACCACTAGCTTTGTTTATATGGTTAGAGAAAGTTGATTGAAATGATAAATTTTCTAATCATAAATACAACTGCAGCTTAATAAGTGGAATGTTCAAATCCATCTTTCTGATCAATACAGTGGACTCAAGGTGTATGTGTGACCAGTCCACAGGGAATGCTTACTCCTCCTTGACACCTGATCCTACCTGTACAATTTTCTGGGATCCATATTTTGTACCCAGTGTTCACTGATTCGTATTGTTGGTAGATTTTTTTTTTAGATCAATTACAATCACTGTGTGTTATCGTCATCTTTTTTTCATTAAACTATATTATATAAATTACAGGTATTAAAATGGATGGAAAAGTATGAAAACTCAAAAGTTGTTACATATGTTGTTAATTTACATTTGACAAAACTCTTGATAACTTAGCCCTGAAAGGATCACAAATCCCTTAATTTAAGTCAAAATTTTAATTGATGTTCACAGGTAATTATGATATAAATTAATGTCATACATTAATCTTTTAAATGCTTTCCTTAATGATAATAATTTTGACAGTTCAATAATTTTGCTTCCTTCATCACCAGCACAATACAGAATTTCTTACTTGTATGAATTGTTAGACTTAACTGTTTCATGTCTCTGGTCACAGTTTTATATAGAATTGTTCAAATTACAAGATAACATTTTTTGTCTTTTAAAAAAAGATTCTATCCACAGATGATGTTATGATTTTGTCTGTCATCTAGTTTTATTTGTCAGCTACTGTAAATGTTGAAAGTTATTCAAAGAATATTAAACCCAGCAAAATATCCTTGCATACTAATGCCTAGAGATATTCAGCATTATCAATTTAATATCATGATTATAATGATCTACTCCTTTGCTCATGATGTCACCAATCCATACAAAAAACTAAACTATAATTTACTTCTTTGGAAATATACTTTTTTTTTTTTTTTTTACAATATGTTGACTAAAATTCTTGACTATACTCAAAGATGAAAAAACATGAAAGTTGCAAGTAATGTCACATTATCATCACATCAGGGTGGCATAATTACTATCAATAATTAAACAATAAAACTTGTAAAACAAATGAAGTTACAATAAACATTTTCAAGGCAATTGTTTATTTGTTTTATAAAATATATTATTTTCAATATAGGGGGATTTCGGCCTATCAAAGGGGAGATCTCATCTTTTAATTCAATAATTAAATAAATGTCACATATTAAAATATTCAATTTGAATTGGCATTAAACATTTAACACTTCAAGTTTTACAAAAAAAAAGTCCTACCTTTGACTGACTTCAGTTGGTTACCAACCATCTGCTTAGCAATGAATGCTGCCATTTTGTGTTACTATGCCCTTCTCTATGGCAACAATGGCTACTGCTTCCTAATTCTTCGTCTCACATCAGCAGCAAGTAATCTGATGAAAGAAAACTAAGCATGTTTACACAGGACAATCTTTTTCCTCGCCTCATTCCTTCAGACAACATTTGTCTTGCAAGGAACAAATACGAACTGAAATCAATGAGAGCTTGATTGATTAAATGCAAATGACTAGAGCGGACAAACAACTGTCGTGCACACGATGTTAAATATAAATATATATGAAATGTCATTATCTTCTATTAATGTATTTTTATTAGCATTGTTAGTCTACTCAGTCCAAACAAGTATGGTCATTGAACCACTGATGCCCGAGTTTCTTTTTATTACTTGTAATATACCAGTGATTGTCAAATGACTTGTACTATCCAGGTTAATACCCCGGTGTATCCTTGTCTAATTCTGAACATAGGCACCCAAATTGCCACCAAGAGATGTGTTTCACCAAATTCTTATAATTACCCAAATTCACCCTAGTAAATAATTGTTAGCCCACTCAATGGTCAAAGACTGCTTTGAAATCATAACTAAAGATCTTAAACTATATAACAATTTAAAAAATAATAAAAGTTCAACATCAATTTTTTCTTGGAAAAAAATCCAACGAAAGTGCTTTCAATTTGATTATACTGTCACGTACAAAACAGTCCTGGCATGATTAGGTGTTTTATTTTAACTCTTTAGAATTCAGAGACATTTGATATTTCCCAAGAGCATCCTATTGTTATAACAAAATACAACTTAAAAATAAATTTTTCAAGTTGGTACAAATTCTGGCTTCAAAAATCAGGCAACAATTTCGGGTCTCAAGAGACTGTGTCAAGTATGAAAAGATGACATAATCAAGTTTCCATCCAAATCAATTGATGGTTTAGGGAAAGCTGTGTGTTCCTCCATTGCAGAGAGACTGGGCTACTGGAAAGATCAATAGAAAACATGCCTCATCCAGACCAGTTGTTCAAATTAATTAAATGTAATGTTGCAATCAATAAATAATGGACACCAAGAAGATATATTTAGGAGCCATGAGACACTTTCTACCACATTAATGGGAAAGTGAAGACAATTCAAGTTAGCAAATAAAAGCCAGACGAGTGTACCATACATGCAGTCACTCACTTTGGAGTGAACATCAAACTTGAAAAGTTCATGTAATATCTTTTTAGTTGATACACACTAATGTATGTAGATTTACCAGACTTAAAGGTTGTGTAATCCTAAGCATATGCGAGGAATTCATCATATTATGTAATTCACAAGAAACACTATTCAAGAAATAAAACAGAGAGTCCATGGGCCACCATGCTCATCTGAGTCACTTATGGTCCTGCTGTTCTTTAATAGGATATTTTCCTTATATATTCCTGTTTAATTACTTTGTAAGGCTATTTTTGCAAAACCCAGGAGTACCCCAAGTTAACAGAATTTGAACAAATTTGAATCTATCAACTTATGCAGCACAATTAAATCTCAGTTTCCAACCATTAAATTAGCACTGACAGTTGCAAATAACAAATGAGAAATTAAATGATTGACTATTATCTCATGAAAGAGGGTGTGGTCCTTCACTTGTACAAATCTGACTTTCTCTTTGTTGCAAGTTTTGCTAAAATTAGCCCATTGATTCTGGAAAAGCTGATGAAAAAAAGAAAAGGTCATAAATGATAACAACAAAAACAGATATTTCAATCAGAAAATCTCACTTGAACCTTAGGCTCAGGTGAGCTAAATATCATTTTATTTTCATATTAGCTGAAATAAATGTAAAAAAAAAATATAACCTAACAGTCTACCTGCAAATTCCTATTCCCATTATTTGATATCTTTGAGGTATTGTGTGTGATATGAAGTATTTGCATAAAATAAGGAATCTACACTACTGCAGACTTTCACTCAAAAAAAAATTTAAATGACCAAAAATGGCACAAAATTTTAATCATAGAAATAACAAAGAACTGTTTATACATGTACGAGGGTTGTTCGAAAAGTTCGTGGACAACTGTCATATCTTTTTTATTTGACGTCATATGTCAATTAAATTTGGTAGAAATATTCTAACAAAAAATCCAAATGATATGTATTATTTTTTTTTTTAAATATTATGATTTATTCAAAACTTATTCAGAATTAAGAAATTCAAAAATCGCATTTCGGAGCAGGTCAATATTTAGTAAATTATAAACAATTCACTAAATAAATTCTGTAGTCATATTCTCTGTAAAATGGAACAAAAACAAAAAATAACCTACATATCAAATTAATAATAAATATATCGATGCGTATACCAAATGATGGCTTAATAAATTCCCTTGTTGAAAAGAAATGAACTTGAGAAGATAGGTAGTCCTAACTGAAAACGACAAAAAGTGACGTTTTAGAACGTCACGGAGCAGCAGATAACGATGCAATTTTGTGTTTTACTCAGGAAAATTCCTGAATAAACTCTAAAAATGTTGGAGGAATCAAGAAAATATGTCACAAGAGAGTTGTGCCTGTGTGTACACATAGTGCAGGCAGTATTTGACTGACAGAGACTCTGTATGAGGATAATCTGCGATGATATGGTTTAACTGTAAAAATCTTAACAAAAACTTTAAAAAGTTAACTCAAGGAAAGACATAGGCGCTTCAGAGTTGCTTATCCTGTGAAAGCAGAGTTAAGTAACAAAAGAAATTAAAACCTTAACAAAGGAAATTATACAATGAGAGCAATTCTTAAAACATAAATGTCATGTATTAGAAAAAGAATTTAAGGAAGGAAAATTGGATTATACTGTATGAAACATATAGGGATAGTATTTTTTAGAAATTTTTGACGCTATGTTTTGACGTAACAATGCCTTTAAGTGTGCTCCGCGGGTATAAAACATGTTGATTTTAAATTGAAGTAAATTAATTTCTGGTAAATCGAATAAAATAAAACTTCACACATCAACAAAACAAATATTTTTACATATTATAATGTGCTTATTTTAAATTTCTAGTGAGTAGTATAACGAAGATTGACATCGTCCATGCATTTTTCGAACAACCCTCGTATATAAGTTGAATGTATTGATGCTGAATGTCAATAAACCCCATCCTCCTCTATCTAAATTTTATAAACATTCCCTTTGAATACTGTGATGACCAAATCTTACACATTTTCATTGATTCTGGCATTGCAACATCTACTAGACCTTAGACTCTGACTAGCAAAATCTATAAATGTAACAAGCACAGTATTATATCATTTCATTTCATCAATTTATTGAATTTACAGTCTTTGTATGTCATGCACTAAAATAGTTTTAAAAGAAAAACAATGTTTTTAGAATCAGTTATTGGTAAAAATGCTGCCTTTATACAGTTGACATTGGTATAATATAGTCCCTCTATATTCTTACCAAAGGGTTGAATGGCCTGTGTACAAGAATGCATATTCATGACCCAATCCTGCCATGGCAGTTATCAGCATCACCAGAGTAAATTTCCAAATGTCTGCGATATAATTATTGTTATGGTCCTCTCTGATCAATAATGCTAATCAAACTGTGTAAATTTTTTGCTTGTTACGAAAATAGGTGAATGCACTGCACAAGGCAGACTAGGATTTTTTTTTGTGGCGATTGACTAATTACCAGATAATGCAATTTGCTTGTGCTCTGGTACTGTTTACCTGCACTTGGAAGCGAGAAGAAATTCCCTTTATGGCTATATAAGGCCCTTTATTCAATATTGGTGATAGATGGGGATTCATTAGTGTGTCATGCAGAGTTTGACTAATTATGTCCACTAGACTTAACATATCTTTTGTGATAGTACGTACAGTGTGACCCAAATATAGCTTACAATGTGTAATTTTATCGATAAGGCCAAATGACTTATTCATATTTCTTATCAACTTTAATTCTAAATTATCAAGGCAATCAAATTAGCAGACATTTTTAAGTGAAATAGAAAATCCAGATTTGAGGCATTCATTTAAGATATAATTGCAAACACAAAAGTATATTGTTTTAAGTATTGACTATATTTCTTACATAATATTCAGTGCTGATTAAAATCAAGTTCCTTTACTGATCCTGGGATGGTTGATATAAAGGAATTACAGATTTGCCTTTTAAGAAAACCATCACAGAACATGACAAATTGGATGGCATTTTCCAATGCTCCTTACTTGTCAAAATATCTGACTACGGGCAATCAAACGATTCGCTAATTGTGACAAAATCAATATGAGATAATAACTGTCTATTACAGTGACACCCTATGTGTTACCTGATAAAAACATTCACCAACATTGTCAACAGTCATTGCAAAGGCTATACTTTGATCTTCCTACAAAGTTCCTGCAAACGCAATGCAGCTAGTAAACGGCTAGAATTTAGAAAGCAAATTCATGTTATACACTCATGTTACAGTCTTTCTTAACACAAAGGACTGAAGCAAAGATTAGGCCTAGAGTAAGTTCCTTCAGATTAAGGAAAAAACTTTCTGTTGCTGTGAAGGATTACAATAATTGTGATAGAAATACTGCAATCTGACACAGCATGAGTACACCTGTACTAATGCCTATAACACCAACTATAGTCCTTGCCTTTTTGTACTCAACAAAAACAATAATAAAGTAACAACTGCAATGCGACAAAGCAACAAATTTTTATGATCTTTTTTGACTTTTCCCAAGAGTCTTTATGTAATTGTTTTTCAGGGTTTTGTCACATTCCATACAGCCATCTGTGAGTCTGGGAGGCCGCATTCACTACTGCTGTAACATCATGTGATCCTTACCCTCCAAAACAAAAGAATTGCCCACAATATCCCAGCAAAATCATCTTACCCTCTCCAAAACTTAACAAGGTTAGTTACCAAAATTAATTATTCTGGCAGATGTGAAGATATTTTTGTGAATCATTCTCTTTTTCAATCAATATTGAATCAATAGCTGGAAACCTCATATCAACTAAGCATGACTATCAGTTTTGAAAGCCCTTATTAATTATTTACTTTGTTTTCTTTCATATGATACTTAGAACTGTCACAAATGAATTAAGTTACAACTAAATAAATAATTAAAGAAGAAAAATTCAGTCACTTCAAAGATTGCTTTGTTATGTGCAGCAATTATTATTTTAAATTCATACTTTTATATTTAACAGTATGAAAATGAATCATAATAACTGAAAGAAATCTGGGTAAAATTGTGCAAAACCACTAGCATACTCTACCATCAATACATTTGTGTCCTCAGTAAAATTCTTTCGAAGAAGAAACTTAGCAGCTTTTCAAATCTATGCCAATTTTTTATATGAAAAACAAAATACATTTTTTAAAAAAAATAATTTTAAACCTGGATATCATAGGTCAATTAATGCATGAAACTCAACACCTAATAAGCATCTTGAGCTTGCAATTGTTGCCCAATAGTTTTCAACAAGAGGCCCAGGGGCCACAGCGCTCACCTGAGCACATCAGGCTTGAATTTACTCCCACCCCCCCCCCACCAGGCGTTCATCATTTGAACAAACTAGAATCTACACTACCTGAGGATGATTCCATATAAATATCACAAATCATAGCTTTGAAGTACTTGAAAAGAAGATTTTAAAAGGTTTCCCTATATATCCTTATGTAAAACTTGGTTCGGCCATTTTGGCCTCATCCTAGCCCCGGGGGTCATGATTTGAACAAAGTTGAATCTACACTACCTGAGGATGATTCCACATGAGTTTCATCTTTCCTGGCCTAGTGGTTCTTGAGAAGAAGATTTTTAAAGATTTTTCCTATATATTCCTATGTAAAACTTGGGTCGGCCATTTTGGCCCCACCCTAGCCCCGGGGGTCATAATTTGAACAAACTTGAATCTGCACTACCTGAGGATGATTCCACATGAGTTTCATCTTACCTGGCCCAGTGGTTCTGGAGAAGAAGATTTTTAAAGATTTTTCCTATATATTCCTATGTAAAACTTGGGTCGGCCATTTTGGCCCCACCCTTGTCCCAGGGATCATGATTTGAAGAAACTTAAATCTACACTACCTGAGGATGATTCCACATGAGATTCATCTTTCCTGTCCTAGTGGTTCTTGAGAAGAAGATTTTTAAAGATTTTTCCTATATATTCCTATGTAAAACTTGGGTCGGCCATTTTGGCCCCACCCTTGCCCCGGGGGTCATGATTTTGAATCCACACTACCTGAGGATGATTCCACATAAGTTTCATCTTTCCTGGTCCAGTAGTTCTGGAGAAGAAGATTTTTAAAGATTTTTCCTATATATTCCTATGTAAAACTTGGGTCGGCCAACCCTTGCCCCGGGGGTCATGATGAGAACAAACTTGAATCCACACTACCTGAGGATGATTCCACATGAGTTTCATCTTTCCTGGCCCAGCGGTTCTGGAGAAGAAGATTTTTTAAAAATGCCATAAATTTTTCACAAATTCATAATTATCTCCCCATGGAAGGGGGCGTGGCCCTTCATTTGAACAAACTTGATTCCCCTTCACCCAAGGATACTTTGTGCCAAGTTTGGTTGAAATTGGCCCAGTGGTTCTTGAGAAGAAGATGAAAATGTGAAAAGTTTACGCCGACGCCGACGACGACAACAACGACAACGACAGACAACGGACAAATTTTGATCAGAAAAGCTCACTTGAGCCTTCGGCTCAGGTGAGCTAAAAATGAATTCAAACCATGTCTAATTTTATAAATTTTAGATTCATATAAAATTTGGCAGTCCTGTTAATTAATATTACTTAAAAATTGGTTGCCTGGGATTAAATACACAAGGTTAAATGAAATAAGAATAATTAAAGACTCGGAATCTATTTTATATTTCTCTGATAGCTTAAATAAATGTGTTTTTTTCATTCAGTTTGCATTGCTTTCTACGTAAAATATGAAATGTAAAAACTTCATGAAGAGAATTTCTTAACAATATTCTAACGGAATTGAAATGTTCATTAAAAAATTAAAAATAAAAAATCCATGGAAAAATGAATTGTAACATTTTCTAATTTTCTAGAAGTACAAGACAGCTTGTGAATGATTCTGAAAAACTTTTAACCCCTCTTTCAATGATCTTTCCATTAAAAACATTTTTTTTTTTACTTTTCTCACTATTGTGCATCAATAGCACTTTCCCTTTATAAAACACATTCCAAATCTAAATTTTAATTATGTAACAGTAACTTTAACCTTAAAAAAAACAGAAGAAATTAAGTGTAAGAAAGCAATTAAAAAACCCTTTAAAAAAACTTACTTGTGATTAAATGAAAGTAGTTATTCCCAAAAACATGAAACAAATTGGAACTGACTGCTGAAAGTGTGTAACTAATATAAAACCTTAGCTGTAGTGATCAATACACAATATTGCAAATACACTCGGGGGACCAGCAATCAATAGGCCCTGAGATAGAGGCTTAGTTGGGACACTGGAAAAGCCTGTTCCACACAATAGGAACCTCTGAAGCAATCAATGCCACTAGATACAGTTTTACTTCATATTGCTTCATGCATCAGGTCCCCCACATCCAATTTGTAAATTCGTATTGAATATTTAGAAAGTGCGTATTGAATATTTAGAAAGTGGTTTTAATCTGACAACAGGTCCCTATCATCAGAATGCTACTCAATAGACTGTTATTATGTATACCACTCCATATAGACACATGGCTGTATAATATTTTCCTCTTCAGATTTTGAAATGTACTTAAGTCTATGTATATTGATAGATTCTCGGGATGTGAAAAATAAACAATGGAACCAAAGATTATCAGTACTGTTAATATTATACATTTATTGACAAAGTTCGACGGTAACATACGTTTTGTCGGACCTATAAAACATGTCGGACTCTCAGGCAGACAGTTTGGTTGCATGCAGGGTCGACAAAATGCATTTTGCCCGAGAACATAGTTAATAAATGTTTTGTTATACCTTTCTTTTTTTTTGACATGCATGTATTTGTACTCTCTACCATTATGTAAGCTCAGGTCTTTTACAGGTCCACCACTGTTGAACAATGAACACCAAGGAATGAAAATAAGATTAAGCACCTCCCACTCTGTGATGTAGGCAGTCCAACATCTCATCGACTGGTCCAACATCTCACTCAGCAGTCAAACATCGATATTTTTATATAACAATTATATTTTACTGACAACACTGTCAACATTTAAAATTTTGAAATGATAAAAAGTATTGTTTTCAAATGAAAAAAATCTTTTTTTATTTTGGTGAATTATTCTTTCTAGTGACCTTATATTTGATTGTTCAAAATCTGACCTAATCTTTGAATGTTTAAAATTTTATCTTTTGACCAACAAAAAGTTAAAATAATTTCGAAATCTCGCAAACCTATTTAAGTTTTTATTTCATCAACATGATAATGAACATCATTTTCTTATAATTAACTTTAAAAATTGTTTCCCATGCATATAATTCTACACTTTATAAAATGTCCAGCATTTCGCATAAATTTCTGAGCAGTCCAAAACAAAACTGATGCTGGACCACTGAATGAGATGTTGGACTGTTGATGAGATATTGGGGAGATATGATTGATGAGTTCTAGGGCAACATGTGTTTTGTCGGACCCAAGAACCCAACTATTTGCCTGATGCCATTAGGCTGAAAGAAGCCAGTTTGGTTCGAAGGTCAACAAAACGCATTTTGATAGAGAACAGAGTTAATAATTTTTTTTTTTGACCTTTTATTTTACTATTTTTTTTTTACATGTATCTTGTTTCTGACAAAAATGCATGTTGCCCTTAGACCAAGTCAACAAATGTATAATGTTTGCAGAACACAAACTGAGATATTCATGTTTATTAATTATTATTACATTCTCCTGACATAAATACAGTTCAAGAAAAAAGAGTCAGTTATAGAAATGCAGAGGACAATAAATGGAATCATATATTAATTGGTTCATTATAAACCCTTTGCTCACTCGTAAAAAATGTTGCTTCATTGAACCTTAATGATTTCCCAAAAGAAATGTATCTTATATACAAAATACAAAAAAAATATAGCATAGCTAAAATGCAGTGCAAAATTGGACAAAAAAGACACTTCAACTTGGCAAATCTATAAAGGAATAATAGTCATTAAGAGTTATCTCTCTTATCAGAGTATCAATGAACCTTATAAATTTTTCTTGTGATGCAAATGCAGTAACATCTGTCTGTTATGCATAAATTTATTAAATTTATACAGTTCATTCTGTGCATAAAATATACATCATTCTATTCTCAAATACCAATAGGTTTTTATAAATAAGATTAATAAATCTGAGAACATGCCATTATTATACAAATATAAACCTTTTATGAGGTCAATCCATAAGTATATTGACTTTACAGAGGTGGAATCAATTTATGGATTGACCAAAAGAAAGGGCTACACTAAATTTATAGCTATTTATTTTTTGAAGATAGACAAAAGTCTAAAAAAAAAAAAAAAAAAAAAAAACTTTGTTGCCATGGAAAGAAGGTCTTCCATCTGTCTTTATAACCAGAGAAATTGATTACTAACTTAAAATAACAAAATGTTTTGTATTATAGTCTTTTATAAATATTATATAATGAAATATTGAGAAAATATAAAAAAAATTCCAAAATTCTTAATCTTTTAAAAACAATTAATATATATTCAGCATCACAATAAGATTATCTATTCATCCTAAAGGAATCTGAAAGATTATTATCATAGTTAAAATAAAAAGAAGTTTCAAATTTAAGATTGAAAAACTGTTTGTGAGTGAATTAATCTACCATGTCAATGCTTTCATATTGATATTTTATTCTGATCAGCCAATATTGTGAAATGGCAATGGCAAAATTTTATTTTCAAATAAAATTTATGTCCACAACTTGAAACTGCATGCACATGAATTTTTCAAATTTTCTTGTGATGAAACAATTTCCTATCAGTGTCAATTATTATTGTCTATGAAAGTTTCTTTGAAAACAGCCACCTCTGGAGTTTTCGAGGAATTTGTTTGTTTTTTTTTTTCACAGATTTTTCCTTGACATAATCATTATGCAAAAGTGTAGAGTTGTACATGTAAAGTTAGTGAAGTACATTTTTGAAAATGGGGAATACTGCATAAAAAAAAATAAGCTACTTAGCAAGTGTTTATAAACTCAGCAATTCAGAAACCATGTGCAATCATTTCCACAAAATTATTGCATGATTTTATAATAGAATTATTAAAAACAAAATGAACTCATGTCAAAGAAAATCAATCTTCCTTAAGCAAAAACATGCAGGGCACAATTAAAAAAATACCAATTTATAACATCCAAGTCAAGACCACATCCATTGTTTTGATAAACGTATGACCATTCAGAGAATAGAGAATAGGTATTGCAAACAAACACCTGAATTTAGAAATAATTTGTAAGAGAAAACAAGCTGTGACGTTATTACAGATATGTCAAGACAATGCTTGGCCATATTACAAGATATACCTAAAATCAATGTAGTCTATTGTTAACAACAAGCTACATGTATAATGATATTGATACAGTCTATTCTCACAAATACCAAGATGTCTCTATCTGTATCATTTTGTCAACTGCCAAAACAGAAGAATTTCTTTCCTATAATTATATGTATTATAGCAATGTATAAGTACAATTGGTCATCCAAATGTATAAAACCCACCTGCATAAGTAGTGCTATATATAGCCATAAGATCTACATTTCCTCATCATCACAATCACATTGATCAGATTTTCCTTCTGTACTAATTAGTCTATTGATTTTACTGGGAGTCAAGAAGCAATAAAAAATCCATCATTCACAGTCTTGCTAGCTTTATCAAACACACACGCCAGAGTCTCTTATTACATTATAGGTTTACGCAAAGAATTCCAGTGTTACAAATTTCATCATAATGACCATAAAAGCTTTCTCTGTGTGTTTAACTCCATTTCTTTTCAGAAAAATATTGTCTTCCTTTACCATGGCAACCACCATGTATATTTCCCTGGAGACCTTTTGATTGTGTAAATTATTTATCAAGTAGTTTTTTTTTTCTAATATCAAATTAACATGACATTGTTTCCCCATATGAGTGGATTAATATCTTAGCTGTGACAATTTGTATATGAACTGACAGAGAGAAATTCCCAAGAAACCAATTTTTTAAAATAATCTATAAAATAGGATTAGATTCATTAAGATTCTTGGGGATATCTCCCAAAAAAAAAAAGAAAAGAAAATTGATAAATTATGTAACAAATTCATTTGATTTTTTAAAACAATAAATGAGTGTTGATTTTCTTTTTCTTTTTTTAACAGTGTAATAGATTCCTTAAGAGACTAATATCCTAGAATGAAAATTTTTATTTCACAATAAAAGAGTAAAAAGTGGTAAAAGAAATAAATGTCTTCATGAAGTGTGCAAATTGAACACCAGAATGGAAAGTTACTTCAAACTTCAGACAATAAATATCTGTCAGAAATGCCTCCACAAATTACAAAATCCCAAACACGGAAGTTAAACTTCAGAAAGCTAATTGCTCTCATAGGAAAAAAGCAATACTTTGTGAATAATGATAACGGATTACTTTTTTTACCCTTACAGCTGAAAGTCTATTTTGCTGATATTTTGTCTCCATTTTTTTGTACCATTTTTAGCATAAACTTCTACTGAGTATTGATTGAGCAGTAGTTGTCCATATAAAATGCAGTGAGGTCATGTCTATTAAATTACGCAGAACCAAGTCTCCCATTAGTACAGCATGCTGTGGAACAGAGGAGTTCTTTACATGGACAGAATTAAATTATGTTTAATTTCTATGGAAGCCAAAGAAGAGCTTACTGATCAATGTTCCACCAAAATTTGCCATACATCTTTTTTGTGAACTAATGCTTAGGTTGGAGACATCACATGGCTCAGGACAATAGTTCATTTTGATAGTATCATGGTGAAGCCTGATAAATGAAGATACAGTGAAAACTATATAATCTGACACCTGTGAAATCCATTTCCCTGTGAATTCTGATCCTTATTATACCCCCCGCTTGAAAAGTGGGAGGGTATATAGTAATTGGTATTCCCGTCCGTCTGTCCGTCTGTTACGCTTTGGGGTACCCATCTCTTATCCGTAACTCCTCTCATACCACTGAAGGAAATTTAATGAAACTTTCACAGATTCTTAATTACATATTGCCTTTGTGCACCTCCTATTTTACTGTTTGATCTGACATATATTTTTGATTTTCCAGAGCAAAACATGGACACTGCCATTATATTCATATGGGAGGCGGGGGGTATCATTAAGTGAGCTCATTGCTCACAGTACCTCTAGTTTTAATTCCCATTTTACTATTTTTTCCATATTCATTACACTGTACAATTTGACATGTATTACCTGTCTATTCTGACACAAAATTTGCCTCCCATGCATATCAGATTAGAAAGGTTTCACTGTCTTTAAAAGTACATCCAATACTGTCCTTCTTTTATGTAAGTAAATACAGTCGAACCATTAAAAATTTCTTCCTAAACAAATCTATACTGAAACAAGATGTGTTTTTGAAACACTATGCCTCCCGATGGTTACACAATTCTGGAGTGGGGCGTAGACTGA